GAGGGAAAAGGAGCTTGGAATAGATCATCCTGATACACTAACTTCCGTCTACTGCCTTGCCTATCTTTTACACAAGCGCAGGCGATATAGGGAGGCGTCCGAGCTCTACCAGAGTGCATCCAATGGCTACAAGCAGAAGCTCGGTTCCCAGCACCCGAAAACTATTGCGTGTCTTAATTATTTTACAGCTATGCAACAAGAGGCAGGGGAGGAAAGACAAGGACCGAGCAGGACATCAGTTGACAATGATAAAGAGGAGCTTAGAGAGATACCCACCGATGGTGCTAGTACTCTGCACGACAGTGAGGCTATGCCTGAGCAAACCAGCAGCTTGAAGAGCAAAAAAGACTCGTTTTACACGCGCTTGAAAGGGAGGATGGGTAGAAAAGATAGATAGAGTAACTAGAGATAGATATGACTCTGTTCTATCAATTTCTGATGTAGTTTCCTAAGTAGCATGCTGTGCTATGAAGAATAACACACATGATTTGGATGGGTTTAAGGCAGCAACCGCTCATTTGAAATGGTGGATTATGTAATTTAGAGAGTGGGATTATTTACAGATTTACAATACCACCCCTGCAATGCGCTAGCTAAGACAAAGGAGGAGATCCCCTAGTTAGGAGGACGGTGTAGAGAGAACAAATCAATGCAACGAAGTGTAATACTGGAATCCGATTTTGCTCGTGACTGTATTGATGGAGGGGACCAGCGGAAATGAAGCCGCAGAGCAAGACGGGATGATAGAACTATATAGGAGGGAGGTGCCTCCTCTAACGCTATTAGGTTAGCACTCTTTGTTGATATAAGACGCTCCCCCTCTTGCGTCCCATCTCGAAACCTCACTCGGAGCGGGATTTCCGGGATGAAACAATCACAACAAGAAAGTTCAAGGGTTGGAGGAAAAGACGGAAGGGATATTAGAATCTGGAGCACAGCATATCGTATTTGCGGGACGACGGGCGACGGGGGGATACGGCAAATCACGCGGCAGCGTCAACGCGCTACCGGGTGACGACGACAAATCTTCTAAGAGATACTGGATAACACGTCGGGGCACATCACGAAGGCGGCACGAGTTTGGGGATCTCCAGCTATCCGTCTATATCGCCTTACGGACCATCATATCCAATATGGCACCTTCCTCCGCCCCCTCGCAACCGCCGGCCGTCCCCAACGAACACAAAACCGAGCTCCGCACCCTCTCCAGACTTGTACACCGCTTGTACCACCGCAATAAGAACCAGCACCGGCGCAGCCTATGGTGGAGGCATTTCGATTCATTTCGCAGGGAGCTGAGGCGCGTGGTGGAGGAGATTGCGGTGCGCGAGGTGACGTTCAAGCGGGGTGTAGATATGAAGAAGCGGAGGCGGTCGGAGGTCGAGAGGAAGAAGGCGTATCAGGCGAGGTGGGAAACATGGAGGGATAGGAAGGTTGGGAGATGGTTCACGTATGTTGTTTTCAAACAGCCGCTGAGGCTCCAATATGATGACGATGTAGTGTTAACAATTGCCAGTGCATTTTCCCAGTTGCTGGCTTCGCTACGGTTTCCGTCCTTTGGTCTGGTCCTGATCGCATGTCTCGCTCGAATATGCTCTTTGCTGGGAATCACCGGTGCCATCGAGGCGATAGCGGCGCAGAAAACGGCGGAGGCGGCAAAGGCGTGGGCCACGAAGGATGTACAACAAATCTCTGCGCTTGCTGATGCGGGACAAGTGGGCGGTGACACGGATCTGGGTATGGTCGTCGCGAGGGAAATGGAGACTGTTGAAGCTACTAGTGTGGTTGTGGAGAAGAGCACGAGCAAGAGAACGTACGACGAGCATACCGAGGGGGTGTCGGCAACTGCAACGGCAACGACTGCAACGGCAGCGACAACGGTAGAGAAGGAAGTCATCGGGAGGAAGAAGACGAAACGGAAGAAGCGAGGTGCCATTGACGACTTATTCAGCGGTCTATGAATAACACCCATCCTGCATACGAAACACAACCGAATCAGGCGACAATCGATTGGGTGCTATCTGGTTGCTCGGAGCGCTATCTTCTGGTACACCGTACTCAACCCGATAGTAATAAGAAGATGGAACAAGCAGCTCCACGCCATGGAAAATAGATACTTCGGGCTGAACACCGTCCAGATGAACAGATGCGTTCGCAGCACGGTGCAAGCCACCATCACCGCAACGAGCGCGCAGCCGACAAAGACGGTGTGGAGAGGCATATACAATTGGAATGGCGATCCAGGCGAATGATCCTTTTCTTTCCTGGCCTGCATAGTCTCTTTTATGAGTCGCAGGCTGCTCAGAGTCCACCAGATCGGCCCGGTCCAATTACTCAGAAACACGAGGACGCCGACTGCGACAACGTTGTATCCTGCAACCCCATTATACGCGTTGGCGAGGTCGACGGAGGAGATGGCGTTGCTATTGCCTAGCGCGAAGAACGCAGTGTGTGAGAAGAGGATAGAAGTGAGGGACAATTGCGAAGGGTTCAGATGGAGCGTCGCTGGGAAGTTTTCGTTAGCACAAGGGATGAATCAATGGCTAGGATAGCACTTACAAAGACAGACCGCCTGGAGCTCGAAAAGGAGGAATAGTGGGATGTTCTGCGCTCGACTTTGCGTCAATAGGAAGATCGTCACCAAGTGAACAAGATCGTTCGCTGAGATAGTTAGCATCGGTCGAATGGAAAGCTCGACAGCACTTACGCAGTGTATGGTCATTCCTTGCCAACCGAAGGACCAGCACAAATATGACCAGACCGAACACCAACCGCGCGCCCACCACCAGATTGAAATCCATGAATATCTGAAGGACGCCTGGAGTCACCCCCTCTAGCAGCTCAGGCGCATCATGAGCCGTGAACGACGCCTTGAAGACCAGCGACAGTAGCCCGGCTGTCATGCTGAGGTACGACTCCATCGTTGTGCGCTTATTCGGTCTGAACGGCCGCACACGGAGTCTCGTCAAGACAAGGCCGTATGTTGTGAGGACGAGGGTCCAGAGGAGAAGTGGGTGTGGGAGGAGGACGTCATGCACGATATCTGGCGCGCCAGCTCGTTTCTGGCCGGTCTGGTTCCAGCGCTGGATGATGCGGTGGAAGAGGAGCAAGGCGGCTCCTGCAGCGGCTCCTGTCAAGTTAGGCGGGATTCCTCTTCTGGAGACGTTAGCGTTGTCTAACTGTCGTGGTTCACCGACGTACGTACGTGGAGGAGACAAGGGAGGCGATGAAGCCTGCTGAGATCCAATACCAGAAGACCTGCTCTTCTTCAACGAAGCTGCTGGCGAACATTAAGGCCATGTATGGGACGACTACACAGATGAACACTAGTTGATCAGTGATACTGAGCCCGCGTCGTTTATCTAGCAAAGTCAAGAGAGACGCTGTGACGGCTATTAGGCAAAGTACAATCCCAGCGCCCATTCTTGTGAGGTTATAGTTGCTTGCCGTACTACTCATCACCTCTTGAGTTCGTTTGCAAAACTGATGCTCGTCAGCATCTATATGGCAACCGAATACGGGGCCTAGAAGCATAGTATACCTTCTTGAACGCGAATGCCTGTTCCAGATGTGGTTCTCTCCTACTGAGAACTAATCTCTCATTGTCTCCACTAGCTTCCGCCTCTTTCCACAAGCAAGCAAGTTCTGCTCCCTCGGAGTCCATGTCGTTACAATTGTCTCTTTTTGTGGAGGGCTCGAAATCCTCGCTGCGGAACGTCTCTTTGACAAGGCTCAGCATTTGCCGAGCGTTCTGCTTCAGCAATTGGAGCCGGTCCTTCCCTGAGAAATGTTATCCATCTATCCACTTAATTGAAAAGAGTTGCGGATGGCGCTCAGCCTCACCATTTGGCCACAGAGGAAGGAAGGTCTCTATAAAGACTCCGAGGTTGTTAAGGGGGACGGGAAAGCCAAAAAGTCCTGCTAACGTCGGCGCAAGATCCGACTGCTCGACCGTACCGTAGAAGTCAAAGTCTTCCCGAAAAGGGATAGGGCAATCCCTTGTGGTCAGTTGTCCGACACGTCTCAGCTTTGGAGACATGAAGACTAAGGCTGGCGACGTTTCACCTGCCGAGGACCCTCCATGACCGCCTCCATCGTTCATACCGTGGTCTCCTAACAGTACTAACAAGGATGACTGAAGATGGTGTTGGGTTTGCATGGCATGATATATCTGCTCGACTATACCATCCATCTCCTTTTGCTTTGGGATCATGTTCGGGCTTTGGGTCGTTACTTAGGGATACATCACATTTAACGTGCAGCTAACATACCTCTTGGGGCCCGCTTTGTGTCCGATATGATCCAGTCCAAGATAGTGCATAATCAGAGCATTCCAGTCCGTATTCCCAAGCTCTTCGGGGACATGTCTGGTCACATTATTGTCCACCTCCGTGAAGTCCTGCGAATACAAATCAACACCTCGCCGTCTTTCGGAGTTAAATTCCTCACTCTTCACTGACCGATACGAAGAAACTCGATGTCCCATCTGATCTGCTGAACATGTTGGGAAAGAGCTTAAGCCAGGTGTCATCGCCATAGAAGACGAGTTTTCCTCCCTTGTTCTTTTTCAGCTGAAGCAGCCATGTGTCTTGGTCTGCTAGAGTCGATGAAGTGTCCGCTTCTGCAAAATTCAAGATGACATCGAGAAAGGACGGGACAGACCCGGTTGTCATGGCCTTCACTCGAGGCATGGTGATAGTTGGAGCTGTGGCATGCCCCGTGAAAGGAATTGCATCGCCGGATCGAATCAAGCTGGGAATTTATTTAATATAGCCATTATAACAGTCAATTCGAACGACAAACCTTTGAACATAGCTAAAACCCGAGGGTTCGGAGAAAACGAAATCACTAGGCCATGGTGAGACTCCTCCTTGCTGATACTCTATGGAAACTAACCTGCGTAACGAATCCACAACCATAAATATCAACTTGTCAAAGATAGCCGGCGGCTGCTGCTCGCCATCTTCAGTGAAATTTGCTAATCCCGCAATAAACGGTTTATAAGGGAAGAATCCCGTGGCGAACACGATCGTCGCGATTGGAATGAGGACGTTGGCGAGCATCAAGTAAGGAGACCGTTGCGTTCCAGCCATTTTCGAATCTGATCGTCCCGGGCCCTTTAATAGGACTTGATGCGCTATTGAACCATCGTAATGGATTAAACAAATCTTTCCGGACAATGGAAATAGGATGGATGACGTAGCTGACAGAAGGAAACTACCACCTTAATGTCCAACGTGAAGTTCGACGCGTTGACGCGTTCCCGCCTTTTGGGGGCTTGGCACCCATATATCGAGAATTCGAGATGTCATATATTTCCAGGAAACGTTATTGTTGCGGGGGGAAATTGAAGAAATTCATTCGAAACACTTCATTGCTTCTGATACATTCGGTAGATCTATAGCTACTCGCCCATTCAAACGACGAAGGTTGATATGAGCGGCGACTAATTGGTCTTCTCCCTCCATGCTTCCAACACCACACTATTCGATTGGTTCAACCTTGTAAACCGTAGAGAAGTACCGCATTCATTCCTTCATTATTGAGACGGCGTGTAGCTTGCATAAACGGAATCATCCTTCCCGTGTCCCGCAACCCAGCCGACACCGCCTGGGACATGGTAGTGTATGCAGTATGTTCAGCGCATGATTCCGACTGTCCTAGACAGACTCAGCCGGGCACTTCTCCAACACGGAAGCATCGTACTCACCTCCAGCCTATATCAACTCCTATAAGGCTCATTCCCATGACCAGCTCCACTGTTGAACGATCTCGCTCATGGAACGACCGAACAAGCTCATATACGCCTATCGCTAAAACTTTCGACTAATACGGCAAATTTTTCAATCCGCTGTGTCAATGCCGAATTCTCGCTGCACCTCCACCACCCGTGTTCCTCTCTTCTCGGCAATCATGCCCATCAAACCAAGGCCTACATCCCGGATCTCGTTGTATTCGTGTAGCTTGCGGATATGCTGGTCGTTGATTTTCTTCGCGGCAGCAATGACTTCACTATCTGCAGGTGTTGCTTCGGCTGTCAAATCTGTGGCTGTTGCGTTCTGAGGATCCTCTGCTTTGGGTGGCGCGGTGGGGGTTGCATCGGTAGGTTCAGATGGTAGCTGAGAGGCGATGGCAGGACATTGACGGACTTGCGATATCAAAGCTTCCCGGCGGGCGAGAAGTTCGGGTAGGTTGGATTCAAGTGCTTGTATTCGCGATTGAAGCGAGCTCTGTCTGCTTGTTAGTCGATTCAAACCAGATTGCGTGTATCGCTCACGATCTTCTGCGCTGCATCTGGACCATTAAGACCAGGCATTGTGATAGACTATCTCGTTAATCTAGAGTGTTATTCGCATACAGCTCTATTGTTCCACGTAGTCTCTTAAGCTGGTATTTGAGATACGGACAATTGGGTCCGAGAGTTTGGATATTACCTAACTATTAATAATCCCGCTTCCAGTTGAGATCGCGACAGATATTATGGGTGGGTCTCCATCACGTGTAAGCGCCCTCCGCCCTATCCCGCCGCAGTCGAGATCGCGAATCTCGGCAGGCGTTTTCGTATTCCGTAATCCGCACGGTCTGATGTGAAAGAATCAGACGTCGAAAGAGAAGGAGATGGGATATATTTTATACCTCATTGCAGGTTCCGACCGTTGAACTCGCGCCGCCGAACCCACGAGAACAGGACGGGACAGACGTCCGTCATACCGGACCGGACACTCAGCTGCATTCAGTCCAGCATCGCGAAACTTAAATCCGCGAACCGCATTTCCTGTTGCCAATATGTCACGGTCTCACTCAAGATGGATGTCTCAAGGCTCCGGAACTGCGTTGCTTCTTGCCGTAGCGATGACGGTATTGTCTCCGGTAGAGGCTCATGAACACCACATGGACAATATAGAGGAAGGGCAGTTCATTTCTCCCGATCCCATAGTATGTACGATGCCTTTTGCGTGGGCTGGATCGGACTGATGGTTCCGCAGGACTCGATACTATGGACACATATATTAATCCAGACCTTCGCCTGGGGAATACTGTTCCCTACAGGAATGGTTCTCGGAGTACGTGGCATCCCCATGCTCCCTACGACGGAAGACTGACCAGGGGCAGATTATCCGATCACGATGGCACGTTCCCGTACAGGCACTCGGAACCTGCCTTGCTATCCTGGGCTATATCCTTGGCCACTCCCACAAAGGCCGACAATTCACCTCGAACATCCACGGCGCCTTCGCCCCGAGCCTCATGCTAATGCTCTTCCTCCAAATCGGTCTGGGGATATACCTCAGACTGCACCTCGAACGCGGTTTCCACGGGCGGATACGGCGCTATTTTGTCACAGTGCACGGCATCATCGGGAAAATAATCCCGGTCGCCGCATGGGTCCAGATGATATTTGGCGGGATTACTGCGTTAGGGTTCTGCAGGGACGATCATCTGGGTCAATGTTTAGCGCACTTCATTATGGGGAGCGCATTCATCGCCTACGGAATCATCTTGACGATATTGCTCCTGGTCGGACAGCTCTGGCTGCGGAGGACCGGACGCAGTCAGGAGTTCTTCGACTCATCGATCATCGCGGCGTGGGGATGCGTGAACACGTTCACAGAGCACCGCTGGGGTCAGGAATGGGTGCACAACGACCTACAACACACGTCGATGGGCATCGTGTGGTGGTGTGCCGGCCTACTAGGGATGTGGATGAGCCGATCCCGTGGTGGTCAGGCGAAGCGGAATATCATTCCGAGCATCGTCCTCCTCATGACGGGGTGGGCGATGTCGTCGCATCCACAACACTTGCCCATTTCGGCGATGACGCATACCATGTTTGGGTACACGCTGATGGGCGCCGGAGTGACTCGACTAATTGAGATATCGTTCGTTTTGAGGGATCAGGATTCGCTATCGGCCGATGGAGAGGTGACCAACAGCTTCCAATATCTTCCGCCATTCGTAAGTTCTCACTCTGCTTTCTTGGCAAATCCCAACTGACCGGATCAGCTATTATGTGCCGCTGGTTTTCTCTTCATGGGCGCCACCGAGGAGCAAATGCAAATGCTTGCGGCCGCGAACGTCGACCATGTCTCATACGTGCTGATACTCTATAGTATTGCATTCCTCATGTTCCTTTGTGGGTATCTCCAGCTCTATCAACTCGACATAACTGACTCTGCTAGTTGTGAACATGCTTCTCCATCTAGTAGCCACCTCTAATGCGTCAAAAAAGCCCGATGTATCTCCAACCCGGTTAAATAGCATCCCAAATGGACACACGGACCGCAGCCTCAGGGACGCGGAAGAGTTTGAACTAGAAGGGTTGATGTCCGATGACGATGAACCAGATGCGACCACTTCGGGGACGGCGAAGGAGAATCGCGTTCATGAATGACATCGCCCGGGGAATTGGGAGTGACCAATCTGTATCGGTGATGTTTTCCAGTATATACCGAGCCTTGGAATGGTTAGATCCTCCTCATCGAGGGATAGGCTCGACACGCCGGTAGAGAATTAATTTAGTTGAACAATCCCAAGTGTGTCCTAAGTGAGCCATCGACCCGTAGCATCCCGTCCCTTTCCAATCATCTTAATTTCCGGGATGAAGCCATTGGCCTCACAGGTCATTTGGTTCAAACGTGGCCATGAGCAATATCAAGGAGTTTGTCGGTCAGATCTCCTTCACTGCGGAGCAGCGTCTTTTCCACATCTGCCGACACGGGATTCAGAACGTAACGTGCGACATCTCCGGAATCACGGCTGCTTGGTCTCCCAATCCCAATCCCAATCCTCACCACCGGGGTTCCTTTCGGTAGACATGCCTGGATGGACTTGATCCCGCGATGCCCGCTACGCCGTACCATCAGCCCGTCTGCGCCCCAAAAGAAAAGAAACAATAGAACAAAGCCCACCGTGAACTACTCTCCAACTTCCGCACCGTCAATTTCCCTAGTTTCTCCTCCAACTCATCCTGCAACACCACCACCAATCCCTCCCCCCACCGCTCCTCTACCCCCATCCCCTTCATCTCTTCCCGCCACGTCTCCCACGCCCGCCGCACCCCCACCCCACTCACGTTCATCAAACTCCCACTCCTCCACAACGTCCACAAATCCATCGGATTCTTCCCCTCGGAATACCGCCGCGTCGCCCAATCGTCCGCATATTTCTTGACTTTATACGGATGGAATGTCCAGTATCGCGGGACGGACACCGCGCCGCCGCCCCAGTCCTTTGAGAGGAGCCGTTTGGAGGACACAAAAGTCTCGAAATCGCGCGCGGTTTGGAGTTGGTTGAGGAGGATGTGGCCGGCGGAGTGGAGGGTGTTGGCGTATTTGGGGCCTGGGTTGCCGATGGAGCAGATGAGGAGCGGGCGGAATTTCTCGGCGCGGAACATGGTGGGGAGGAATGTTGACATGTCGAATTAAACGATTAAATTATTATACAAAAAGAGTGGATGAGTTAAGAGCCCCTATTCTACAGATGCGGTTGTCGTTGAACACTCGAAAATGATCGATATTGGGAAGAAACAGGGAATCGACGCGTTTGGCGCTCTGATTGGTCGACATGACGTCATACTATCTTCAAACATATGTTCTCTGACCGGGATTTTTATCTGATTTGCCAGTCCCGTAGTGTAGCGGTTTATCACGTCGCTCTTATAGCCCTTTTACGAAATGGTTATGCGAAGGTCGTGGGTTCGATCCCCACCGGGACTACGTTTTTTTTGTTTTTTCTTACTTACTTGTGTTTCCATTCAATCGAGTCTACGTATTTTTTGTGGTTCGGATGGAGGTGGTGAACGGGTTCGTGGTGGTGAGGCATTTTTGGAAGCCGGGAATAGGAAGAAATGCCGCAACAAGGAGGACAGCAATGTCTGGCGGAACACGGACATGGCAGGTCCGTGGCTTAAAGGAGCAGCAGAGCACACTGTCTGGGTAAGGGGAGCTATAGTTTCCATCTCCAATTATCTCTTCATTGTTATATGCTGCAAAGCTAGGAAAGGTACAGTAGCCATGATCAAAATATGTCCTGCATGTCGATAAAGATTGTTTCTCCTCGACGAGCATTTCCGTTATCTTTACCGTCTCCTCCGTCTGTGAATTCCAGATGTTGAATCTCATTCCTTCCTCGTAGGTTGTTCTGTTCGTTTCCGTTCCCATAGCCCTGCTCACCATAGCCATGTTCCCCCCAAATTCCACCCCTGGACACAACCGGCGTCATTCAGCTTCTGTCGCCTTCTTCTGTAGATCCTTACTGTTCTGTTCCTCCGGTACCTCCTCATCGCTCGTGCCAGACGACGTGCTCTCTGTCCCATTCAACCCGAATGCCCGCGCCTCGACGTCCTGCCCACTCAATGTCTCCCCCTTCCCTGCATGCCGGAAATACACCCGCTTGCACCACAGCCAGATCTCGACGCCGATGAAGAACAGGAACGTCTCGATGAACACGACCGCCCATTCCCACGTGAGCCCCTCGTGGCGGAACACCTTGTGGTTGATGACGGGGATGTACAGTGTCGGGAACAGCGTCACGAAGCCGATGATGATCGCCCAGAAGAGGAACTTGTTCCGCCACACGTCCACGATCCACTGGGTGAACGGCCGCTTGCTGCCCGGATGCATGCGGAAGAACGACCGCCGCATGTCGACCATCTGCCACGCGAGGAAGAGCGCGTTCCACGTGAGGCACGCGAACGTGGTGGCGCGGCCGCGGAACACAAGGTCGCAGACCGGCACGCCTTGAGCGTTGGCGTAGTCGTTGTTGCAGTTCTCGCCGAGGTTGCCATCGCCGAAACCGAAGACCACGATGCTGAAAGCGCCAAGGCAGAGGGCCGCAATCCAGAGGCCGTACACAAACATGTCAAGCATGACTTCGAGGGTAAAGACGCCGGCTTTCAGGCTCATCGGGGGACGCTGCATGATTTCCGGGACAGCCTCTTCGAATCCGAGACCCATGTCCGGCATTCCGGAGGTAACCATGATGATCCAGAGGGCTTCGACGGGGGAGATGGGGAAGACAGAGAGCTTACTTCCGTCTTTGAAGGCGAGGCCGATGAGCAAGACGCAGGCTTGCGCGATGTTCTCGGCGAGGATGTGCAGGACGAAACGCTGGATGTTGTCGAACATGCGACGACCTTCTTCGATGGCGTTAAGAATCGATGCGAAATTGTCGTCCGTGAGAACAATGTCGGAAGCATCTTTGGCGACGTCGGAGCCGGATTGGCCCATGGCAATCCCAACATCGGCGCGCTTGAGCGACGGGGAGTCGTTGACACCGTCACCAGTCTGGTACCATTAGCATCCACAAAATCTTGTCGCTAAGATGGCGATTGAACTTACCATCGCACAGAACCTCTTCCTCCGGTGCAGCGCCTCGATCATCCTCACCTTCGTATTCGGCGCGCAACGAGCAACCACCAATGGAAGGGTCGGCAATGCATCGACCTCAGTATCCGAAAGTTTATCGAACTGCGCCGCCGTCATAATCATCGCGTCCGCCACCTCCTTACTCAACCGCTCCATATGCGATGGCAAGATTCCCACCTCCAAAGCGATGGCGCGAGCGGTACCCGGATGATCACCCGTAAGCATGTGGACGGTAATCCCGGCCTCCTGGCACTGCCTGACACTGGGCCGAGACTCCGGACGCGGCGGATCGTAGATGGCGACTAGGCCTCGGAAGGTGAGGCCGACCTCGACCTTCTGGCGGTCCATATCCATGACGTTCTCTACCGGTTGGGTCCATTTCTTGCTCGCAAGCGCTAACACGCGCAATCCCAAAGCCGACAGCGAGTCCATGTTCTTGATGACGTGATCGCGGAGCTCGTCGGTCATGTCGATCGGCTCCGCACCTTCCTCCCAGAAGCACTTGGAGCACGAGTCGATGATCCGCTCCACGGCACCCTTGGTGAAGAGGTGGTGCTCGCCTGTTTCGAGTTCGGTGCACAGCGTGGACATTTTCTTGACGGACGAGTCGAACGGGAACTCCGCGATGCTCTTCCATTTCGGATCCGCACCTTTCGTCCATCGATCGCGGCCCCAGTTGAACCGCGAGGCGAAAACCAGCATCGCGATCTCCGTAGGATCGCCACGGGCCGTCCAACCGCCTTCGGCATTGGTGTGAACATGGGATAAATTCGCGAGCGAGGCGACGTTGAGGAAGTCTTGAAGGTATGGGTTGTCTTGGATCAGGTGGTCGGCAGGTTCGGCGACGGCATCTTTCTCGTCCAGGCCCTTGAAATCGATATTGCGCGGCTCGCTCTTATTCAAGCTCAAGTCGCCGACAGTGGGGTTGAACGGTTCCTTGCAGACCCCCACGGAATAGGTGCCACGTGCGGGGATCCATACTTTCTTGGTGACCATCTTCCCCTGGGTCAGCGTACCGGTCTTGTCAGAGCAGATGTCGGTAACCGCTCCGAGAGCCTCCAACGAACGCAAGTTTCGAACAATCACATTCCTCTCGACCATTCGCTTCGTGCCCGCCGCCATCGTGATGGTCAGAAGCACGACCAAGCTGGCCGGAAGCATCGACACGCCGGTGGCGACCGCATAAATGATGACCTCCTTTCGATTGCTGAATTTATTCGCCGCCAACACGATGATCGCGCACAAAATAGCGGTTCCAAAAAGTAGCACCGCAAGCCGACTGAGCTTCTTCTGCAACGGCGTCCCGACATTGACTCCTAGGAACCGTCCGACCGCATCAAACGCCGTCATCGAGTACGCCTGCATATATCGATGCGGGCCCGCTTGGCCAGATTGGTTCCGCTTGACCGGTCGGCGGCGTGATTCCTTCTTGTTGAGTGCGGACGCGATGGATCCGATTTCCGTGTACATTCCGGTGGCGAAGACGATGCCGGTGGCGCGGCCCTTGGTCACGGTGGAGCTAGAGTAGGCGACGTTGAGGCGGTCTCCGGGGCCGGTTTCGACGTCAAAGGTCGCAAGGGATTCTTTACGGACGGGGAGCGACTCGCCGGTCAGTAGGGCTTCGTCGGTTTCGAAGTTGACGGCTTCAAGGAGGCTTCAAGGAGTTAGTGTTAGTCACAAGATCGGAAATCCGCTATATGGAAGCAGCGTACCGAAGGTCAGCGGGGATCGTATCACCGGTCTTGACTTCGACTAGATCACCCGGAACGACTTCGACAGTGGGAATGGTGGAAGCTTTGCCGGCGCGGACGGTCATCGCGGTGGGAGAGCTCAGGGACCGAAGGGAGTCCATGGTCTTTTCCGCCTTGAACTCCTGAAAGAACCCGATGGTGATGTTGAGGATGATGACCGCACCAATGACGCCGCCTTCGATCCAAGATTTGATTCCGAACGATACCGCCATAGCGAGGATCAAGACCTGAATATCATGGTTAGTCAGGATCTATACGAAAGGGAGGCGGCATCGGAACCTCTAGAAAAATTGACGAGCAAGGCCGTGTCCATTGTGATTCTTTCGTATTACTCTGAACCGAAATCGACTATAGAAAAATTCCTTACCAAAGTCATAGCATTGGCGACCTGCCGGATGAAGATCTTCACCGGCTGCACGCCGCCCATATCCCCTAGCTCATTGCGACCGAACTTCTCCAACCGCTGCCGGGCGTCGGCCTCGGTCAACCCGTCTTGAGCATCGGCATTCAATTCTTCGACGACCTGATCCGGAGGCAGGCTATGCGCCGGCTTGGACATTGGCTCATTCGAGCCACCGGAGACGTGGGAGTCAGGCACCACATTGTCTTTCTTCGCCATTGTGGCGGAAAAATTGTCAATGGGCCTCGGAAAGGCGGAAATGGAACGAAGACTGCTCTTCTAACGAACGGAAGTTCACAGGAGTCCCAATGGAGGGAATGGCGATGTTTTCAGTTGATTGTGTCAACGAAGAGTGATGACGAAGGTGGGATAGAGGGGCCCAATCGTTAGCTTGAACGGTGAACCACACTGACCTCGCCGCGACGATCTGACCCAGCAACAATCGTTCAAGTGCGACAATTTGCAAATCAATATTGAATCCTCGAGGTTGATGGGAATTATAAGCGAAGAAAAAAAACTCGTCCACAGTCGCCGAAGTTTATCGGTTGGGACTCATCTCAACGGATAGGGACGGCAGCGGAAAGGGCCAGAGAGCAGCAAAACGAAATGTCTTCGACGAACACACAATTGACGCACGTGGGAAAAGGGATTCGATCTTAAGCTGTCAGGCAATTGGGGAGAGCGGGAGACCTAGAGGCTAGAGCAACGGTCGTTGCAGTAAGCCCGCCACTACGGAGGCGCCTTTCAAAAAAAAAATTACTGGGCCATGCACGATCCCAATCGTGATTCACGGTGATTGTCTGATTGATGATGATATAATAACAATAGTACTTGGCAAGGCTTCTGGGCAGGTGACAGCCTAAATTCTGGGGGGGTGGGGCCTAAATTTGGGGGGGGTTCCCCTATTTCTCTGAGCTGAGCCCCGGCCCGATTTCTCTCTGGGAATTAAGCCAGAACGCTGCTACGCTAGCTACGCCATCGTGCACGCTCCAGGAAAACTTTGAAAGGCGCCTCCGTAACCAGTAACCACAGTCCGGTCTTAGTTGATGCAGCGATCGGGTACTGTAGGACTTGGGAAGTTGGGATTGATGGAGAATTGCCAATTGCAGATAAACGCGGTTCGCAGACGCGGAAGTGCGGGGGCAATCCAGGCACCAGGATCGCGATTTCCAAATTACAATGGATGGAATTGTGGTTCGGTACCCCGTATCAAATCTGATGGACTGTGGAAACTGAAAATTGGGCCCTGAAACCGCTTTGCTTCGTGCTAAGTAACAGGAAATCAACAATCGCATTGAAAGTCCCGACGTTGCCTTTTCTCAATTCTCGTTGTCCGACCTCCGTGATGGAAACTTTTGCCTAGAAATTTTTATGGTTTTTTCTGCCCTCCTGGTCGGTCTCGGACGGACATGGGACATGATTGTCGGATCCAATAGGAAGATGTGTAGGAAAGGATCGTCCGCAGGATACAAGATGCTAGCAGAATTGGCGTCAGCTTGTGTCTTGACCAAGTCACATCCCACTTGGCAGTCGACCACTGCACATATTCACGATACTATAAGTACCGATCTGCTGCGAATCCGCAATTCGAGCCGAGATCGGGCCAAATCGGACTATCGGAGGATCTGCGTTGCGGAAGAACCGGACTAATGCGGGCTGATGGAGGGGCAACCTCAGACTTCCAAGGCTTGACGGCGGCGATGCCAAGGCGGAGTCCCCCTGCTTTCGGTTCTGCTTGCGACGATCTCGGCTGATAACTGATAACTGATATCGCGACCAAGAGAGTGATGAATCAGCTATTCCTAGTGGCACGCGACGCTTCAGTTGTCTCGAGGAACTGTACGATACTCCGAAGCCTGGCTGGAATACACCTTTAATTATTGCACGATAGAGTGTATTTGATCCCGCCGCGACAAGCTTCACAAGAAATCCATCAGTTGATGGTCGGCGAGACTGTGGATTACGACCTTCCGTCCCAGACGTTGGCCAAGAAATCACGTATCCCAACAAACTCATAGTCGGGGAACAGCTGGTTAAGTTCATCCGACACGTCCCAAGCACCCTTCGTACTGCTAAGCAAGATCCCGATGGGTACTGCCGTCAGAAACCCTGCAGCTTGGTTCTCCGAGACGGCCTGGTGACGAGCTTCGAGAGCCCACGATGTCTTCAGATCTCCGGCTTCGAGATCTTGGGATTGAACCTTTTCGACGGCGAACGGACCGTCTGGAATAATCATGTAAGCAAATGGGCCTCTATCGTGCGTGGATCGAATAAGGTTACCCCGAACCTTCTCTCCGATCTCAAGAATCTGGGAGAATGTGACTCGATTACCGCGGATGCCACCGATGATGGGCCATTCGCCGTCATAATCGACGGCTTGAGCGACGACCGCAGCTACATCTGCCGCCGTGGTCAGAGTCATGACCGCATCCTCATGGCCATCGACGACAATCGCGCGCCGGTTTTGGTAGTCGAATACCGTCTGAAGCGGAGCGACGTGCTTAGCCGTCTTGTATGGAAAGGCCAGGTAGTCTAAAAAGAGCCCTGGTTGGAATAAAATATACTCCAGGACCTATGAGCGGGATTAGCACGAGCACGACTGTTGTGGAGGGTAAATTCCTACTTTTCCATCCTTGTTTACCTCCTTCAAATACTTCCTGATCTTTTCTTTTCCCGCCCACCAGGGCATGTCTATGGTCCCCGAACTACGAGGCCATACTGTTAGTTGCCGGCTCCACCACAAGTCAGTACCCTCATATTGTCTCACCTTCCATATTCGCTTGGCGCAAACCGCTTCACGCCAGCGGAAACGGCCGCGTCGATGAGATTCTTCTGCGACTTCTGATCCGGATCCGCAAGGGGTTGGACGAACGACAAGAGGGTGTGGACTCCTTTCAGGGCTCGAATCAAGTCACTCGCATCATTATAGTCAACGACACGCCAGTGGACTCCAGGCGTGACGTCTTTTGTAGCAGCTTCCTAAGTTCAGTCAGAATTAAACAACCGGGATTCGAACGGATATAACCCCACTTACACTCCGGCTCAAGATAGTTATGTCATGTTTGTTCGCGACCACTAGAGCATCGATGACTTCTCTGGAAACCTCTATATCAAGTTAGCGAGATCTATGTCCATGGCTTCGAATCCGGTGGACGTACGTCCGCGACCACCGGCAACCGCGATATTCACCATTTTGCTTATATCGGCCGTATGATAGTACGTGTACACGTCGGTCAAGCTAAAAGTTAATGATTCGATGGAACAATGCCCTATCTGCTTGCCATATTGGAGGGTATTTATAGACAAAATATGTCTCGTCTGCTCTGGCCGAGTTGCACGGTCGAGGAGATATGTCAACCGTAAATACAGCCGCGGATGAGTGTTCCATAGTGAAAAATTAGCTGTATATTTCCCTAGAACTTCTGTAATAAGCTTTTGATAATTACCACTTCGATCGAAAGTAGCCTTCTAGTGGGATCTACTTCTGATTGGTGAATTATATCATGGTATCTTCGCCCGCGGGCGATTTGTCCGCCGCGGACGACTGAACTCTTCTAGCCCAGAGATGATCATTATTACTACGATTTTCACTCCAACTTTGTCATGCCGATGAAGTGACGGTGGAGAAGTAAAAATGTCGGAACCGAACCCCGACCACGAATCCCCATCGAGTCATGAGCCGCCCGCAGCGAAGCGACGAAAGGTCCGCAAGGGCACGCAAAGTTGCTGGGAGTGCAAGCGGCGGAAGATCCGGTGCACATTTGCCGCGTCTAGGGAGTCGATCTGCGATGGGTGTAAGAGCCGTCGGACTAAATGCATTGGTCAAGAGTTTTGCGACGAGAGGACAACGGCAAGGAGGAGAGAGAAGGTCGGTCGTTTGGAAATGTTGGTGGAGCAGGCGATTACTACGAGCACGGGAGACAGATCGAACGCGTCGTGTCGGGATAGGCGGAATGTGGCGGCCGTCACTGTACGTGACATTTGCAGTTTTGGCCAAATGTCTATTCTCAATTCTGACATCGGAATAGCATTGCCTGGACGACCATTCAATTACTGGGCCAAAAAGCCCCGGGCCGTCCCGTCCTGGTCTGGTTCCTTCTCCAAGCTGGCAAATTCGATCAAGAGACAATCACAGTGAGGTATCCCGCGCTTTAATAGCCGTGTGGCCCTGCCAGAACGAGCTTGATCGCATCTTAAGCGTCCCCGTAAGTATGTCAGTCCTACTCCACGGTGTGGTTTGCCGGCCGTACTCTGGCTTGCTTAATGGAGATATGCCATCGCCACGGGACATGTTGAAGCTGCCTCCACCCGAGTCTCATCCGGTCTTGATAGCACGAAGGCTTCTCCTACTCGGCACATTCCTGCAAGGCATTCCGTCGAGCTCTCTCAAGGACTTGGTTGGCCTTGGTTCCGACTATAGGGATATCGAGTCTCGAGTGGTCGATGCGGCCAGACTAGTGACTAACAACGACGACCTCGTCGGCTCACTCGAGGGCATCGAATGCATCATGATCGAGAGCATGTATCACAACAATGAAGGAAACCTCCGTCGTGCGTGGCTGATCGGCCGTCGAGCGATGGTGCTGGCGCAAGTGATGGCGCTTCATCGAGGGAGTGACTCGCCTCCACCGACGATACTCGATATCGAGACGCGAGATCGTATCCATCCGGAACACATGTGGTTCCGCTTGGTATGTTCGGACCGTTACCTATCGTTGATGCTTGGGCTCCCACAGGGCTCGGTTGAAAACATCTTCGCTACTCCAACGGCACTGGAACAGTGTACGCCCATCGAGCGGATGGAGCGACTTGAGTCGGTTGCGGGTGGACTGATCCTACAGCGTAACAGCGTCGACCTACCTGAACTTTCACTAACGCACAAGGTTGATAAGTTGCTCCAGGAGGCTGCTGCCTCGATGTCGGCCCAGTGGTGGCTTACTCCTCACCTCGCCTCTATCACCGGCGATGATGTTGATGCATTCACGGAGACAATCCGTGCCATGAATCAGTTCACTCACTACCACTTACTATTGCAGCTCCATCTTCCGTACATATTACAGCGGTCTCCTGACCGGAAGTACGATTACAGCAAGATTACAGCTGTGAACGCCAGCCGGGATACTCTATCCCGCTTCCTGTCCTTATGCAACTCCAACGCAGCCACCTACTGCCGCGGCATCGATTTTCTCGCCTTCATCGCAAGCACGACACTGTGCCTAGCGCATATCGATGCTCGCCGCCACCATCGGACCGAAACCGGCGACGGCGCCACCGTCTTTCAGTTCCTCGCACACCAGCGGCTCGGCGACCGCGGAATGATGGAGCGCACGCTAGCGAGTATGGAGCAGATGGCCGAAGTAGGCAACGACGTGGTCGCGACGAAGATTTCTGGCATGCTTCGGCATTTGCTTGCGTTCGAGGCCGACTCGGCAGATGGCGGCGCCTATAGCACTAGTGCGTCCCCCGGGGCGAGAGATGAGAAGTTCCACGCCGGTAGCAATTCCAGCGACGCTGGCGACGTACTACGCATATATGTCCCGTATTTCGGGACCATCAATATCGAGCGTTGCGGTCACAGATTCCCTAACCAGGCGACTCGCACCAGGTCAGTGCCGCAAGCACCCCATTTCGATGTGGAGGTAATACCGTCTACGCCGACAATAACATCATATCATGAGCGAGAACCAGAACTTCAAGGAGCGTGGGCTCCTGTGTTCAGCCCCTCTCATTTCGACCTTCCCGGACTGCCACATCAGGCTACATTGGTAGCAGAGGATCAAGATGTACCTGGGCTGGTGACTGAGATGAACTGGTTGTCGCCAGGCGTAGATATGGGATGGCTTGAAAATATAATTGGAGATACAATAGAGCCGGCTGTACCGGAGCCAGAGGCTTGAATGCCTCGTAAGTTGCCCACTAATCGTTTCCAATGGTCTGTTCCGCGTATTGTTCACATCTGTAGGTAAAGCTATGATTTGGTAAATGACGCAATTATTCTAGTTCTGCTAGGAATGCCGCGATTGACCATGGCCGAAGATTTGGATATGGAATTCGGCAAATACGTCTACATCAAGAAACCAGATTAACGATATTCAGGGCTCATGCAGTGCTCAACATACTGACCGCGAGCGCTGTTAGTACGCCATATCGTAGCCTAGACGGCGTCAAAGGTTCTGAGCCACGCTAAATGAAACGAGACTCTACTTCGGAAAACAACTGGTCCCAACTCGGGTACGTCGTCTCGTGTCCAAGGGTGCCAAAGTCTTCCCACGTACCCCCGAGCTCAAAGTATGGAAGGGAAGATGTCCCAGTGTCGCCAAGATCCGTGGGAATTTCCATTTGCGCATTCACCAGTCGCGTCGGGGTTGCGTTGTGGTTAATTGAAATGTCGTATCTCCCGAGCAACTCGGACATAGCTTTTAGAAATGTTGCGACGGCAGGTAAAGTTCCCTGGACTTCTTGAAGACACCGGTACGCACTCATGATGTCGGCAATCTGGGTTTCTTCAGTCTCCTTGGACCGGTTGAGGCATAAATCCATTACGAGCACAGTGGTTGCGAGAAAGCAGTAGTGGATAATAACGATGAACCGAAGGGGGGGGATGGTGGCCAGGTCCATCTCGAGTTTCAGATTCTGCTGAATCGCGAGAATGGCTCGTGCGGATCTGAGACAGGCTGTCCTAGAGTGGCTGTATCCCGGATTCGTCGAGTTCCGGATCAGAAACGGTTGGTGCAGTTTACATCTGCGCGCATGGAAGTTGAGATTCATCACGTATCGTTGAATCGGCCAGATGGAGGGCTCCGCCAAACTTGCACCGGAATCGTCTAACTGCAGGCAGTCCGGGAGGTTCTGCAAAAACCCCTCCAGCTCCCGGTCTCGTTCGAGCACCTGGTTGTAATCGAATTTTCCACTCTTGACCGCATGAAAGGGGAGAGTATCGACAATCTTGCGGCAAATCTCGGAGAATGCAACGCGATGAAGGAAGTACGCCATCGCTGTGGGCTCAGAGAGAGGTCTCTCGTAGTCATGCGGCCGCTGGATGAAATCCTCATCATTGATATTCCGGGGAAGGTTGACCGCCATGTGGCCTGGTTGAGTCTGATAAGTGCCTTCCTGCGGGCCTCCTGTGAGGGCAAGTAGCCTAATAAAAGTCAGCTACAGGCCATACGAAACAACCACTCAGAGTGGACGAAATTGATGGCCTTGAAGTAGACCTGGGCGCCAGAAGCTCTTAACCATTCACCATATTTTACCTTATTATACGAGACAAGAGCTGCGTATATACCCCTTTCAACCACGCAGGCCTAATATCTTCCCCTACCTAGACTCGAGGCGCAGCAACGTCACGAGGCCATCAATTTCGTCCAAACCAGGATAAAGCATATGAAGCGTGAAACTCGTACCAGTCTGATGAGACCAAATGCCACCATATCCTCCGCTTGATCTCTTTCTGAATGAATTCACTATCCGTGAGATTCACGTCGGATGAGCTTTTGAAATCAACACGGTGTAACGAGAGCTCCCGCGCCGTTGATAGGGCATTTTGAAAAATTGCCCGTCCTCGAGGGGAGTAACCTTCCAGGTTGAAGACCAAAAGATATAGAACGATAGATGCTTGAACATCTTCAACTGTGCCTCCCCTGGCTCTCCTCGAATGGTCGATGCAGTCTAGCGAAGACTTAACCCATAGTGTTGAGAGATGGGAAGCGAACTCGACACTATTGAGGAACGGAGGGAGGCTCTCTTGCATGATGTAGGAGGAAAAGCAGCAGGTCATGGCGAAGATGGAAAGAAGAAGAGCAGCCTGGCCAGATGAGACAGATTCATGAACGGTTATCCGCCTCATGATATCTTCACACGAGGCGCGTATGGTCGGTGTATAGACAACATGGTGAATCGCTGACAATTTAGTTCCGTAAGCATTAACCAGGGCTCTCGCTTCTTCTAGACTCGGAAAATCGATCATCTTAGAGATGGCCGAGTGTTCTTTAATGGGATGAATGCGAGCCTCATGTTCTTTCAATAGCAAATCGCGGAGGATTTCATGAGCAGGAAGGCTCCGGAAGATTAGATCATCGCATACATCATGAAGCTAGTCGGTGTTAGTCAAGCAGGCGACTTCAATCAATCGTGGATTCTTGTACCAGAGGCACATCTCGAACGCCAACCGACTCCAAAAAATTGCTTTCATCCTGATGCACTTCTGAAGCGCCGGAACTTCGGTCGAGTTCAATGCGGCCGTGATCTTTGCCGCCAGCGACCGATGTGTCGGACTTGAGGCTCACCAGCAGCTCCTCCAGTCGATGAAGTTTGTCGAGGATTTGCCGACTATCCACCTCGTCCCCGTTCTTCCTTTGCCGCGCTCTTGTTTTCTCCGTCTCCAATCCGATGCCACCGGAGCACGGTTCGCCTCGTGCTATACAGTTCGTGCATGGAAACGTTCGACTGCATTTGAGTTTCCGCAGCCGACAGAGATCACAAGACACCGGACTTTGGCGGGTCTTCCTTCGTCCGATACTCGAACTGGATGACATGGGTGGTTTCGAGAGTCGAGACTTGGCGGGATGTTCATCAGTTATGAGGAAACGTGGAATGTGCTTCGATGAGTCGATTGATTACTGCACCCAGACTCCCAGCGGGATTGATGGATTTCGCGATTGGGAGTTGGACAAGGGTAAACGACGCATCGGGATTCGGGAACAGGAGGGGAGCTAAGCGCCGATGTGGCGCTGTTGGGTCAACGGCTGGAATTGGGTTTCGCACTTCTCTGGTAGCCAGTGGTAAGGTCTCGTATTGCCGATTGCGCCATCATCTCGCGTAAATAAGCTTTGGCCATGTTCAAACAAAACTATGTAATAGCGAAGACGTCGTCCCTCGTGACTCGTCAGACGTCAATATGTTTTGCCATAGGCCCATAGCCCATACTATGTACACCTTGTGTACCAGATGGTGGCTGGGAGAGAGACTTGTAGTCAAAATATCTCCGGTTTCTCCATGACGATGGATATGATCCAGGTGATTGATTCGATCGTCCGGCTTTATGAGAATGTTCTAGGGGAGGCAAGATGATATCCAGGATTAAATCACCCACAGTGTCTCAGTTACCCTTTTCATCCTGGGCACAGGGTGACAGGGTCCAGAAAGTCTTGGTTCCCAAATCGTAGTGTTGGTCGATGTTGAATTAACGTAATCCACCAGCGAGTCGCCCAAACCACCGAGTCGCCCACCTCATCTCCATAACAGCGATCATCATGGTTTTTTCGCAATGTCTCAACAACAGCGCCCTCAATTACCTTCAAATGAAGCTAGAATGAACCTAGCCATCCAGACTATCGAACAAGACCAAGTTCAATCAATTCGAGAAGCTGCAAAAGCTTACAACGTCCCGTGGAGTACCTTACGTGACCGCCGCAACGGAATGACTGCACGAAGCGATTGCGTTCCGAATTCGAAAAAGCTCTCAAATACAGAAGAGAGGGTGATTATCGACTATTGCCTCGACGTCGATGCGCGCGGATTTCAACTCAATTACGATATGTTGCGAGATATAGCCAATAAGCTACTCACCGATCGCGGTCAGGCTCACGTTGGTATCAATTGGCCATCGAGATTCGTACAACGCGTTCCAGAGCTCAAAACACGTGTTAATCGAAAGTACGACTATAAAAGAGCCCTGAACGAAGATCCAGAGATTATTGGCGCGTGGTTTCGCCTCGTACGCAACGTGAAGGCAAAATACGGCATCCTGGATGAAGATACTTACAACTTTGATGAAGTTGGCTTTCAAATGGGCGTAATCGGGACACGCATGGTCAGCACGGGTACCGAACGACGTCAGACTCCAAAAACCTTGCAGCCAGGCAATACAGAATGGGTAACATCGATCATTGCTGCCAGCGCGCAAGGTTGGGTTGTCCCACCCTTCATCATCTTCAAAGGCGCTCGACATTACAATACCTCGTACGAGGCGATTGCGGATAGGCCTGATTGGGTTCTATCAGTTAGCGAGAAGGGCTGGACGTCCCTTGAGCATGGATTTGAGTGGTTAAAGCATTTTAATCGCTTCACAGAAGACCGTACGACTGGCGCCTATCGGCTTCTGATTATGGATGGCCATAACAACCATGACACTATCCAATTCCAGGATTTCTGCAAGGACCAGAAGATCATTACTCTCTGCATGCCTTCGCATTCATCACATTTGCTACAACCCCTCGACGTTGGCTGTTTTGGGCCATTGAAGCGCGCGTATAGCAAGGAGATTGAGGACTTTATCCGGTGCCGCATCAACCACATCACGGAAGAGGACTTTTTACCTGCTTTCAAGACCGCCTTCGAAAAAGCAATTGCTACGGAGAATATCCAGGGCGCCTTCAGAGGCGCAGGATTAGTGCCTTTCGATCCAGAAGCTGTTATTTCAAAGCTTGATGTCCGATTACGGACCCCGACGCCATTACCAGAGATCCCTCAATGGGTGTCGCAAACACCACGCAATGTCGCTGAAATAGGATCCCAAACGGAGTACATACGACAGCGCCTTCAAAGACATCAAAATACCTCCCCAACATCGCTTTTAGAAAGCTTTACAAGCCTTGAGAAGGGTGTTCAAATGATCGCGCACGGAGCTTCAATCATGGAGGTTGAGATAGGAAAGCTTCGGAAGGCAAACGAGACGCTATCAAAGCGCAAACAACGAAAAAAAAAAGTGCTTAAGGGCGCTGACACGCGCTCAATTACTGATGGGCTTCAATTAGTTGAACAACGTCGGGATCAAGATATAATCAGTCAAAATGGTGCTTCTAGTGACGCTCCTGGAAGGCGCCAGCGACGTTGCGGACGCTGTCGCGAGCCAGGACATCGAGTTGAGACCTGTTCAATGCCTCAGTTAGCTATACCAGAAAACGTAGATCCTAGCCTACTTCCTAATTAATAAATTGCTTCGGTAGTTGTTGAGATATTCAGGTTACGGTAGTGGGCCACGGTTGAGGTGGGCGACTCGGTGGTTTGGGCGACTCGCTGGTGGATTACGTTAGTACTACTACGTTAATTATGTACGCAATATTAATGCGCCCCTGAATTATAGCTTGCTTACCCGACCCTTCGCCCTTAGAGCTTAGATACATTTTAACGACCTTTAGCTGCTAGGGAATTTTTGCCAATAGGTACCCATCAGCCACCACGATACCCCAACGCTAATCAAGTTCTTAGTTCGACTCCAAACAATACGGCCTAGGTACTCACGGCACGCGCCCAATTTGGCATCAAATGGGCACACGAGGCACAAGTACCCTCTTCCTCTATCACCCTTTTCGAATCCTACATCAGAGTTCAGACAAACATCGCCGACTTCATAGAGCCTCAGACACATGAACAAAGGGCTAAGACTCAAGAGCCGTGATCGGAATGATGTGACGCGTGATCGGCGTCTTCGGCCCCAAACTCTTCTCACGTTAATGTGGCCTACTGGGCAGGTCCAAACAGCGTGTTCCAACCGAACAACCGCCTCTCGACGAATAATTATCGATGCAAATGGTAGACGAAGTGCTGGTGTATTATGTCCTGGAATTGGATTGGCGATGCGAAGAACGCAAATATAAAAATGTAGTCCAGCAACCAATTACTATGGTAAGGTATTACCCCAGACCACACAGACTATGGGAATAATTAGTGCGGCTCTGCAACTCCCCCCTGAATCCCCACATCTCACCACGGGACATGGACGAACTCGGAAGAACTGAATGGTAATTGGACAAAATGTTAAGTGATCGATTTCCGATTCCAATAACTAACTTACGGATAAAGCTTACCAAAGTCCCACAATCACATGTATGATGTGCCTAACTAGTCCGTGCCCTTCGATGTCCCGCCTTGCGAGTTGAAACTTGCATCTTATCATTGCGATTCATAGGCCCGAGCCCTGACAGCTGACTTCATACAGTACGGAATATCCTGTACATACAGTAATCGAGATGCTCCTCCTATCTCAAGCATAGGGTATATTCAGTAGGGAGAGCAGTGCTCAGGTTCTTTTCATACAGGATTAAAGGTCCCGCTCACACTTCGTTTCGACTTTCGACTTTCAAGTCCCCTAGACAATTTGCAGGATGCTGGAATACAGAGTCAGGAATTAGTTAGGGGAAAGCTAATTAATTCCTTTCGTTGAGACCTGCCGTTCCATCAGAACGGTTTAGAGTTTGCGCTAGGCCATCTGACAACCGTGCTCACCAATAAGCGGGGATCGCGTCCCGTCTATTATGACCTGTCCCTGGTCCGTGGTATGGATCTACGAGCCGTTCCCGCTTATAACCTGGTTGTAACTTTCGTTCCCAGGCTGGCGAACTCTGATCGCTCGAAGCTTTTCCCGTTTCGCCTTAAAGACAGGACTTTGCTATCATGGAGCGCCCGACTTCCCAGGTTCGAGCTCATTTTTCTGTCCTGTTGTCCTGCTGTGATCAGTCCCAAGTATCCACTCCGGGACTCCAGGCGGACTCTCTTCAAGATGGGTGGTGGACCATTTCCTCCACTGGCGGTTGTCACGACATGGAAGCCGAATTACAAGAATCCGGAAACGAGAGGATGGGAAATCGTGATCCTTGTATCCGTCCTCCTGGCCTTCACGTACATCGTCGTTGCCCTTCGCCTGTGGGCTCGATTTATAATATCGAAGAGTCCCGGTATTGACGATGTGTTGATCGTCTTCAATCTGATCCCTTTGACCGGCCTCACCGTTGCATTGAGCTTGGGTAAGATGCTCCCCGTTGGGTTATAGCTGGCACAATCTAACGAACACAAAGCCTTCAGGTGGTACGGCTTCGATCGCCATGTATGGGACAATCCGCTCCCCGTCCTTCTACAGAGTCGTCAAGTACGTATCCCGAAGCCAGGCCCGATCAAGATATCCGGTTGCTGACCATTGCAGATTACCATGGCTCTGGAGCAAATCTACATGCTTTCCACCGTAACCACCAAGATCTCTATTCTCCTGTTCTACCGACGCCTAGGCGTAGGCGCGGTTACGCACCGCTTCCTCTACTGCGTGTATGCCGCCATTGCGTTCGTATTGGGCTACTTTATCGTCTTTACGCTTACGCTGTGGTTTCATTGCCGCCCGATCTCCGCGTTTTGGTTACAGGTTGACATTCTCTGGAACGCGAAACACAAACAGGATTATACCTGCATCAACGAGCCTGCCAACTTAATCGCCGCGTCAACCATTAGCGTGGTGCAAGATTTTATTGTTTGTGGTATGCCCCTGGTTTTGTTCCGGAATATTCGAATCCCACGGCGACAAAAGATAGTTTTGGCTGCTGTTTTCGGAGTTGGCTTCGTGTACGTTTCACCCACATCTACTTCTAATGATGGTGGTTGCTAATCATGAACCCGCAGTCTTTGCATTTGCGGCGTCTTGCGCGTCGTGTACACTATTCCAATCTACTACCATACATATGACATGACATGGGAATCGTACCCAGCGTGGATCTGGTTCGCTATAGAGTCTCATCTCGCAGTCATGTGTGCATCCGCGCCAGCGTTGAAGGTGTTCTTCAAGGATCTCAATGTTTCGAACATCAGTGCCAGCTGGAGGACCCCCACGAAGAGGCAGAATGGCACCGACGGGAGGAATGGATTGGATTACAATGAGGCTAAGAACGGGGGGAGGACATTGGATACTGTGGATAAGAAATATCCCACCCCCAGTCAGTTTGCTTATGATGCGTCCGAGTCGTCCGAACAACTTACCGAACGCTATCGGCCAAGTTATCTAGATGATGGAGGGAGCAGAGACATCGAGATGGGGTCCCTCAAAGAGCGGCAGGATTTCCATCAAGAACCGAGAAGACTGCCGGAGGAAATAGATAGGTCATGGCTAACTGACTCGACATCACGGTCACGACACGGCCACAACACGTAAATAAATAATCCTTTCTAATGGAAATATGAATACACGATACGCGAAATCAATGCTTTCTCCAACTGGCTGCCTTGTGGTCTTAAACCCTCACTCACTCACCGGTTGTCCAGAGGTCTGTCCTATTGTTGATGCTATTCTGGAGAGTGTTCCATCATCATTGATCTGGTGGGGTGCTTGAACGGTCGTGGCCCCGTTTTAAACTACTAGAGCCACGGTTACCAATAGAAGGAGTAGGCGGTTCTAAGGATTGAAGAAGGGGATAAGTGGTGGTAACATTTATATTATTAATGCCGTCAACGTTGAAGACGGTAAACAGATGTATACGCAACGGGCTATGTACCGTTGAATACCCCTTGGTGGTCGAGAGGAATTGTAGTGTCCGACTTGCAAGGGTTATATGGTGGCGGTTGTACTATGTATGAGGATTGAGGAGGGTTGGACACTGGAGTGACTGGAGTGACTTGCATCCCCATGCATTATCTAGGCAGCAGGAGCCAAGCTAGCTCATGGATAGTCAAATTCGTAAATTGAGTGAGGATACGTTCTTTATCATACTGAAGAGTACAAATTACGAACCAATTCGTTCCTCATTATAGCACTAATTTGACCATCAAGTATTCATCTTGCCTCGAGAGGATTACGACCTTAGTTCAGTTCTTTTGATGCCGCAAAACATTGCGGTGCTAACCTAGTTTCTTGAACTTTCGTCAATCTCTGCTCCAGTCTTCATAGTCCGGCAGGGAGTCAAGGCCCGAACCCGCCAGCTTCTCCGAACCTTCCTCCCTCTCCAAACCTAGCAGCTCCTCCAAAGCTAAAAGCTTCTCCAAACCTTACAGCTTCTTCAAACCTAACAGCTTCATCGAACCTAACAGCTTCTCCAAGACAACAAAGTGATAACGGGCATAATGCCTTGACTCGTCAGCTTATGATCCAGAACCAAACCCAATACACTCACCAAAGCGATGGTTTGAAACTGTATTGCAAGTTGTCTAGAGTCCTGTGGAGTAGTTAGCGCGTATAAAGTAGACACTCTTGATGAGGAAAGTCATACTTGATTTTGGTATTCACACAGAACAAGAAGCAAAGAATAAACGCTGCTTACTCACCACGGAGGATATCGACGGTCTGAGCTTGCCGGAAGTTTTGTTTAACAAAGGGAGACAAAACGTTGGATTTTCATCCCCTAGCCCGCAAGCTCTTCCTGTTGAAGAACGGCGGCGTCAACATCAAGTTCAGAGAGAGCCGTCTTAATTCTGATGGAATGGTAAAGCTCGGGTCCCATTGCAAGTGGCATGGACACGCGATGGCAGAGGAAAAAAAGGGAAAGAGAAGGAGAGGAAGGAGAAGGAGAGGAAGGAAAAGGAGAGGAAGGAGTTGAGAGAAAGGATAAGGAGAGGGAGAAGATTATTACCCTGAACTCGAGTCAAATTCGAGGACCCACAAACTCTGCCAGTAATTATTAGTAGCTCCTCAAAAGGTAACTACTGGTTCTATTAAAAGATTCACCGGATAAGTCAACATGCATTCATCTTTTCAAGGCTCACAGCCTGAACAATGCATCTTGTGACTGCTATCGGACAATTTATTCGTCATGTTCCTATCAACACGATGGCCGACTGTACTGGGCGTAGTCAATCGGGGACACGCCATCGCATATCGATCCAAGGTGGCTACCCTTCCGCATCAACAAGTCTCCTCGATGTAAGGACCGCCACTCCATGCCTGCCTGGTGGCTCGGGATATCGGAAGCCTCTTCAAGGCATTTATTGAATGGTGAGGCAGAAGAGGGTTATCAAGATTGAGAGGGGGTAGGCGGTAGCTATTTGTACTCGCGGATTTGAAAAATAACGCTATACCGGATGGGGGAACGCTAAACCGGAAAAGAAAATTCAGTACTACCGCCCCTTAATGGGGTACAAATGAAAAATAACCTAGAGGTGAGCACATTTACGCTCTGTAGCGACGATTAGGGGACTTCGGAGGAGCAGGAATGAGGAAACCATTCCAATGCTAATGACCGCCTTTTAAGACCCATTGGCCCTATGGCCCCTGGCTGCAACTCTGTATCGGAAAGTCCATGGAGACTCCGGGATAGGAAACCTCAGAGCGAAAAATGGTCCGTGGAGCCAGCTCTCAAGCGGAAAGTCCACGGAGCTTGCAGGATATATAAGGAGGTAGACGCCCAGAAGGAAAATGGCTGAATATGTGTCAATTGCATGAAACTCAACGCCATAAATTCAACCGCCCCCAGGTATGGAACTATCGGAAAGTGAGAAGCCCTCAGACAAATGTCCGGAGGCGCTGAAGGATGCGGAATCAGGTACGGAAGTCAAGTGCGTCATGATCTAGATTCATATCGTAACTGAAGCACTGATATTTGTCCTAGTCGGCGTTCCGTACTTGTCCTTGTCGGGTCCTTCTTCGCCGTGTTCGTCACGACAGGATTCCTGAATGCTTTTGGAGTGTTTCAAGAATACCTGTATGCACATCTCTTGTCCGACCGCACGGAGTTCGACATCGCGTGGATCGGTTCCTTGGCGACTTTCCTCATGTTCGCTGCGGCTCCAGCGCCCGGTGTGCTGTTGGATCGGATCGGGCCAGCAGTAAGCACGCCTTGATCATCTTGACGTTGGGCGAACTGATATGTCGAAAGGTACCACTCTCGGTCGGGGCCATCCTCGTGCCATTCGCCATGTTCATGTTGTCCTTGTGCACGGAATACTATCAATTCGTCCTCGCCCAAGGGGTTCTCCTAGGCATCGGAATGTCGTTTCTAGCCATACCTACCATTGCGATGGTTCCGAAATACTTCCAGCAGCATCGAGGTTTGGCAATGGGTGCCACCATAGGAGGATCCTCTTGTGGAGGTGTTATCTGGCCGATTATGCTCGATCGAATGCTGAATCATCACCGACTCAGTTTCGAGTGGACGATTCGTATCATGGCATTCACCATGCTCCCTCTAGGGGTATTGAGTGTCTTGACTGTCCGAAGTCCTGCGAAGCCAGTGTCCACGACTGCCTCAGGGGATGGGGAAGATCTTCAAGACGACGCCCAGCAGCAGGAGCCTCGCAAGAAAATCGACTTCTCCATTGCGAAAAACGGAACGTTTATCCTTCTCTGCATCGGCCTCGCGCTGACATTCCTTGGGCTATTCACACCCCTATTCTTCGTCACCACTTACGCCACCGCCCTCGGTCACTCGGCGAGCTTCGCATTTTACTTGGTTTCCATCGCCAACGGCGCCTCGTTATTCGGTCGAATCATCCCCGGGATCCTATCCGACAGGTACGGTCATTTTAATCTATTGATCATCGCCTGTGTGACCTCAGCAGTCGTCGCCCTCTGCTGGACTGCTGCAAAGAGTGCTGCGGGTTTAGTGGTTTGGTCGCTGGCATACGGATTCTCTTCGGGTGCGATTCTAATCCTTCAGGCGGCATGCTCTACGCAGCTATCGACTCCTGAAACATATGGGACAGCAATTGGACTGGTCCTAGCAGCGGTTTCCGTAACGTAAGTGCGCAGTTGTTAGCATGAGGTGGTATGTAATGACTAACACATCGCAGTGGACTTGTCGGGAATCCGATCAGTGGCAAGCTTGTTCCGCATGGGTATCTTGCGCTCTCACTGTATTCTGGCTTAAGCATTATGGTTGGTGGAGCATTAATTGGGTGGTCGCGTGTGAAACAAGACAAAAAATTATTTGCCAAAGTGTGAAAGGCAAAGGATCGAATGAACACGGGGCTGACATCAAACTGCGCTGGACTTGACAAGATAAGAACTAAAATAGAACGAGATCACGACATAAGACTCCCTCCATTAAAAAAAGAGTGGGCTCAAGCAGTCTCTCAATCTCTTGTATATCCCAAAATATCACCTAGTTTTGACAGGCTTTGGCCATTTATTTAATCATCACGGAGTTCTCAGCTAGTGAAGGTTCAGGTCAACTTGGCTCTCCATGGACGTGGATGGGCGTAAGAAATATGTGCAGCAACTTCGCGTTTGAGCCAATCCAATTCGAATCAATTAGTGCACTCAAAGAAGCACCGCCTGAGCAATAATGCTATCGTAAGGATAAAGTTGTTAATTAGTAAACGTGAGCGATGCAGTTGCGGCGGTGTCGCGAATGAGATTGAAAGAAACTCCTACAAAGATTATCTCAGCTTGGGCTCAGACGTTACCCAAGCCATGACCCTGGTTTAACTAAACCAGAACCGGATTAGACCCATATTTAGCGTAAAATCTACTCACGTGAGTGCAACTGTCTTGTGTACCGTCTGAGAAGCCTCTGCAAAATTAGCGTGGATATGTAGATGATGAGATTTACTAGAACTGACGAGGTTGCGAATAACATCATACGGAGAAGTTGGGTGGGCTCCAGAAGTTGATGAAATATAGATAAGGGTTTGTTAAACCGTCTTATGGCTTTTAAATACCGAATTTCTAACTGTAGATTCTGTAACTAGAGTTTAAAGCTTGCTTGTCGCGTCATCAAGCGTAAAGGATCAATCTCTAGATCTGCCTCCATGCGACTAAAGCGCCGGCAAGGCCGCGCCTATGGGCGTGAAACCTCCCTATATAAGAATCCAACCTCTGTACAACCACCTTCCATCGAGAAAACGATCGAAGAACGGATATCCATAATTGCAACGACACCAGATGAAGAGTTATGCTCGGTATTACAAGAGCTAGTCAAGGCCTGCCTGATACGAAAGAACATTAAATACCAGTATGGTCTGATCTTCCATGGTTTGCAGCGACTCCTGGCTGGTCGGCTCCCACGTATCAACTAGGTTCGGGCTCTTCGACGAATTGTTTTTCGCCATGGGGATACTATTGTCTCTGCTAAGACTGGTTTTGGGAAGAGCATTATCTTCCATGCTATCCCAATCTTTATTGGCAGAATTGTCATCCAGTTGATTCCTTTAAGCAAGCTTGGAGAGGAGCAGAAGAGGTCAGGCCTTGCCTTGTTACAGCGGAGACCAAGCGCACGAATCCGAACCTGTTAAAGGAGATTGCAGCTGGATTATACACCCGTATCTTGATGAGTCCTGAGCAAGCAGTTAGCGACGAGTTTCATGATTTGCTGTCAAACCCTAGTGTCAAGGACGTAGACACGTAGTGATGTTGTCTGGAATACGTGTATTGTACTACGTGTGAAAGATAATATTAGTACAAAGGAGGAAGATCCATCAAGCGGAGAGTCTTCCTGATATGTAACTTTTACAAAAGCACTCAGGCGTTGGTCATGTGATGTCATGTGATATTATAACCGGCCAATGTCTGAACCGTGACGGACTGTAGAGTGGTTGGATTGGTCCTAAAACTTGATGAAATGTAGAAGTCAGGGCGTAGAACCAATTTCTGAAAACAGATTAGCGATAAACATTCTGTATCAAGTACACTTAGCGATGGGAGTTCTCTCACCTATTTCATGATATGATGCTCTACCATCCATACAAACTCTGCAGACTTCTCTCAGACGGCAGTGGTGCCCCCTGCCTTTATGGCATATGATTGGTCAATATTTAGAGAGGAACGCTAAAAAAGAAGCTGGGCTTCATTGGGTATAGCGGAACCCAATCTTGGCCAGGGGGCACCATTGCCGGCTGAGTCCCAACTGAGATAATACAAAGACGGAGAGAAACCCCTGGAAAGTTGCCAAGTGGATTCCTTGCTGCCTGAGCTTGGCACCTGCCCTGGCGCGATTGGGTTGCCTCAGTGTTGCCGGTCGTCGGCTGTCGCCGATCGTGCCTTCCTTTTTGGGCTCTAGAGTTCTCAGCATCCTCCTCTCCAGCGGAACATCCAGCGGCCCGAGAGTCAAGATCTATGAACGGTGGAGGTTCAGGCGGCCTATCAAGGATTCAAGAGGCAGTATGCCAGTAATTGAAAATGTGCATACTTACCTAAGTTACTATTATTTATCACCACGACACATACGATTCGAGTTTCAGGAGAAAATCTCCGCGGAAGAAGATCGGTGGTCCCCAAGAAATCCTTGGCCGAGAACGAAAATATTGGACTGGCTGGAACGAGGCACCGTGATCGGAGGCCATCGGGACGTTTGATCACCGGGTAGGGGGCAGTCCAGGGGAGGACTCAGGAGTAGCTCAGAAACATCGATTCGGGCGCGATGGGACGGATGTGAACGCGGCAGATCTATAGAGAGGACGGTATCAGAGTGGGCGATGTGGTGAAGACCTGAAAACTGACATTGTCTGGATAATATTCTTGCTGGGAACAAGGAGGGCTATGATGTCGGATAACTAGTCTATGGATCCAAAAACAGGCAGAGTGGAACTGAAGACGAGTAAACGGCGTGAAATGTAGGTTAATGGAGAGGATCAGTAGAGTCGAGCTGGATGCTATGATCATGAAAAATTTGGTAGGCCTAATAGAAACCCTAGCGCCAGGAATGCCTCTATGCTAATTCGTGTCTCGCAGAGTCATCAACGTGCCGTCGCTAAGGACCATCGCATCATAACTGAATCCCAACCATGTACGCTGTTCATCGATCCGATGCTTCTCACGCTCAGTGGTCTTGCTTCGTTAGTATCAACGTGAATTACATCCTGCTTCCCCACTCCTTCCGCCCGCCCAACCTGCCTCCCATCCCCGCTCCTACCCCAAACGCCCCAAACCCCCTCTCCGTGCCGCTGTCGATGACCATAGACGAACTCGACACCACAGCCCGACTCCCCGCCGTCCCTCCCACCCCGCTCGCCCTACCACTCCCTCCTGCTTCCCCTCCTCCCACCCCCCTCCTCCTCTCCGTCCCAATCCTCACCACCCTCTCCCGAAACCTCGACCACCCCCTCTCCCTTTCCCCCCAATCACTCATCTGCCCCACCAAAAAATCCCACGCCTTATTCTCCGCCCCGAAGTCCCCTCCCTGCTCCCTCGCCGACGCCCCTGCCGCCGACGCCCCCGCCGCCGACGCCCCCGCCAACGCCCGATACTGCGCCGCCGTCGCCATCACCGTGCGCGCTGACGACGGGCCCACGCACGCTTCGCGGTACTGGCGGGAGGCGCGTGCGCGCGATGCTGCGGCTTCACCGACGAGGTCGGGGTCTTCGTGGGGGGAGGCGGTGTTGTGGGTGTTGGCTGCGGTGGCGGGGAGGAGGGAGGAAGAGCTGGCGGGAGAGGTGAGGTGGATGGGGGAGGGAGAGCGGGGAGCGAGTGGAGGAGGGTGGGGTGCGGTGACTGTGCGCGGCAGTCTCGTTGGTTGAGACGAGGGGCCGGCGGTGGGGAGGGAGGTGGCAGAGCGCTTGTATCCGGCTTGCTTTGCGGCTTGCTTTGCGCGGCGGGTGGCGACAGCGTGGAGTTGGCGGTTAGCGTTGAATGTGTTAAAGTTGCCGACTTGATAGGAGCGCATGTCGAAGTGGGCTTGGGGCCCTTCGGGGCGGGGGGCGAAGCCAGGGGCATATCTTGGGGCGGGAGGACGCTGGAAGGTCGACGGGGTGCTTTCCTCGACGTGAGGAACTAGCGGGGTGGGGATGGCATTGCTGTTGGAGGCATGGTTCCCGCTGTTAGATGGCAGTCGAATGTTGTCTTCGCTTGTGCGTTCGGAGGCAGGTTGTGGCCTCTGGCTGTAATAAGTGGGTGCTTCGGAGACGTAGGATGGGGCAGAGGAGAGGGTTGAGGAGGTTTCGGGGTCCCGACGATAGAGAGGGAGTGGTTCAATCGGGAGATCGATATCGAGGAGATTTCGTGACATCGTGAATGCTAACTACTGTATGGTCGAATGTCTGCGTCCATATGATTTCCAAAGGAGTAGCTAACTTTGTGTACTGCGGAATCTCCGACTCCGGAATCCCCGACTGCGGAAAGGGGTCCGGTGACCAATCAACAGATAAGGACTTGGACAAACGGACAGGTAACGAGAGGAGAACAAGGACAAACCGAGGATGCAGAGAGAATCAGAAGGGAGAAATCAGGAGAAGAGGAAACTCCAACCTTTAGACATGCGAGTCATATACGGAAACGGCTATTACCTTATGTACGTAAGGGTTTAGCGAAAGTGCTGCATGAGATCCAGCCTGATCCCGAGGGTTCCAAAACGAGGCGCAATGCTAATGACGAGGATGCTATAAAGAGGGGTCTGAAATAAGATCGTTGGTAGAAACAAGGGCCGTCACAGTGGTACAGCTGGCAAGTAGTGGGACGTGTTGACAAATGGAGCTGGTCTTTTGGGTCGGGATGGCCTATCTCGGCCGAAAACCTGGTGACCATCCCAGTGCCAGTAGGCAGTAAGATAACTTGGACAGGGTAGATTCAGTGGGCAACCTGTTTTCGAAGATAGTTGAAGATAGAGGGGCTTGGGAGTTGGGGGAGGTCTAGGAGCAAGTGGATGGTGAATGGTTAGTGACATCTGATTGCGGGGAACAGAATGTCGCGAAGTGGGGAGAAGGGGGCGGAGTCGGTGGGAGTACAGTTTCGAACCGGAAATTATTAGCGCAACGAGAGTCTAGGCGCGATATGAAGCTGTACAAGATAACATGAACTCGCATGTGGTAGCTGACCTTGACCCTTGTGGGGTCTAGAATGTTTGAATGTTGAATCCCTGAATTCTAGCAAATAACCTAAGTTAGTTATTACATGACGTCAACTAGTTATCTGAATATCTTTGATGATCTCCTCCATAGTTTCGCTACCGTAGCCTCATCAACTCCACTTCTCTCGTCAGAGCCCAGAGATATCAACTACCTAGCCACCCTTAGCATTGTCTCAGAGAGCTGCATATCCTCCGAATCCCCGCATGATCTACAGCGACGTCATTAGGAGGGGTTGGAGGGACTGAAGCGGAAATTGAACACGATCAAAGCAATCGTCGCAAATGATACAGGAAATTTCGTTTGAATACTCGCATGGCCAAGTCATTTTGCAAGACACGGTCACCGTCAAATCGATTTCAACTTTGCTGCTTTGGATAGATGCCGCGCCGAGTCCGCGATATTGTATTTGGAGATCCATCCTCACCCTTTTTTTCTCTAAGATTGCGCATACCTAGTTTACCTGATTCCAGCAGTATATTTCATGGCTAGGCGCTTAGCCTAACAATAATGGAAGCAAATGAATATCCAAGGCGCCACCCTTTAATCAAGAGGTAGTCAGTCTCATGGATCTGCCGCGCTCGCGGTCTGGCCTAGATCACCTTCAGTGGTTCCCATTATGTGCATTCGGCTAGGCGAGACTGTGCTCCTCGATGGAATGCGTTGAAGAATTGAGGATTCGACTCGCTTGGGGTTGAAGATCTCGGGAATGGAGCTCGACCGAGAGACGCGTCGATGGTGAAGGAAGGAATCTTGGGGGTAAGAGAGACCAGAAGGGCGAAGATGAGAAGATGCTAAAGGAGGAGTTCGGGTATAAGGCAGCGCCAAGTTCTTGGCAAAACATCTGTCTCAAATATTCGAAGGCGTAGAGGTAGAACTTCGAGCTCGATGAATCTCAATTCTCATGATAGTCCGATTTGGTCGTGTGGACAGAATCTGGGGAAGATGGCGTTCTGCACAAATGGCACGCAAGGTCGGCCGGAGAGTATCAGCTGGCGATCGACAACAAAGGAACTTCGGCTTCGTCAAGATCCGATATCTTGATTCATCACGGTCTGAATTCATTCTGTCTCTTATTAAATAACCTCAAGGTAGGCAGGTGGCTTTTTGATGTATCCCACCTGATTGACTTGTCCCTTGTCTAGGATTGAAGGGCATTGATGGTGTGCCGCGAAAATCCGCATTGTCTGAATGTATTGCGTCATAGGATGACCACCTCCCGGACCTCTTCGCCGGATACACATTAATTTGCTATCTCTAATACTTCATTGTTTTGGAATTCTGGATTGGAGTGGGGAATGGCATGTTACAGGTGTTTGAATATCACCCGGCCAACTCTGTTGCCTCGATATCTGTTCATCTTGACCCGTCGACGCGTTCGGCGAGTGATCATATATCGAAATGGTCCTCAACACGCTCACCGTCACCGCGGCTATAACCCCGACAATTGCATCAACATACGTAAATCACGTCAGTATGCCTAAAACATTGTGTCTCAGAAGCATTACTTAGTTTCCCAAGTATGCACGCCGCAGATCGCTCAAGAGGAAGCCGACTATCCATATTTCCTACCATCTAGGGTTGGAATTAGTCCGTCGATTCATCACTTACTCGTCTAAACATACGGTTGAGGAAATTCAATCCTTCACTGCCCAGTGGGTTCCAGTTCCACGATGGGTACGCTCAGAAGAGGTGGAGATATCCGAGACGTTGCTTTCCGAATCCGCCGAGTTGCTGCAACGTCAACTCGGACCCAAAGGGATCCAACTTGTGGGCGGTGCACACTGGTGGCAATGGCGTAGGCCCAAAACCCAATTCAAGGCCGAATGGATTGAGATGCGGAATGATTACAATGAACGAAAAGCATCCGGGGTGGCTCTAAGCCGCATCATCCTCTACGTTCACGGCGGCGCCTACTATTTCGGAAGCGTGGATGAGCACCGCTATCAGATGCAACGGCATGCTCGTAAATTGAATGCGCGTCTTCTGGCTCCTCGGTATCGACTCGCTCCGCAATTCCCATTCCCTTGTGGTCTACAAGACTGCATTGCTGCTTATTTGTACTTGCTTGAGTCTCACAAGCCCGAGCATATCATACTGGCTGGGGACAGCGCAGGAGGAGGATTGACCCTTGGTGCTCTTGTCACTTTGCGGGACCAGGGTATTCCGTTGCCCGCAGGAGCGATACTGCTAAGTCCGTGGACAGACTTGACATGTTCGTTCCCTAGCATGGTATGCGACAATCAGATGGACTACATCCCGACCTCTGGCTTTGTCCACAAGCCCAGCTTAGCGTGGCCGCCTCTGAACTACGAGGATTTCGGGAAACTTCTGGCTTCTTCCAAGACCACGCCACCGGAAGGCTACATGACTCCAGAGGCAGCAAAGATCACGCTCGACGGTCATCTCACTGATTTGCTCGAGCAAGTGCAGTTGTATGCACCAAATCATCTTCTCCTGCATCCGCTGGTCAGTCCCATCTTCCAACCAACACTCGGCGGTCTACCCCCTCTCCTCATCCAAACAGGTGGAGGCGAACTGTTACGTGATGAGCAAATATACCTGGCGCACAAGGCAGCAAACCCCTCAGCATTCAAGTTATCCATTAAGCATCAAGACAGGCAAGGAGTTACGGAAACGATCGACGGCCTAGTGGCAAAATATCCCCCCACCAACGTCCATTTGCAAGTCTGGGATGACCTGTGTCATGTCGGTCATACTCTATCTTGGACGCAGCCTGCTAAGTATATGTACCGAAGTGTTGCGCAATTCGGAGCTTGGGCACTCGCGCGAGCACAACACCGGGCGATCGATATCATCGTCGACGACTGTATTAGCGAGGCTGAATCGTGGGAATCGGATTCTGAGGAGTCCCGAGACACTGCCGGGGACAAGAAACGGGAAATGCATCCCGCCAAGCTGGACAGCTCCACCGAGTCCGAAGATTCGAAGCAATCCAAGCCACCCACACTGCCCCCTATCGCACCTCTCAACGTGGGGCCTGCCAATTCAGTTGGCAAAGCCGGCGATCCTTTACCGGCCTTTGAGTCCTACATGATCCGCCAACGGGTCGACCGCCACGGCAATATCTACCCTCTTCCGCCCGCCGACCAACTCAGTGCCTTCACCCTGGACCCAGATGAAATCGGCGTCTTCAAGGAAGGACCCCTGAGGAACTGGTTCGTTTCCAAGGAGAAGGCCGACAAGAAGTTTCGCCACGAGGCGGCAAGATGGAGAGACCGGCGTTTCAGTGTCGGCTGGGAGGGGTTCCATGGTCCGGAGGGCATAGAAGTTCCGCCGCCCACTGCGCTTGCAGGCAGGCAAAGTGACTTGGTAGAAGAAGGAAGTTGGCTACGGAGGCAAGCGAGAAAGAGCTTGGGGATGACGGTGTGGGCTAGCTGGGCCGGGAAGCATGATAAGGCTCGGGTATGTGACGTTCTTTACTCGAACCACGCTATACCCAACCGGCGCTGACATGACATCGTCTCGTAGATCGACCGACAAGAAATAGCTGAACAGGCGTTCGAGCCGGAATCGGACGAGCCGATGCCGAGTCCACGGCGGCAATACAGGTCGGCTCGGCCTCGGATGCGCTCGTCTTCACGGGCGCTGTCGAAACCGCGAATTGATTCCGTCTCGGATCAGGGACAAGCAGGGCCGGTTGAGGATGCACCTCAGCCCGCAAAGTCTGACCTCCTTACACCAGCTGCGGCTGAGACACGCCGATTCGATCTTTCAGGAAGCAAGGATAGGAGCAGTGAATGATTAGAGCTATGAATCTGCGGGTGCGATCATACAGTCTGCGTTCCAATATGAACATCTGAAACCATCGAGAAGGCATTGATGGTATATTTCTCGCCATTCTCGTTAAGTCGTTTTTACACACTGACAGTCCAGCGTTCAGTGAGCCAGTTTCCACACCGCAGAAATAGAAGAGATCTTGAGTTTAAAGATTTACTCCATCTCGAACCACATTAACAGTCGCAAAAATGTATCTAGGATACCATACACGGATCCGTTTCACGAACGCTTAACCAGACAACCCCTCCCCCTCCCCCTCTCCTCCATCTCCCTCCTCCTCTTCCGACACAGCTTTACGTAGAAGTTCCAGTCCTCCTTCCCACATATACGCACTCTGAGCTCCCAGAGCATCAGCCTCATCCTCGGGACTTCCGGGGGCTCGCCATCCGGAATTTCAAACCTGGGTTGCGTCGGCAGGACGTCGAGCCCGTTTCGTTCTAAGACACTGGTGTTCTCCTTGAGTGCAGCAAGTTCCGTCCAGTTGATGCACTGCCCGGTCGCGCGGTTCTGCTCGATTGCCGTCAGATTGGCTTTCATCGTTGTGAGGGGGCGATGCTTTGGTTCATCGAGAGCTCTAGCGGTGATGAAGGCTAGAGAGCTCTGACGGGAGAGAGGGGTTGCATAGCCGCTTCGCGGGGATCATGGGGGGAGAGGTAGGCCATAGGGAGGACGCTGTCGTAGTAATCGAGATGGCAATCCTCGTTGTAGGATCTGTGGGTGCTGTTGGGAATCTGGACGGTGGTCCATCATGTGGATGAGATGAGTTCTTGGAATCTTGTTTGACTAGGAGTGGAATGAGAAACTGGCTAGAGTTGACTTTTGGCAAATTCAGAAATCTAGGGCTCTCCCTCTTGGCGTTTACATTTTACTTCTGAGAGGAAAAAGTCGTTAAATATGGTCAGTGCGGATGGTGTACCAGAGTTCCTGCCTCAAAACTTTTAGGAATGACCTGTCGAACCGTTATTATTGCAGCGCCCCTTTCTAGGAAGACTCACAAAGCTGACACTTTCTATTGTATTGAACCAGTGATAAATGAACTTGAAATTAAAGGGGAATATACCAGGACTCCAACTCTAAATACTACATATACTGACTACTATGCTTCCTGGATTTCAAAACAGAGTATGGCAACGACGAAGTTCTGGTACTATCTAACAATGCAGAGGGCGAGAAATCTCAACTGATCAAGCCTTGGATTCTGGCCACCAAATCATTGCCCACAACGGAACGCCCTTCCCGTCTTTTTCACGAATTCCGTCGGCGTTCACCTTACCCTTCCCAGCTCTGACCTCTTCCACTTCTTTGAACCCCAGTCTCTGGTAGGTGTCGCGTGATTTCGTCGTGGTGGCCTCGAGCCAAATCGGTAGGCCTTCCTTTCCAGCGCGCTCTTGCAGCACTCGGATTATGGCAGATGCGAGGCCTTGGAAATCCTCGTGTTAGTTCCACGTTGGTTCTGGTGACTCACTATGACTCTATCGCAATGGGACTTGGCATGAAATTACCTTGACCTTGATGATCCGGATCGGTGGCGATGAAGAAGAGATAGTAGAAGTCCTTCTGATTCCCCAGTCCCTTCTTCTTTGCTGGCCCAACCGCGCTCGGAAATTCAGATATCATGCGCTACAGCACGTTATACCGATCATCGAAAGGTAATTGGCACACTTAACGTACCCAACTCGACGCAATCCCAACGTCGAGAGTCATCCAAATGAGCCCCGAGGGGATCAGCGTCCGCGGACTATCGATCTTCTGCTGTGGAGGCATGCACACCGCGCAGGAACTCCAGTCGTTGGCCTCGAAGAATAACCCTTTGTTCAACGACGCCGCGACCGTTAAATAGTCGAAGTATTTGGGTAGATAGGCAGATTTTTTCTCGGGCGTCATGCCTAGCATGTATTCTATCACTGGATCGTGAGCGAAGGCGCGGGTATAGACTGTGCTGATGCGCTGGCGGTCCTCTGGGATAATTAGGCTGGTCAGATGGATACGAGACAGGCGGACGAACGGGCACATACCAGCATTGCCCTCTACTGCTTTGATATTCGCCATGATGCTGAATTATTTTATATTGAGAAACTTGCGGAGATAATGACGAAATGCTCGGCTTCTAAATGCGACGACCGAACAAGAGAACGGAACGATTTTTGATGCCCACGAATGTTACAACCCTCCAACGTATGTAGTTATCCCAACTTTGCCAACTTGCCGTGTTAGTACAGCCCCCGGCGATTCATACGATTCACCGGAAACCCCGCCCGATCCAGACACGCTACATGGTTCTTTTACGAGCGCATTCGGCATTCCCGAATTCCAATTGCATGGGCAAAAGCCTAACTTAGTTAAGTTAGATAACTAAGTTAGTTAACTTAATTATGTACACAATAAAGCTGGGGTTAGGGGTAGCCCCATGAAAAGAGCGCCATGCAACTAGGTTACCAGCTGCGCTCAAATCACCCTAGCACAGGACTGCTTTCGATTCGGACCAACTGGATGAACGCGTGACTCCAATAGTTGCATTAGCTCCTGTTTGCCGAAAGGGCGGTTGAAAGTGAACTGCGATGGAGGTCTCCTGGTCAAATTGAAGACATGATAAGGCAGGCGGAGGTATCTCCTTTATTACTGGGTACAATCTTATATCAAGACCACATTCCTGGGACCTGTCAGACCGATCTGCTAGATATGATCAACCCAATCCCTACGAATTCCGGATTCCTGGGTATTGTCGATCTCAATCTTCACTTCATAGACATAAATAGTTGTTCCTGTTCGGTATTTCGCCATTGTGGGGGTCAGAATATGCGATTAGGAGCTTAAGAATGAAGTTCCATTCCAACTTCGAGATAGGGGGGACATGGGATTGCCGGACAGGGCATTGGTATGAGGAGTTTCACCATGTAAGGACTAGAAAACGGTTGCCTAGTCTTGACTCTCTTGTCGACATAGATTTTCAGTTAATTGCGGAAATTCGTAGAATGTCCTTCAGTAGCCGTATGATGACCAGGAGCATGGGATTGCTTTGAACAATTGACAATTGGGTATCCGACGCCTAGAAAATGCCGAGTGTGGTCATCACCATTGTTCCCAAGAGCAGCAAATAGCAAGATGCACTCATCTTTCGGACAGTGTTTCCCGTACCAGTGAGATAAGTGGTCGTCGTGAAATTGGTTGCTCTCAAATCCAGCGCCTCTCGATTCGCGCGACAGTACAATCCATCAAAGACTGCCTCGCTGCCGTTCCCACGCTGCAACATGCATGTCTTAAAGGACCCCAATATCTCATCCTCCGTCAAGTTGCCCTTCCCTCCAAACCCGCTCCCACGTGGTAGTCCGCAGTATTCATAGCATTTAAATACGGACCACTGCACCGGTGCCGGCTGGCAGCAGTGTCCGAAGGCATCTGAATTCGGCATATTCGGAAGCATTCCACATGCTGGCTTTGGATCGGGGACGGATATTGCCTGCTGAGGATCGGCTGTTGCGCAATGCTGCGCTTGATCGAAGGTGCTTGTCGACTTCGGTGGTTTCGTCGTGGATGGCGGCAACTGGATGGCGTGGGGAGTCGCATGGCACCACAAGTAATCGATCACCTCTCCAGTCGAGTTGAGGCAACTTTTCATATAGTCGAAATAATCTATTCTATCCAAGTCGAAGTCATCGTTCATGGACGCTGGCAAACCACATGAGGAGTAGCACGGGTCGCTGAAAGCGACGGGATCGGTACCACAGCATTGTGCTGCTTGTGTGTAGTTGCTTGGGAATCCACAAGCGTAATAGGAATCACTTTCGGGGTAACCAAATGGTTGATTTAATAGGCCGTTATTCGAGATAGTAGAGCATGAGGAGTCGGACATCGGTGCCGTAGGTAGGGAACGCGAGAGAGATGGCTTCACAAAACGAGTGATATGGACTTGATATTCCGTATTAATAGTGTGATTGATGAGACCAAATGGTCGAGATCGGAGACTCTCCAGATGGAACAAGACGAGTGTCCAGAGCCTAGACTGACGTGGTACTATTAACTATGGTATTCGTCAAGAAATAATTAAGATCTGATCATAGGAGCTGTCAGCATGAATGTAACCACGTGACTGCGCGATGCCCCTGACTTTATCCATACTGCGCGTCCCAGCACGCGTTACGCTGGTTGAGATGACTGATGAGTCTCAGAATTATTAATATTTAAAATTACTCGGATTCTCATGTCCATCCATATGGATTTTGGAATGTTCAAAATTATAATGGACAATGGTTGCTCGAGGCCGATGGTGACTGCTGCTAGAAACACAATGGCAGTTGTAAGTCTGCACCATTTGCTTGCCACGTAGCATTTAATTCACATCGCAGGCCATTATTGGTGTGTGCAAACTGCAATACTTCCTCAACATTGTTGCCACGCAAGGCGAGTTCCTCGTTACTCGGCTAACTCCATGGGGGAAGGGAGGACGATGCGTTCCTTGCTGCCAAACTCTGCCAACAGCTGGATTCGCTGGTCAGAATACCTAGTCGAAGCAATCAGACAGGTGAAGTGCGGCGCTGAAGCGGCCAATAAGCCACATGCCGCCTGAGCCGGCTAAAAAGCGTCAAGTAAGCCCGAGGACGTGGAGGGGATGCAAGGCGCAAGCACACCGGGACGCCACCCCGACCGAGTTCACTGATGAAAACTACGCCCCCAGCGACGGTGTTTGTGTTGAGTCTAGATCGATGTTGAGAATGGCCTGGCGGCACGGGGCTCCTCTTAACGGTTCCCAACTCCACCCTCCTCCAGTCCCCACATCTAGCACTGTATCCAATCCACCACAGCCAGAAGCGACAGCGATGGATTCGACACGCCGTTTGAAGCGGGAACTCGGGGTTAGAGGTAGCCCCATACGCTCGGATACCCGAAAACGTGGTCTACTCGCAATGGTCCTAACTCCCAAATTGAGGTTGGCTTGAAGTACTCCCAGGTGTTTGTCTGAAAACATTCGGCCCGTCTCTACGCCCTGGTTGCTAATATTAGCATCGATGGCAGAAGAGGCATTGGTTTCCTTCTGTAAGGTGCGGTACGTGGATAGTTTCTAAGCCTGTGCATCAAGCCAGCGTTTCCCACCTCTCATAGTGTCATAGAATGCCAGTTGTTAATTGCCAGGTAGAGGGATGAAGCTGCAGAGTCTACGGTGGGCACCAATGCAAGATATAAATACCGGATTGCGGGTCGGAATCCCTATGAGCGACGGATCTTAGGCCCCGAGACCGGTTTGATGGGCCATTCCGGTATGGTCGACTATCTTCGAACATTCCGTCAGTGGTTCGACAACAGCGAAGTCCAAGGGCCTGCAGTGATAGAGCTTCGAACCTTGGCTGGTGGGCAGAATGCAGGCAACCAGGACCTGTCAGGATATTCCAAATCGAAAGCAGTCTCTGTTGTCATTCACTATCAGTGGCTCTGCAAGGATCGGTGGTAAAGATACCAGTTATGTTCGACCTACTCCAGGGTTGTCTTCCAAAGCCCAAGGAAGTAGCTCATCAGCTCCGGGTTTAACGCTGACCCAGGGATGACTTCCCGGAATGAGATGATGTAGGGATAGACGCTCTGCGCCGGTTCTGACCTATACAATTATTAGTCATTGTCATTATATTCATGCTATACTCTCTTACCACTCTCCATTATCTGGGAGGGCACGACTAGGCCTATGGCCATCCAAGTTGGAAATCATGGTTGTTCTTACTTTCAACGTAGCCCTGGGGGCAGTATGTCATTTACATTCATGTTTCACATTCCGAGTCATTTGATAGTCGAAATTCTCATTGAAATGATACATCCAACGCTGGTTAGCTTTATGCTGTCTTCACGACAGCCCACGTACCCTCTCGCAGTTGTCAAAACTCTTTCTCACTGCCCGGATTCGTGCGGAGCTGCAGCATCGTCCATGGATGATGGTCCCAACGCGCTGAACACACCTCGCCACTCAACTAGCCTTTAGCGGAAGACATGAATAGGTCGATGGACGACGAGCCACAGTGGTACAACTGAGTCTCGTTCGAGACTTGATCAACTGTTTGAGCCGGTAGCCTGTACACCTCGAAGCTGGCTGCCAAGTGATTGGCCAAGCAGGGGTACGGGGAGAGGATGTTCTCGTGCCAGATGATTCGAATGCACGTAAAAGCCGGGGGTTCCACAGGCATTGAGCCACCATTTCCTATCAGTCCCCGTACCGTGGCACAGGAGTCAGGACAGCTGTAGCACCTCACCAGTTACTGTGGATGAATGACATCTGGCTCCGTAACGTGTCGCAACCGCCGGCTGTTTCAGGCTCCAAATTCAACGTCCCAGGTGGTGCAAGTCCAAGGCGAAACGTCTTGACACAGGTTTCCTGTTTGCGGGATATTTGCAGACTGGGAAATAAGGACGTCGAGGGAACCGTTGACGAATGACAGGAGTACAGGGAGCGGCACACATTTGGTCGAGTCGACACCAGTCATGCCAGTCGTTGATACACGCGAGATATCTGCAAGGGAACCCCTGAACGCCAGATGGATCACAACGATTGCTTTTTCCTTGTTAAGTCGCATGTGAATTGTGAAGTTGTGAACCAGCACCAACAGCTCGGGGCCCCCTGAAGCGTATATCTCTCTCCACCGAAAGTCCGAAGGTCCCATCGATTTGCAGGAAAAGAAAAGAATCTGAAAGGAAACAGCGAAAAGATTGGTTGGATTGGTTGGGAACCTGGGAACTTGGGATGATGAGCAACCAGCATGGCTAGGATGCTGGGCCGTGTGGGGATCAATGATCGCCAACGAAGCGCCACAGTCCCCTAGCATGCTGCAATAGCGCATGCAATATCACCACTTTCTATTGACTTCGCCGCCGTCCTCGGCATGTTTGCCAATTCCCTTCGCTAATAATTCCATATCAATGGCTCGCCGTTCTGGAAAGGTGGAATTCGAGTCTCCGCATCGTCTCGTCTCCTCTCGCGCGGAATTGGCTACCCAAGAATCCGGACATGGCTTGTTGCTCCCCGCATTGGGCCCCCCAACTGTGTAATGATGCTGGCTTCTTTAGGCTCGTTCGCGGTGATGGAAGGATACAGTTGAATTGCGGATGTCCGGCACAGATTGTCCGTCCCTTCTCTTTGGTCCGACGACATGCATGATACTACGTGATACATCTAACCGTGGTCAAGTCTTGTCATCCATGAGGCCCGCCAACCGGGTTCATCCTCAATCACTTTGTCTCTGAATTTTGTGGCCTGTTACTATCAAGAACCGCTTTAAGTTGTCTACATACTCTTCGCGCGAAGTTTGTTACTTCCTTACCACGCAGATGAATTGCTTTTCGTCTATTAAAGCACCTTACATCATAATCGCTTATGTCAATACGCCAGAGGATCTGTCTCTGATACCTGTAGTTATGGTTATCTAAGTATCCAGAAGTTCTCCTGGTTGTGTCTCTTGCCTCCACTTCAATGACCTCCCTGGCTGGATTTGTGCCTGTGCTGGTGTCTCCATCTATTTGCTTTTTCCCAGCGTTTTCAAATTCCATTACCCAATCAACCTTGTCACCATCGCCGACACAAGAACACCTTTCTGTAGGTTCTCTAAAGCCGGGATCAATGCAAACGCACAAGCCGCGTCGCGTGCGATGCAGTTCCACCCTCCCGTCGATCATGCACTCATGCAGGCTGACGAGACTCGAGAAGTACATAGGCAATTGTGGTACATTGGTGTTATTCACACGGACATAATGCGGCTATACTTACCTCCTGCATCCTCAGCTGGACCTCAGGATTCTTGCGATTCCGTCATTGATACAATGTGATAGCTTCCTATTTTCAACCAGGAATTGACGATTGACTAGGTTTCACTGCGCCAACACAGTTTTCCGCTGGCCGACCCAAAAGCAGTACTGCCTGCATCGGGACGATCATCCCGACGAAAATCCGATTAGGGCGTCCTGCAGAGCTATTGCATCTGATTCTCTGGATATCTCCATTGGCCTCGTTCATCGTCTTTTCGACGATCCGGGCTCGTCCCTGACTTGTAAGGCTAGCGAGCTATCACTATCAAGCGCCACGGGCCGCCACTGCCTTGATCGACAATCTTACCCATTCATCGTTGGAGGATCTCTCTGTAGTACGTAGAGAACTCTATGCAAAAGGTACTGGCACCAGCCTATGTCAAATACTGTTCCGCAGAAACTGTAATAACAAACTCACCAGTTCTCCATATGGTACGTCCACAGGAATAAGTACGCGTCCCACCCAGTGTCCCCTTCATCCGGTCCCATTGAAGTCCACCTTCTCTGGCTCTGTTACAGATATCACAGAAATCATTACACGGTGACAATCCCATTTAAACTTTCACAACCTTCTTCGCCTCAAACAACGTTGATACCGGGGAGTTGCGTTCTATATTAGTAGAGGCAGCGGAATCCTTAGGCGTCATGGAGACTACATGCATCACCATCCACGGCAAGCCTAGTTTTGAATTGAGCGGAATTACATTGCATACTGACATCACCCAGACTTGAGCTCGGAGGCTCACGTCCTATATGCTTCCGGTTCCATCGTTGACATCCTCGGTCATACGCCTGATGAGATTATCCACCGGCCCATGTGGGAATTCTTCCACCCGGACGAGGTCCCTCTAGCCCGCCGCCTCCACTCGCGTGGAGTGACTTTAGACAAGGCCGCCGTATTGGCATACTGTCGCTTCAAAAACAATGAGGACGCTTATGTCAGCTGCGAGTGCTGCTTCACCATTGTTTTTGATGTCATGGTTGTTTGTACGAGCATCTACCGCCGTGGATCAGGAAGCGATGGTAAGGTCATTTCCCTTCGAACCTCTCACCCACGCGTGCCCCCTGAGCCGTGTAGAGCTCTATGCTATACGTAGCATATGCTAATCTTCCTCAGCGCGTGCAACCAGTGCCCCTGTTGTTCGCAAACTGTTTTCCAGCAATCCCAAAGATCCAAGATACCACATGCTTTCCCATTTAAGCGCCAAATTCAACCTGAGTCCAACCGAGCAGACTCATGAGCCGCGAGCGGCGCTTTTCCTCAACAGATTTACACGGACGTTGACCATCATGTACGCGACATCCGCGCTCGAGCAGATTGTTGGCATAAATAGCGATGACATGAAGGGTCGGAGCTTCTATTACTGCATCCAGGAACACTGCCTTGGAGACGCGGTTCGCTGCCTTGAAGGGGCCAAAGAGAATGACTCGATTGCATATTTGCGGTTCTGGTTTCGTGATCCGAGACTTGAAGATCATCCTGCCACAACTGATCAGGAGACTGCCGGCACTGGTGCGGAGACGACTGAAGCCACGACTGATGCTGAGACAAATGCAGAAACTTCGAGGGCAGGCTCCGGCGGTGTCCAACGTAGCCAATGTGGTGCACAACCAGCTAGCTCTTCGTCTGATAGCTCTCACAGCACTAGCAGTGGTACATCCAGCCTCGGTGCTAAACGAGCATTGTCCGGCCCCTCCACTACGCGGGAATCAGGCCCCGCTGCCGGCAACAACATCAATACTGGAGAGGGACAGTTCTCCGAAGGAGTTGAGCTGGAAGCTGTCGTATCCTGCACATCTGACGGCCTCGTGGTCATTCTCCGCCGTGCCCGTCCACTCATCCCCGGCGTCAAACCACCGACACCGAGGGCCCCAGGAGTTATTCATATGCGGACGGGTTTAGACCACCTTAGAACCGCAGTCCCCGCAAAGCCAGTCACCAGTGCAATACCGGATCCTGTCGGACGGCCTCCACCGGCTGCTTCAATAAGCGGAGAACCGAGCAGTGGGATCTTCGCCGCCCCCTGGGCCCCTCACCCCGTATTCTCTCCATCAAATGTCAACCCGTACGCCAACTATCCGCACGCACGACCCGTCGAAGCCTGGCCGACGGGCACCCGTCCAAGAGGCACAGCCCAGAAACACCCTGTGCCTAGCCCACCCACACCGCAGTTCACCGGCGTCCCGGCTACAAATCTCACCGCCGGAGGCCCGCCGCCTCAAGACTTCTTCACCGCCATCCGCGACATCGCGTGTTTCGCATGGGCACTCACCGGGATCAACGGGTGCCTCGCCGAGTTCTCCCAGGGCAAGCCGCAGGGGGAGTCGCAGCCTCCTGAAGGGTTGCCGGTCTGGGAAGGGGATATGTCCAGGTTCGGGGCGGGATATAAGCGCAATGCGGAGGGGGAGATTCTACCTCGCCCGATTCCCGGACGGGTTTCCACTAGGACAAGTTGTAGGAGTGATGGTGGAGGTGCGGAGCAGTATCCGAGTCCTGGTTCGACGAGGGATCCATTCGGTGACCCTGGGTTGAGTACTTCGGGTGCGGGAAGTGGCACAGGGAGTGGGAATTAATAAAGACGGCGAAAGGCAGCGGATTTCGAATATCGCTGCGGTATGACGAGACCGATCGAAAGAATCTCCAGGAATATACACGCTGGCCCCCTGACGAATGATGAAGCAAGGTGTCTCACGGCACCCATATGTGGTCAGGTATGAATTTGGCCAGATTTCGGTATCTCTAACTATTGAATTGGTTTATTTTCATGGATTTTATATAGTAAAAAAGACGGTCCTTACGCCTCACGGCACTCAGAAGACGAGAATAAATAATACCATCCTCTTTCAAACCGACCAGACTCAGCCGACACAGCTTTCAGATCTGAAAGGCGTGATTTCTATTGTCGCTGCAATGATAAATTAAAAGAGCCAATTGGCGTCATATGGTCCCTTAAATCCATGGAATTCCACACTCCATAGTCTGAGAACGGATCGACGCCAAGAATGCCACTAACCATTAACTCCTCCCGTGAGATCTGGCTACTGTTGTCTGTAATAATACAGCAAACGGAGAGCTTCAACCTGCTGGACAATTCAATTCACCGCCATCTTACTAAAGCTCCGTCAATTAGCCTTTCAGTAAGACCCATCAAACCAATGCAAATATAAAAACCCGACAGTGAACAAACACATCCTGGCGTTCTCAAACGACCCCAACTCCATTCACCTCCGCTCCAACCTCCCCACTCGCTCCCCTTCACTCTCTCGCTCCCCCTCACCACCTTCGTTTACATCCCGCAAACAGGAGCGACCTCCTACTCGTCTAAAGAAATTCCTCGTCCCTCTCATCTTCTTGCTTTTCTTCTCGTGTATCTTCGTCCTGGCATCCCGATTCACCCCCCGTATCACATCTTTGTTGGGCCGCTTCTCCCCGCTCCCCATCGGGAAACAGTCGTCACTTTCGAGCTATCGTCCCGGAAGTACTGCCGGAATCATGACGGGGGCACAGGTCCCGGAGCGGTATCGCAAGCCGCCGCAGGCTCCGCCGACCTTCACAGCCACTCCAGAGAGTTTGATCAAGGTTACGGAGAGGCTGGTGAGTTCCGAGGCGATGTTGCTCCTCATGCAATATCACATGGGGATTGTTGGTTGACATGATGATAGATCGCCCAATCCAAATCCGTGCAAGACAAGGTCGTCGCGGACAATGATGCCTCTAGCGCTACCTTCCGAAACGTCAACCTCCCGATGGCCGTCGACGACAACACCATGGCCCTCGAATCGCACATCATCGGGTTCTACCAGGCGGTCAGCACCTCCAAGGAGCTCCGTGACGCTAGCACCGAAGCCGAGAAGATGCTCGACGACTTCGGCATCGAGTCGTCGATGCGCGAAGATGTCTTCAAGATTGTCGATGCGGTGCTCAAGAAGAACGAGCCGCTCGACCCGGAGTCCCGCCGGTTGCTCGAGAAAGACCACAAGAACTTCGTCCGGAACGGGTTGAACATCCCCGCGGGACCGAAGCGCGACCGGTTCAAGGAGATCAAGAAGCGGCTGAGCGAGCTGAGCATTGAATTCCAAAAGACGCTCAATGAGGAGAACGGAGGCATTTGGTTCACGCCACAGGATCTGGAGGGCGTCCCGGCCGATGTGGTGAATAATCTGGAGAAAGGTACGGGCGAGAATGAGGGCAAAATTCGGTTGACGTTCAAGTATCCGGATCTCTTCCCCACGCTCAAGTACGCCGTGAGCCCCGATGTGCGCAAGAAGGTCTTCGTGGACAACGAGAACAAGTGCAACACCAATGTTCCGCTGTTCAAAGAGGCGATTGAACTGCGGGATGAGGCAGCGAGGCTTCTGGGGTACGAGAATCATGCGCAGTTTAGGATCGAGGACAAGATGGCGAAGACGACGAAGACGGTGGACGACTTCCTTGGAGATCTGAGGAAGCGTCTAGGTCCAGGTGGCTTGAAGGAGATCGCTACGCTGCTGAAAATGAAGGAGGAGGATTTGAAGGCTCGCGGCAAGGCGCAAACCTTCGACGGACGCTACTATCTCTGGGATCACCGATTCTACGATCGCTTGTTGGTGGAGAAGGATTACGAGGTCGACCACGAGAAGATTGCGGACTATTTCCCCTTGCAGACGACCATTCGTGGGATGCTTCATATCTTCGAAGAGATCTTTGGCCTCGTCTTTGTCGAACTGACCGGAGCAGACCGAGATGCTGTCAGCTCATCCGGCAACGGAAAAGACATTGTTTGGCATGAAGACGTCGCGCTTTTCAGCGTCTGGGACGACGAGGGTGAAGGCAGCGAATTCGTCGGTTACCTCTACCTCGACCTTCATCCTCGCGACGGGAAATATGGGCACGCGGCGAACTTCAACCTGCAACCGGTACGTCCCACCCCAAGTACAACACTGATCGCTTTTTTCACCCACTCACATTCTATAGGGCTTCCAAGTCAACTCCACCACCCGCCGCTATCCGGCCACCGCCCTGGTCTGCAACTTCAGCAAGCCCACGCCCAAGAAACCCTCTCTCCTCCAACACGATGAGGTCGTCACGCTATTCCACGAACTCGGCCACGGCATCCACGACCTCGTCTCCCGCACCACGTACTCCCGTTTCCACGGCACCAACACCGTGCGCGACTTCGTCGAAGCGCCCTCCCAGATGCTGGAGAACTGGTGCTGGGACCCCGCACAGCTGAAGGCCCTCAGCAAGCACTACAGCTACCTGAGCCCCGACCTCGCCGCGGCGTGGAAGGATGGGCTGCCGGAGGCGGAGAAGGGGAACGCGGCGCCCGAGGAGCAGATCCCGGATGCGCTGCTGGAGAAGTTGGTGCGGACGAAGCATGTCAATGCGGCGATGTTCAATTTGCGCCAGCTGCACTTTGGGATCTATGATATGACGGTGCATACGCCCTCGAGCCATGATGAGGTGGTGAAGCTCGACCCGACTGTGCTGTATAATCAGCTGAGGCACGAGATTGCGAGGCTACAGGGGCTGGAGGTTGATGGGAAGGGGTGGAACTGGGCGAACGGCCAATGTGAGTATCCCCCTCTGCCTTCTGAACCGACCTCTAACACCATCTAGCAACCTTCGGACACTTGATCGGCGGCTACGATGCCGGGTACTACGGCTATCTCTAGTAAGTTCCGCCTCCCTCCCAACGCGTCCCGAGCGACCACGCTAACGCCATGGTTTAGCTCCCAAGTTTACAGCGCGGACATGTTTCACTCCGTCTTCGCCAAGGATCCGATGAACGGAAAGGAAGGAAGGAGATATCGACATACGGTTCTCGAAAAGGGCGGAAGTCGGGAGGAGATGGAGTCGTTGAGGGAGTTCCTTGGGCGGGAGCCTAGCACGGAGTCGTTCTATAAAGAGCTGGGATTGAACTGATCGGAGACGTGCTTTTCATGTGGCGGGTTCGGAGCAGTTCGTCGGCGGGGCAGAGTGAACCATGAGGAACTAGTCTTCTGGATAACACATATCCATCGTGGCTACTAAGTAGCTAGCATAGATATCATAGGTATCATAGGTATTGAGGGTAACTACTATCCTTACCATATATTTGCATCGGTGCAGTGAAGACGAGATGAGTGCTGCCCGAGACCTTAACCCCTTTCAGTATCGCATCGAGTTATATCCACCTTCGGAAATGAGTTTCCCAACATTAGATGTCCCACCACTGACCACACCTAACTAGTACTACTTGCATACCACACTACTAATACTCCCTTGCTCTGATTCGCCTCCCCACGAGGACGCAAGGTCTCAATATCTATTCGTGGGTTGGAGACGTGCTGCCTGCTCAGCAGATCCACATACGTCACGACCAATTGCAAGTTTGCGTCAGTTCTCCAGCTTGGAGATATACATCCAGGGTGCATACTGCGTACACCATTCCAAAATACAACATTTGAGCGCCGTAAGTGGTTCGGAGGATGCTGTCATAAGGTCCGTCGTCACGTCAGTTCCACAGTGTTCATTGGCCGACTGAACCAGTAGTATTATTCATCCGGTCTCTTTCGAGTTTCGAATCGATCAACATTCCACCCTTCCCAAACGGGAAACTGCTGTTACGTACCTCCGTTCACGGTCACACCAAGTCGGAAATTTTATATGATGATCCCGATTCGATGAGTCATCGGGGTGGTTGAGAATCTTGAGATGCGCAGTGACTCAATCAGTCGCACTGGATTTATGAATTTAGAAAACTTCCCGTCGCTCTATCCAGTCGGGTTCAATGGTGTTGGCGTCTCGGTTACGCCTGAGTCCCAAAGATCCCTTCTGGCTTAGTGGGCACTGGGGGGAGCGAGCCGTAGGCGATGGCCTGTTCTGGCGTCCCGGGTGGCCGCTTCTCGGTCTCTCGGCCGTCTGACGACGGTTGAGCCGCTGAGCAAAGCATCTTGCATCTCGCAACTAGGGGCATACCCGCGCAGGGCAGTCATGGATCTGCGTTTCGTAAATCGCAGGTTTGCATCGAGAGTGGAGACCTGTACTATTCCATCCTGCAGTTATTCCCAGAGCTGAGGATACCAATCTCAATTCTCAACTCTCAAGCCATCAATGTTCGACGTGGCTTTCTCGGTTGGCGACGCTTCCGTGCTCGTGGGATCCATTGATATTACCCCGAGTACGGGGGACAGTCGGAGGGTCATCTACCGGTATCCCAATAATAGGTATCGAATTACTGTACTCCGTACCTCTTGCACGTTTGACGTTACAGCGTAGAGAACAAGTTCCGAAATTTATCCATTTATGCATCTGGATTCCAGGCTAGGGGCAAATCCGACCTTTCATAAATCGGAAGGCAGAAAAGCTTCCAATGCTTGTGCATCGCCTTGTGGACTTTAGTTGCCGCATCAACAAATGGCTTCCGAGCAATACAGAGTACGCACTTCCCTGGGACCTGGAGTCTTTGGACCCTTGGACCCTCGATGCTTGGAATCACGCCTCTCCCGCACACAGAGGCGGGCGGCCAGATCCCCGGAGGATGGGTGGGAATTTGACACGGGGAAAGCTGGAGCCTGGAATCAAGATTAAGCAAGACAATAAGTGCTACTAACTAGTGTCGAATATGGCAAATACGACGTTTACGTACGTACTGTGAATGGTCTGTATGGATAACAGACGGCTAGCTCACGCCTCCCTGCTACGGGGCGAATATCGGTCTTTCACAACCGCCGATGGGCCCTTGCACTGTTACACAATTCGTATTCACTCACGGACTCACCACTCACCACTCACCAGAACAGTTTCCGCATTTACCCTGTTGACACCATGATGCATATTTCATTTCAGGCAGAACTTTTCCTTTTTCTTGATCATTGACACAGGAAATATTTCCACGTTCAATCCAGGACTCGGTCAACTTTCACTCTTTATTGCGATTGTCGCTGCTGGTGAGGTCTTGAACATTGCGGGGCTCACCATCAAAGGGCTTCTTCCTAGCATTACACCATAAAGATCAGTTGGTCCTGATATCTCCATTCACCGTTTTGCCATGACAGGAGATTGATGTCGATGAACCATATTTACACAGGCCTCCTATTCTCTTTACGTGAATTCGTTTTCCTTTCTTAGGGCACTCCTCCATTCGATTGGACGAGGGCTCGTCCTTGATACATACCATTTGTTCCAACTTCTTGAACCAACGTGACCATGTCGGCGATCGGCGACGAGAAGAAGATACCACCAACATCGGAGGTGGACGACCAGACCACAGCTCCTAACTCTACTGCCGATGTTGAAAAGGTTCTAGCATCACAAGCACCCGCCCCAGTTGTCCAGGATGGGGAGGCTCTAGCACTCTCGAAGCTGGATTCTAAAGTGGAGGTCCCTAAAGATGAGAACGATCCCTTCAAACATCTCCCGGACCACGAACGTGCGATCTTGAAGAGGCAACTGGACACGCCGGACGTCCAGGTCGGATATACGGCGTTGTACCGCTACGCGACTCGCAATGACTTGATCATCCTTGTAGTCAGCGCCATCATGGCGATTGGTGCAGGTGCTGCCTTGCCATTGATGACAGTGAGTCCTTCCCCTAGAACCGCTCTTGTAGAGATGGGAAACTGACAGCACGCGCAGATCATATTCGGACAACTCGCTGGGCAATTTCAAGACTTCTTCAACGGGAACGCAAGCCTGAGTGCGTTCAAAGGCCAGCTCGGGGGCATGATTCTTTACTTCGTCTATCTCGCCATAGGTGAATTCGTGGCGACCTACATCGCGACAGCTGGTTTCATCTACGTGGGCGAGCATATCGCACAGAAGGTGCGCGAACACTACCTGGCGGCCATGCTGCGCCAGAACATCGCCTTCTTCGATATGCTCGGCGCTGGAGAGATCACCACCCGTATAACCGCGGACACGAACTTGGTTCAGGATGGAATCTCCGAGAAAGTCGGCTTGACTTTGACTGCAATTGCGACCTTCCTGACCGCGTTCGTCATTGGCTTCGTCAAATACTGGAAGCTTACCTTGATCATGAGCTCCGTGGTGTTTGCGATTGTCGCTGTTATGGGGGCAGGATCGACGTTCATTGTTAAATGGAGCACGAAAGCGCAAGAATCCTACGCGAAAGGGGGCTCCGTTGCGGAGGAAGTCCTCAGCTCCATCCGAAACGCGACGGCATTCAATACCCAGGATAAACTCGCGAAGCAGTACGATATACATCTACAGGAGGCAGAGAAATGGGGGAAGAAGATGCAGAGTGTTCTGGGAATCATGGTCGCGGGCATGATGACGCTCGTCTACCTCAGCTATGGTTTGGCGTTCTGGGAAGGCTCCCGTTTGCTTGTCGCTGGAGAGACGAACCTCGCGGATCTCCTGACCATCCTCTTCGCGGTCATCATTGGCGCTTTCGCGATCGGGAACGTCGCTCCGAATGCGAAGGCATTTACCACCGGGGTGGCGGCTGCCCAGAAAATCTACAGTGCCATTGACCGAGTTTCTCCGATTGACCCCACGAGGGACGAGGGCAAGAAACTTGATACCTTCGAAGGAACCGTGGAGCTGCGGAACATCAAGCATATCTACCCTTCCAGGCCCGAAGTGGTGGTGATGGACGGCATCAACTTGATGGTTCCGGCCGGAAAGACGACTGCACTCGTCGGCGCATCAGGATCTGGGAAGAGTACAGTCGTCGGACTCGTAGAGCGCTTCTATGACCCGGTTGGAGGCGAAGTGCTTCTCGATGGGCACAACGTCCAAGATCTGAGTCTGAAATGGCTTCGACAACACGTTTCTCTGGTCCAGCAAGAACCCATTCTCTTCGCTACAACGATCCAAGGAAACATCCGGCATGGTCTGCTCGGCACTCCGCATGAGCATCTCAGCGAGGAAGAAACCACGAAGCTGGTTGAGGCGGCGGCGAGACAGGCGAATGCGCACGACTTCATCACAAACTTGCCTGAAGGCTATCAGACGCATGTCGGAGAGCGAGGGTTCCTCCTCTCGGGTGGTCAGAAGCAACGTATTGCAATTGCTCGGGCCATGGTTAGCGACCCAAAGATCTTGCTTCTCGATGAAGCAACCTCGGCTCTCGACACCAAAAGCGAAGGTGTTGTACAAGCGGCATTGGATACGGCGGCGAAGGGCCGAACAACGATCGTTATCGCGCATCGTTTGTCTACCATCAAGACAGCAGACAATATTGTGGTCATGCAAGAAGGCAGGATCGTTGAACAAGGAACACATGACGATCTTTTGGAGACAAAGGGAGCATACTATAACCTCGTCGAGGCCCAGAGGCTCGCAGCTGATACCGATGCCGCCGCCGCAACCGAATCCGAGGACGCGTCGATCCTCGACCAATACAATGGCGAGAAGCTCGGCATGAGGACCAGCGGATCCGACGAGAACGGCCAGGGGTTCGAAGCCGATCCGGATGACGACGATCCAGCGCGGTTGAGACGCATCGATACCGGCAAGAGCAAAGCGAGTGTCGAGTTGGCGAAGAAGAAACCGGAGGAAGAGCAGCGCTACGGCTTGTGGGTTCTCATCAAGACTACGGCTTCGTTCAACGCCCCCGAATGGCATGTGATGGTGGCCGGTGTGATTTTCTCCATTATTAGCGGATGCGGGAATCCCACCCAAGCCGTCTTCTTCGCGAAGAACATCGCCGCGCTGTCTCTACCTCCTCCACAGTATGGCGAGCTGCGCAGCGAAGTGAACTTCTGGTCCCTAATGTATCTGATGCTTGCCTTCGTTCAGCTGATCGGCTTCGTCGGCTCCGGTCTCACGTTCGCATACTGCTCCGAAAAACTGACGCACCGCGCCCGCGACCGGGCGTTCCGGAACATGCTCCGCCAGGACATCGCCTTCTTCGACAAGGATGAGAACACCGCGGGCGCGCTGACGAGCTTCCTCAGTACCGAAACCACGCACCTCGCAGGCCTTTCGGGCTCAACGCTAGGGACAATCCTCCTCGTTAGCACCACGCTAATCGCCGCAACCACCCTCGCCATCGCCCTCGCCTGGAAGCTCGGTCTCGTCTGCACTGCCACGATCCCCGTCCTCCTCTTCTGCGGCTTCCTCCGCTTCTGGATGCTCGCGCGGTTCCAAGCACGCGCCAAGAAGGCATACGAGGCGTCCGCCGGGTACGCATGCGAGGCGACCTCCGCAATCCGAACCGTCGCGTCCCTGACCCGGGAGGCGGACGTCTGGGAGAACTACCACCAACAGCTCGTGGACCAGGGGCAGAAGAGCCTGAATAGCGTGCTGAAGAGCAGCTCGCTCTACGCGGCGTCGCAGAGCCTGAGCTTCCTGTGCTTCGCGCTGGGATTCTGGTACGGCGGGCAGCTGATCGCGACGGGAGAGTATTCCATGTTCCAATTCTTCGTGGCGTTCACCGCGGTCATCTTCGGCGCGCAGTCGGCCGGGACTATCTTCTCGTTCGCGCCGGATATGGGCAAGGCGAAGCAGGCGGCGACGGAGATGAAGCGACTCTTCGACCGAACGCCGGCAATCGACTCGTGGTCCACCGATGGGGAGCAGTTGAAGAATATCGACGGCTCCATCGAGTTCCGAGATGTCCATTTCCGATATCCCACGCGACCCGAAACCCCCGTCCTTCGCGGGTTGAACCTGACCGTCCAGCCCGGCCAATACGTCGCCTTAGTAGGCGCGTCCGGGTGCGGCAAGTCGACGACCATTGCGCTGCTCGAGCGATTCTACGACCCGTTGGTCGGCGGGATTTACGTGGACGGCAAGGAGATCTCGAGCATGAATATCAACAACTACCGGAATTTCCTCGCGCTCGTCAGCCAGGAGCCGACGCTGTACCAAGGCACGATCCGGGAGAACATCCTCCTGGGCGCCGACAACCCCGATGTCACCGAGGACGAAATCGTCAAGGCATGCCAAGACGCGAACATCTACGAATTCGTCATGAGTTTACCGTAAGTTTCCCCATCGATTCCTTTTCATAAATAAAAATCGGCATGCTAACATCACCCCACAGTGACGGCTTCAACACGGTCTGCGGCAGCAAAGGCACCTTGCTCTCCGGCGGCCAGAAACAGCGCATCGCCATCGCTCGCGCGCTGATCCGCAACCCCCGCATCCTCCTCCTCGACGAAGCCACCAGTGCGCTGGACTCCGAGTCGGAGAAAGTCGTGCAGGCGGCATTGGACGCGGCGGCGAAGGGGCGGACGACAATCGCAGTGGCGCATCGGCTGAGCACAATCCAGAAGGCGGATGTGATCTATGTGATCGACCAGGGGAGGGTGGTGGAGCAGGGGACGCATTCGGAGCTGTTGGCGAAGAAGGGGAGGTATGCGGAGTTGGTGACGTTGCAGGGGTTGGGGAAGACGCATTAGACGGGAGATGAGGAGCGAGCGATTGTTTGGGTTTGTATATGGGACTATGTTGAATATGGTACCTGTCAAGCGATTAGGCGTTCGGGTCAGATGGAATCTGTCATATGTTACAGTAGAGTAATAGAACTTTGTCTGGAATACGGACGAGGATGGATGGGAAATCTCCATTCGATTTCGAAGGATTTCGTAGGATTTTGTTAGTATACCTACCACTCAGCCAACAGTTAGATCGTAGTTCAATAGCAATCACAGCTATTCTTCCAAAATCAGGGTGTTATGGATAGCTCGAAATACTGGGACCTTGTTCAATCACACCAGTTGCTGGACCATAAGTTCGGGTATTATGGAGGGAATAAGGGTCCTCGCCCCTGGTTCTCCGGCCTTTACTGCCGTAAGAGGCTCGGAGCAACGATTAGAAAGTACCGTCCGTAAGTTCAAAGTTGCCAGTGTGTTTGCGGGGCATTCCACATCGACTAAAAAGACACCAGTCTGATGCCGTGCATACCGATATCGTGTTCCAGAACCTTCCAAGTCGTCTTGTCTCCTCTCCGGCTCAAGCCTCAGCAGTAAGCTGATGCGCAAGATCGAGGACGAATCGCAGCGTGTTGACTCCAGGTTACGGGTCTTTATCACTATATCACTATATCACGACAAAAATGATCATTAATATTATACCTCAATCCTGCCTCTGCAAGTTACTTGTTCTCTCCGCATCTTCCCATCGCTATTCTTAATCCCCCGCACTCAATCCCATTATGGCCCACCACGCCGAGGCCCTCAAAGAGAAAGGCAACACCGCCTACCGCGCCGGCGACTACGCCTCCGCCGCCGCCCTCTACGGCCAAGCGATCCAGAAGAACTCCAGCAACCCCCTCCTCTACACGAACCGAGCGAACGCACGACTCCGCCTACAGCAACACGCCGAGGTGATCGACGACTGCCTCCGCAGCATCGAGCTCCTCCGCGACAACCTCAAAGCGTACTTCTACCTCGCGCAGGCACAGCTCGAGCTCCACCACCCGAACGAAGCGCTTACCAGCGCGCTGACGGCGTATGAGCTGTGCTGCAGCAGTCGGACGCAGACGGTCAATGCGTACACGATCAGCGCGCTAGTGCTACGGTGCAAGAAGGCGAAGTGGGACATGCGGGAGCGGGAGCGGCTGCGGCGGCGGAACGAGCTGCTGGGGGAGTTGACGGAGAAGTTGGAGCGGGAGATGAAGGGGGAGGTAGAGGAGATTCGGGAGAAGGAGGCGATGGGAGAGATTGGGGAGGTGGGGGCGCGGGAGGAGATTGAGAGGTGTGAGGACGTGGGAAGGTTGCGGGTGGAGGAGTTGAGGAACGTGTTTGGGATGGCGGATCCGGAACATTTGACGAGGCGGGTAAGTTGGTTCGATCGGCGTGTGGATGGATGTTTGTTGATCAGAGTGCAGGAAGTGCCGGACCACCTCGTCGATACGATCTCCTTCGAGATCATGCATGATCCGGTGATCACGAAGAATGGAAACTCCTATGAACGAGCGACTATTCTCGAGCACCTGAAACGAACTCCTACCGATCCTATCACGCGAGAACCCCTCCACATATCTGACTTGCGCCCGAATATCGCGCTTCGACAGGCGTGCGAAGAGTTTATGCAGAACCATAACGGATGGATTTATGACTGGTAACAGTAGCGGAGCGATCTTATCATGCATTGCGCGGCGTTTTGAACGTCTACTATGTCTTCTCTAGGATACCCAGAATGTCTTTGGGGCGTCAAAATATTACGACATTGATATTGGCACAGCGTGGTTGTCATAGACTTAGGAGCCTCGGAGTGGTGGATTCCACGCCCTCTTATACATTGCTATCTCCCTATCATAAAAGGCATGGGTTGAAACCCTTTCATACAGACATCTTCATAGCAATCGTCTTGTGGGGGTTATAGTCTTTGACCACGAAATCTTCCAACTTCCAACCATCTATACCGGCATCTCTATCCCGGCTGATTTCCAGCCCAGGGAAGTCCCGAGGTACTCTCGTTAACTGCTCTTTCAGGGCATCTACATGGTCCACATACACATGAGAATCACCCATCGTATGCGTAAATGTCCCCGGAGTCAGGTCGCAGACATGTGCCAGCATGTGCGTTAACAGCGCATAGCTAGCGATGTTAAATGGCACGCCCAGCCCCATATCGCAGCTCCTCTGATACAACTGACAATGGAGCATCCCACGGGGCTTCTCGGCGTCTGTCAGCGGCACATGGGGTGAAAAGCCGTTAGGCCGTGGATATGAGACATAGAACTGCGCAAACATATGACACGGCGGGAGCGCCATCTTTTTCAGGTCGGCCGGATTCCACGCGCTCAAGATAATCCGCCGATCATACGGCGTGTTCTTCAGCTTATGGATGACCTCCGCAAGCTGGTCGACGCCCTGGCCGGTATAGTCCGTCCTAGCATCTTTATACTCCGCCCCGAAGTGCCGCCATTGGAAGCCGTAGACGGGGCCTAGATCCCCCTCTTCACGGTGTGACAGCCCCACGGAGTCGAGGAAGGCGCGGGAGCCGTTGCCGTCCCAGATCTTCACGCCTTGGTCGGAGAGGGGCTTGCTGGAGGTGGCGCCGGAAACAAACCAGAGGAGCTCGGCGATAACGGCGCGGAGGAAGACGCGTTTGGTGGTGAGGAGGGGGAGGAGGAGGGTGGGGGAAGAGGGGTCGGCGGATGGTTTGGAGAGGGAGAATCGAAGTTGCGGAGGGGCGAAGATGGAGTAGGTACCGGTTCCGGTTCTGTATGTCTATGAGCATCATTTTTGTATCGGATATTAGAGACATAAATACCTGTCCGGACGATGCTCCCCTCGCTCTAGGATTTCGCGGATCAAATCCAGGTATTGGTATTCTTCATGTGCTTCCCTTGGCTGGTCGTTGGAGTGACCATTAGTGTGCTCTATCACCTCCAAAGAGGCCTGTGGTCCACTTGCTGGTCCGATTTCAACCGCCATGTTCAATGTCTGAAGTGATATGGGTCCGATTGCTTTCGCTATTTAACATTATTTTGAGGAGGGGGTAAATCCAATATCCCAAATCGGGAAGATTTCGGAAGACGCGTCCGACGCGTCGGGGAGGACAGGGGGAGGGTCCAACAAGCGGGCCACAACTAACAAGCAATCCACGTGACAAACTGATTACTAACCGACCACCCCTTACACCTTACCAGACCAACGTCCAAGGCGGTCCAACACTTGTCCGATAGTCGTACACGCAGCACAACCATCTCGTTAGAACGGAAACTAGTATCCCGTATATTCTGTTCTGTCCATAGACGTGCCAGAGAGAATGAAGCCCATCCAGATGGATTCACCGCACGGTGCTGGCGGAACACCCGCGGACTTCTGCCCATCCCGTCATTGTCATATTAGACACTCCAAGGAGCCCTCTAATGCCGGAGGCGTGATTTTGTCTATGCTAAACAATCTGAATCCGACCGTCGTGTCTACATCTATACCGGTTGATAATAGATTGTTCAAAAGAGCTCTGATCCACGTTGGGCCGAGGAATGCATGTTTGATTATATGCTCATATCATCGAGAGTCTTTGTCTGGCGAAATGCATTCCGTGGTTCAAGTAGCCCCAACCGACACGCATGAACTGCCGTTGGGCGAACCACATACCTCTTGTCATAACCGCTTGGGGGGAGGAGGAGGAGGAGGAGGAGGAGGAGGAAGCAAAAGGGGCAGATACGACGGTTAATAATAATACTCCAGCCGTCACAAACATTACCATTCCCACGCAGCCTTCCTACTCCCCGCTCCTCTCGCTCCCTAACGAGCTGCTACAACACATATTAGGCTTTGGTCTCCCGAATGGCCCCGCAGGGAGCAGTTTTGACGCCATGGAGCTTACCTTCTCTTACGGCACGCTGGCGGAACCATTGGCGAGGCAATAGGACTACCCTGACAACCATTTGTACGGTCTTGCAGCCTTTATAACCTTGGGTGGGACCAGAACCGCATGGCGCCCTTCCCGTTCTACCAGCCGCTCCTCAACCTGGACACCGGATATATCAACTGGAACCCCCGGATCCCAGTACGGGACAACCTCGCCATTCGGTTCCGTCCTAATCAGCCGCATCCCTTTACTGGCATCCAACTCATCGTGGCCAACGTCGAGAACACACGTCGGCACGCCCGCTGAGGGCACAAGGGACTCATGAAGTCCTTTATCTACGGTGGACGGGTCGATCCCAACGCAACGTTCCCCTGGTCCCAGCTCGCGGACGGTGGCCCCGCGTTATCATCCGCCACGACGAAGCCGATGCCATGGATACCGTTCGTTCATAGCCGCAGGCGAGCAGGGACGCCATTCGGAACTTGGCGTTCATGGACGCGCGGGCCCTGAATACCACCCACGAGATCCCCGCAAGCCTCGAGACTCCTATCCGCGTCCGACAACTGGAGGGGTTTGCGCGCCACCGAGACTTATTCCACTAGGCCGACGCCGGCCAGATCGCGGCACAGTATCCAGTCGCCTATCGACTGATTCGACAGTATCCGAGCGACGGGGATGAGGAAGGCGGCGACCAGTGGTCCGGCCCCAAATAATGTATTTGCACTACCCATGCATTATGTGACAACGTCACCCCTGATGATTTGTAGATTGGGGTTAAGCTGTGTATCTGTTAATGTAAGATTTCCTTTTGCGTAGGTAGGTAATTCCTTCTCGTCTCTTTACCCAGGACGGGTTTGAATATTCGTTGCATTATGGCTATCCACCACTCTGAAAACATCGTGAAACCCTAATCTGTCTACTGGATTATTTGAACAGTAGGTGCGAACATGACGCATCCTTGCTGGCGAATGATCTATATAAGATTTTTTCGGAGAGGAAAAGATGAAAAGACCCAAAGACCCATTTTACTTCCACTAAGCGTCTGCGTTCTTCCTATTTTCAGTCGCGGTCGTACATGCCCAACCAAAAATGTGTTGTCCTGCCCCCTGTCACGAGCTTCAATGTCACTGCATCTTCAGTCTTCCATTCGATTATTGTTTCTTCAATCTTGGATTCTTGAGATCACACAACATCGTGATGCAACAATTCACCTCTAAGCTCCAAGAAATAATCATCTCCAATCAATATTCCTAAATCCAGTCACTACGAGCGAGTCATTTACGAGAACCCTTTTCGAAAGCATCATCTGCATTGCGAGAAATTCTGGCAGCACCTAGGAATTCCGAACCTCTTGACCAGACACGATCGAGAGCATGGTTCCCACAGCCCCAGGGACGGTGGATGCTCGGATTGTTACATTTAGTTTCACATTCTAAGGTGCCTTACATATCAAGTCTTTCTCTTCAATTTTCACTTTACACGTTCGCTGAAAAGCGCATAAACACATATCCTTCCTATCCGAACACCGTGACTGTCACAGTTTTCTTCGCTACACAGTCATCCGCTCTGCTTCGATCATCTCTTAAGTCTTCTGACATCCACCAACCTCTCAGTCATTCTAATCACTGACTCTCCTAGCCATGGTCGACAATCGATGGGTCTGTGTCACTGCTGCCGAGACCCAGATCGGTTTCCGTATTGCCGAGACTCTTTTGATCCATATAGATTTCTGCGCGAAGATCAACAGGGTCGTAGCCCTCACAACGCACCCTGATTCCGACAGGGTGAAATTTTTGGGGAGGTGCGGAGCTGCCGTCGTTCCACACCGGCGTCGGTATGAATACGAGATTCTCCGAGCACTGCAGATGGGTGGGTGCGATACCATCTGTTTGGTTCCTCCTGCGAACGGGGAGAGATTCCATATTCTCCTCGACATTGTTAGTGCAGCCAAGCTCTTGGGTATCCCCAATATCTGCTTCATTAGCTCGGTGGGGTGTGATGTTGCCGACCCGCACTGGCAGCCCGGGCTTCGTCTTTTCTTTGACATGGAGAGATATCTTCTTAATACCATGAGAGATCCCGATTCTCCTCTCCGTTACTCTCCTGTTGTGATTCGGTAAGCTTAACTTCTGCCATATGACATTCAACATTAATGGTCGATCAGCCCGGGGTTCTACACTGATAATGTTTCCGCGCAATTCAATGCAGGCCAGGATACCGGCCAGGATAATACCGCCACCATGTTCCTTCCTATTGACGATCATGATCGGTTTGCGCCAATGGCTCTGACAGTAAGAAACGAGTGATCCACGCAATACGAAATCTACTAACTTCTAGAAGGACCTCGCTCTTCTTGCGGCACATATATTGACAGGCCATGGCCAGCATGGCTTCGATGACCGTCACCATGGGCAACTCATAATCTGCACTGGCCCCGTGTTAGTCACTGGACGAGAACTGGCGACGGCGGCTAGTGCAGCTTTTGGAATTCAGATAGACTTCAAGAGCGCCAGTCAGTAAGTTTCCGCGCAATGGTTCTAAATGTGCCAGGGTTAGCTAAATAATGCAGCCGGGTATCAAGGAGTAATTGGGCTCGAGTTTCCCAAGGCTTCCATTACGACCCCAATTGCCTGCTCGAGTTACTTACATTGGTTTCCGAGGGAAAGATCACCTTCACCTCCACCATAGCGTTCCATGATATCACCGGCTATAAGCCCCATAGCCCCCAGGATTTCTTCAACGCCGCTGCAGAGGCGGCCAGGCGGCAGCATGAACCCAGCCCACAGCCGAATCTACAACTACTGAACTAAACGATCCACGAAACGGATAGTGAGACCAAATTTTAGCTCGGAGGGTGTGAGTCGTGGTACCGCGGATTGGTAGGGCTGAAAACGGGGTGTACACAAATACCACACTTGATCCTAATGGTGAAATTCGGAGTTAATACATTTATATACTATAGATGACTTCAAATCATGTCTACCCGCGCATCCTACATGCGACCAGTGTAAAGTAGCAGAGAATCAAACCACTTCACGGGTATTGGTATGATGAAGTACGAATATCCGCTGATACGAGTTGTCTGATACTGATCCAAATAATTCAAATAAACCATAAAGTGCCCAGGGACTTGAAAATGATATGGGATATGAAATCACAGAAAAAATAATACTAGGACTTCCTGACTCGAACTTGTGCCCTGCAGCTAAACTGCTCTAAGTCCCTATATTTCGCTCTCGAGGTACCAGAACATACCTATCTTCCCTAGCCAAGTCTTCCTCTAGGCACCAAGTAGATCATGCCAATATCTCTCGCCTATAAAGTAAAACAAAGCATGACTTCCAAGAAAAAAAGAATAAAAACTATGAAGGCCGGTACCGTAGAAACCTTGTAGAAATCATTTATTGATAACTACGGGTTTTTTTAACCACAGTACTTCAGGAAACAACATGCGGGAAGTGAGATGTAGTTAGTTGTTACGACTACATAACTAGTGGTTAATACACAATCGTAACCACTACATCACTCGCCCGATCTTTCTTACTAAATGGAATTGGGTTAATTGAACATATGGATTACGACTCTGTTTACCATGTCTGTGTTATCTGATGGCTGCCTGAAGTGTAGTTACCCCTGAGACGATGGATTGTGTCAGTCTATACTCAACAGGATACACCATTGAAAGTCGCTCATTCAATCACTCATGCCCTCATCAATTATACTTCATCATTAGAATTGTTTGGTACACGTAAGTCTTATAGAAAAATATATGGCCAACAATGGTCGACGATGCACCCTTGTATACCAACTCTATCCCACTCGTCAGGATGACGTTGGACCTGATCCAAGTTGACCACCACAACCTCAGCTCTATGTCTATCACACGAATCTGGATTATCGAGCACTCAATTGAACTACTGAAATACAGCACAGAGAACAGTATAGTTGACAAGATGGCGTGGGATGCAAAAGCGACATATCCTCGTTCGCCACGGGTCACCTTCGGGCAAACTCTAGCCATCGGCATCGGTACCGGCGCCGCAGGTGGTCTCGCGTACGAAACCGCCCACACAATCGAAGTCCAGCAACTAACATCGATCCCAGCATGCTCCTGTCGTCCAAGTTCGAGCAATTAATCACCCACCGACCCAACTCCTACGTCCCCGCCCGTACCATCGCGACGCATCTCGGCCTCTACGGCACGACGTTCGCATCCAGGCACTGGGTCCTGCTCAACCACGCGCATCATTTCGGCATGGCCATACTGATGGCGCCGCTGCGTGCGATCATGTCGTACTACGGCATCATCGGTCCGGTGACCAGTTACTTCTTCGGGGGGGTGCGGCTCGTGGGGGATCAGATCGTGGAGAATGCGGCGGGGGCGAGCGCGGCGCCGTGGAAGTGGCCGATTCAGGAGCAGACAGTTGATTTGGTGCATAAGACGGTGTATGCGTTCGTGGTCGGGTATCTGACTGATAAGTATGTGAGGGGGGTGGACTGGTTCAGGCGGTATTAGGATGGTATGGTTGTTGTCAGTGAGATCAGAAAGGGCGTTAGGCGACTCTGCAGAGAAGGGCTTAGCAGGAGGCCAAGTCCGTGTGGTTGACGTTATGATAAGAGCTGGAACGATCATCCGAGACGAAAAGCTGGTACTTCAAGTATCCAGTCATGATCGTGGTTTGCCTGTCATATACTGTAGCTCCGATACGCGTGCCAAACAAATCCTCTGTAGAAGTACCCAAGTATATTTCCACAATCCATTGCCATTGCGCCTTGATAAACCCTGTATGTTTGTTTAAATTAATCTCCGGGTACCCGAGCTGGTTTCATGGACGATGATAATGGACCGAAGGACAAACGGAGACGGAGGTCTTCTCATTGAGGCGCGATGGCCAACCCCATCGATGGTACAATCCATACGTCCAGTAAGAGTGCGTGAGATATTCGATACCATCTTGGAATCGGGAAAGCAGAATTTGCAACGGCTTGATGGACAATGAGTCCATAACGGAAATGAAGGACTGAAGTGATGTCGGATCAAGTCTCGGGGATGACAAGCCTAAATGTTTAGCGCAAAGGGGGATCGCAAAGGCCGTGCTTTGGGACCAGGGGGTCGCGGCGTCCCGTACCGTTTAACTACGAGGGCAGGAAAGTTGACTTTGTAAATACTTTGTAAATACTCCGACCATCTTTAAAGCTTGTGATTTCTACGTGTCGAAGCAAGTCGATTAGCACGAAGACCACTTTGTGCTCGTCAAATCCATAAATATACCGTACCATATTGAAGCCTGCCCAGTAAAGCCAGGCTGCTTCCGAATCGCACATCGTCATGCCGCGAGAGGTGGAACTCCAGACTTTATTAGCCGTTCTTGAAGAGCGAGGAATTCCATTGGGGGCGGACGATGTCAAATGGGCATTTGAATCTTCTCAGACTAGAGAAGCGATCCTGTCATGGGTAGAACGGTACCTGCATGACGAGACCTTGCTCAGCTTCGAGGAGGAAGCACTGTACGATGTTCTTCATTGGACTATGAGTATTTCCTTCTAACTCCGCTAGATACCGCCAGCTTGCGCCAAAATGGGCGAACAAGGAACCTATTCCGGTCCAAGGCAGTCCATTGCTGGAAGACGAGATGGTTGCCGCCATTGAAGCGCTCGAAGCCTCGACCGAAGCAATCGAGCGGCAGTGCAAGAATCTAGAGACGCAGAAGCAGGCATTACTAGCCATCAAGTCCCAGAATCGCGAAACCTCCTCCCGATATCGATCGGCCATTGAGATGGGGAGCAAGAAGAACGCGCAAGAGAGTGGGCAGCTCCAGGTCGCAGTAGGCTTCTTCTTCATGTCTCATCGTATCTCTACTCACACAGCCAGGTCGAGGAACTATCGCATGTCGTGAACAGCTCAACTGAGGCGATGCGCCATCAGACCACGTCCGCACTCAAATCCACGCATGCCGTCGTGCAGGACACCTTCGAGGCCGACGATCGTGTCCTCTCCGCCCTCGCAAAGGTTTCCAGCCCCGAAGCCAGCACGATCGATGCCGCCGCCGCCGAGCAAAACCTCGCTGCGCTGATCGCCCTTCGTTCTGCTGCGATAAGAGCAAACATTGACTATATCTACCAACGTGCCCTTCTGGAAGCCCTTTCGCAGCAGCGGCTGCCAGTGCCGGATCAAGACCTCCCCTCCGCTATCGCGGAGCTCAAAACCGAACTAGGAACGCTGACCGCCGAGATTCCGTCCGTGATTGAACTAGGTCTTAATTCCACCCTGCGCGGACCGCTGTCGAAGGCCCTCGCTGAGAGCTCGCGAAGCCAGACGGCGAGCCAAGGCCAGACGGCGCGGTATTCCATGTCGTCCGTCGAATTCATGATCAAGCGACTTGACGAAACGAGAACTCACATCCAATTCCTCCTGTCTATCGCAACTTCGCTAGATGCCCTTGCTTCCCATGTTTCCGGAACCGCGGCGTCTGATCGGCAACGTTCCGATTCGACTGCATCATCGAAGAAGGCGGCAGCACCCGGTTCTCATGTCACAGCCGCGGAGTCTCTCCTGACACATCTAGGTGTTAAAGCAGAGCGAGCGGACGCCGTCAAAACGACCCGGGAGATCGCCGCCGCCCTCACCATCCGTAGTCGCAAGATCGCCGCGCAAGCAGGCGCTTTGGACAGCAGTGGACTCCGGATGGTGGCGAGGGAGGTGGACCGTGAAGCGGAGGATCTGGAGAAGGTGTTGGTTGAGGTATGGAGAGGTAGTGATGCGGAATTCGGGGACCTGGAGGATGGAGACAAGAAACATCCGAAGAGGAGTGACCTGTTGCGCAAACTGGAAGAGAGGGTCGCGGCGGTGGGAAATGCGATGCGGAAAGCGGAGACAGAGGAGGGATGGGAGGGGAAGAAAGCGGACCTATTGGTGGAGAAGTGGGGAGACGTTTGATGTTTGGTGTTTGGAAATAGGATTATGGATGCGTTCAAAACAGATCTCTTGAAATTCGCCTTCGTACATGAAGATTGGAGAACCCGTCCTGTCCGTTAGCTCGTCTATCTACCCAATATATACCGCTGAAATGGTGAATTGCCGTGACCGCATCATGTCGCCTTAACCGTACGGATGGAGTCCCAGCCAACGCCGACCCATGCAAGATGATACAACATGTTCCCCTAGCCAAAGGAACATCTCTAAGTTCTCGCGGCCGCCTCCACCTCTTCCACCTCTTCCTCCGTATCCGTGTATGAGCTATCGCCTTCTGCGTCACTATCCACCCCACGCTTGCTCCCTGCGGGGCTCGCATCAATATCGTCGGTAGTCTGGGTCTGGTTGGTGACCGCATAGCCCATGCCTGCGCCTTTGCCGAAGAAATCTGCCGTCCGCACGCCACGGATCTCCTTGATATCCGCCGCCCGCAGGTCCCGTCCGACGTTCTTCTTCTGCAAGGCACGTATACTCTCCCTCACCGGGACCATAGCCGCATCCCTACAGGCCTCCTTGATATCGCTCCCGCTCATCCCCGCGCTCAGCTTCACCAGATAATCCAGGTCGAAATCCGGGTCCATTGTCGTGTCGCTCAGAATCAGCTTGAAGATATTCCGCCGCTGGTGCGCGCTCGGCAACGCTACCGGGAACTTCTTCGGCATGCGCCGGAGGATCGCCTCGTCGATGTCCTGGATGCGGTTCGTCGCGCCGAGGATGCAGATCCGCTGGGCGCTGCCGGCGGCGTCGACGGACGTCAACCCGTCCCAGTGCGTCATGAACTCGGCCTTCACCATGCCGTTCGCCTCGTGCTCGCCGGAGCGGCGGGTGCCGAGCAGGGCGTCGATCTCGTCGATGAAGACGATGGAGGGCTGGAGTTTGCGGGCGAGGCTGAAGACGGCGTTGACGAGCTTGTTGGAGTCGCCGTACCATTTCTCGGTGAGTGTGCTGATGTGGAGGTTGATGAAGGTGGCACCGGATTCGTGGGCGAGGGCTTTGGCGAGCATGGTTTTGCCGCAGCCAGGGGGGCCGTAGAGGAGGACGCCGGATGGGGCGGAGAGGAGGGAAGAGGAGCGCGAGTAGAGGTGGGGGAGGGTAAGTGGGTAAATGACAGATTCGCGAAGCTCTTCGATGATATCGTCTAGACCTCCAATGTCTGCAGCGCATATTGATCAGCCTGAGGTTCCCTCTCTTGTCTTGAACTGCGACTCACCTTTGAACGACACGGGGATGTCACTCGGCATGACCACCTCCAATGCTATCTGCCTCTCATACTGCGTCAACTCCAGATTCTTTCTCTTGTCGACGTCGTCCTCGTAAGTATTGTCGCGTGCAGCCAGTAGCCGGTCCAGTTTTCGCGCCGCCGCCGCCGCGTCTTTCTTGTCCTTTTCACGGTCGCCAGTGCCGAAGTCGAGGTGGGAGAGGAGAGTCTTCATGGCAAGGTAGGTCATGACGGGCTACATCGTGCTTGTTAGTCGTGTCTGCTATCCTGTATATGATGACGATGGACGTACGAGGGCGGCGGCCATGAGAAGGTCGGCGACATATTGCCATCGTCTTGTTGAGCCGGAGCTCATGATGAGGAAATTGGGGGAATGGTATCCGGCAGGCGGTGCTCAAGAGCCAGTAGGGCTTGGAGAGAATCAAGCGGATCGATCTATTAAATAAATTCGCATGTCCTTGATGGCGGAATAGCTTCACGTCGATTGTCGGCTCGTGCTGAGACAAGAGCGACCGAGGGTCGTAGTCGCCACAATTAAGCCTCAGGCACTAAGGCAAAAGTTGTGTAACGCCACATTAGCCACGTCACGTGCTCTGAAGTGGCTGTGGCTGAGCCCGGAATTTATGGGCCTGAAAAGACCCTTGCACATGCAGAGGACACCCAGTCCGGTCGACGGCTTCAATTCTCATGAAGATATAACTTGGCCCTTCGACCATGCCCCCTATCCCCATGGATCCAAAATGAGAATCAAGAAGCCTCCATGAGAATCCTCCATCTAATGTCCACCAGATCCATATGTGCCGCCCGCCGGGCGCCGCTGTCGTTCCTAACCCATCACCCCCCACGCGCGCTGGCACGCCCATATGCCACACAGAGCAACTTGGGAAGCAAGCCCGAGCCGCCTCGTTCGCAGCGGAAAGCGATCACGGTGATCAGCGACGATGGACGGGTCCAGTGGAATGACCTGAGCATGGGCGAGAAGGCCGCGCGGACGACGCAGCAGTCGTTTAATTTTCTGGTGATCGTGGTGGGAGTGGTGTTGACGGTATGCCAGCCTTTGCCCCTTTTTAAAAGAAAAGAAAGATATAGAAAAAATCAGCCCGTAAGCTATCCTGTTTTGAATATTTACTGATTCTCGAACAGGGCGGCGTATCGTACTTCCTATACAAGGAGGTCTTCGCCACCGACAGCAAAACGCGGGTCTTTGACCGCGCGGTGGAGCGGATCAAAGACGATCCGAACTGCGTGCGTATCTTGGGGGATCCAAAGAAGATTTACGCGCATGGAGAGGCGAGCTGGAATAAGTGGACGCGAAACCGATCGATAGCGTAAGTTGCTTTTCTGAAACGCAGCGGTGGATCGGCTAACCGATCGAAGATCACGGATTGAAAAGGATCGGGTGGGGATGGAGCATTTGTATATGCATTTTCACGTAGGTCACCCGCCACTGGTAGTTTCTATTTGTCTAATTGAAGTAGGTCGACGGTCCCGTCAATCGTGGCATCTGCCGCGTCCACATGACGAGGCGGCCGGGTGGGGATTTTGAGTATTATCAGCTGTATCTGGACGTCCAGGGTCACCAGCGGATATTTTTGGAGAACGAGGCGGGGAAGAAGGATGAGAAGTCGGGGTCATCGACGGTCTTCGGTGTGAAATGGTGGTAGAAAGAATGCGATTAGCAAGGCGTGAAAAGCTGTACGATATTGACAATGGCATATGTCATGGTGCGAAACGTCAAATGCATTGATGGATTTTTATTGATCTGCAACCTTTTGGCCGCGTGAAGATGGACCCAGAAGGGCTTCCTACATACAGCTCATCGCAGACCATGTTCTGGTGTGTCCGTCCTTTCATATGTAATTATACAGTTCCCATATGAGACCCATGCGGTCCCTCATGTCGCTCCATAGTCGTGTGATCCGTTCCGAAAAGCGTGACGGTCATGCAAATGCTGCAAAGCGTGGCAAAGTTCCCCTAAATCCCGGCGCCGGTCTACATCGTCGCGGGGGGCTGACGGACGGTGTCCGCGTGGCGTTGCTCGAGGTCTTCGTAGTAGAGGACGAATTCGCGCTTGGGTTCTGTAAGCGGTCAATATCACGGTCATCGAAGAGGGAACTCACCCGCTCACGTGACCAGGTCTTCATGTCGAAGAAGACGTAGTAGCCCCTCTCGCAGTCCTTGCCCAGCTGGATCGGGGCGCCGAAGCTGACGTCCTTCATCATCCACTGGCGGAGGGAGGTGTGCCAGCGCCAATCACGCTTGTATCTGATCATGGTATTAGATCCACTCGGGAGCTACGGGGAGAAAAGGACTTACAGTTCCATTGCCGCCAGCTCCTGCCAAATCTCGTCGCAACGCGTGTAAAAGATATAGAAGAGCGTTTCATCAGTGAAGCTTCCGAATCGCGTATGAAGAGGAGGGACATTGTTCACAAGGTAGTGCTGCGGGATGGTGAACTTGGGAATCGGCGGTCGTGCATCGGGGGCGTTCGGCTCGAAGGGATTGTGGAAAGTAGGCCACAAGGGGGAATTGTCGGGTCGGTTGAGGTCGAGGCCAAGCTGAGTCAGATCTTGACCGAAAGCAAGCCACTTGTTGGTGGGAAGGTCTTTGTCGAGGATGGCAAGGAGTCCTTTCATCCCAGCGGCCTCCTTGTTCGTCAGCGTGGGGAGGGGCTTCTGCTGCGGAGCCGGGGCAGATGGAACAGCATCGGTGGTTTCGGCAGCGTCTTCAGCTCGAGGTTCCGAACCCAACGGTCCGAGGGGACTTTGATGAGCGAATCCGAGCTGGCCGGCGGGGATGTTCGAGAATGATGGGTTGGTGAGAGTGCGTGCGGGACGGGAAGTGGGCTAGGTTCATTAGGATCCATGGGCGATATATCAGTTCTGGCTCACTTACCCTGGATTCAGAAGCGCCCTGTCCATTCCGGACTCCCTCAGTTCCAGCTCGGGAACCTAGGGGAAAGTGAGCAAGACGAGATGATCAGAATCTGAATTCGGCTTACCGCCAATGGCTGCTCCGACTCTGGCATCCCCAATCGCCAAACGCTGCCTGAAATCCAGTCAGTGGTTTGCTATCATGTGAAGCGTCGTACATCACTTACATCCCGCCATTCAAAAACGCATCTTGCAATATGCTGCTTCCCCGTCGATCGCCAGGAAGGTCGTTGCTACCCAGTCCACCAAGCGGAGGAAATTCTTCAATGCTACCGGGCTGAGGCTGACCACCAAGGCCCGACAACGGTCCAGCACCTCGTTGGCCGCCGAATCGGAACTCGTCCGGGGTCGCATTGAATGGAGATACATTCGAACTGCGACTGTCCTCTGGGGCGCGCCCCGGGCCTTGGTGGGTTTGCGCTTGACCGGGTGCCAAAGCGGGATTCTGTCCTTGAGGACGTTGGCCGGGCGCATGTTGTGGGGTGCGGAGGCTAGGGTTCGACCAGATCGCCTGGGCGGATGATTGGTGATGAGATTGGGGGTTACCAGACAAGCTAGGAAATTCACTGCAAGCTCAACGTTAGCAAGGGAATAAATAGGCCATCAATTCAGGTTGCTTACGACAGGTCAAGCGAGGCTTGGTTGGATTGATTGTTCAGAGCTCCAGCGAAGCTACCAAGACCAGCACCACGTCCCTGTTGAAGATTCGGCATTCCAGCTTGACCACCGAATGGCCAACCCGAACTACCCACGGGAATCTTTCCGTTGACACGGCCGGATCCCATCGGAGCCGCGCCACGGTTTGGCGCGTTTTGCTGAGAAGGAAACATGGCTTCCTGTTTCTGACCCGAGCTTACACGCCGCTTCGTCTCAATCTCCTCCACTGTCTTCGCGAGCCTGCGTGCAGTATTGTGGTTTGCCTCTAAGACTTTACCGTTTGGCCCGGGGGTTCTGGCTGCCACTCTAGCGAAAGAAGCGGGATTGGTCTCAAAGGCTTTGGCGCTGGGTGCGGAGGGCGGTTTCACAGAACACGGGGTTCTGATATGGGAATCTGTACTCGGACCGCTTGGCGTGCTTGGTCCACGAACGGTCGCAGGTGATCCGGCAGGAACTGAAACGTTGCTCGCAGAACCTTGTGTATGCGAGGATGGAGTGCGGATGTTTGAACCAGTTTCCCAGCTGAACTCCTGACACTGACCGGTCGCTTGAAAAGGTATGTAGTATTTATTGAAACCAACTGCTGGAAATAGGTGATTCTTGACGAACGGTGGTGCTGTTGGGGTTCCGTGAACCAGATTGAATGGAGTGTGTGGTCCAAAATGTACAGGCTGGGCGCTATACGGGGGGTACAGTCCAGATGGAGGGGGAAGTCCAGGTGGAGGGGGAAGTCCACGCGGAAGGAATCCAGGTAGAGGGGGCGGCTGGGAGTTGTCGAAGGAACTTGGAACGTTCTTGCTCTCTACGTGGCCATATGTGTTCCAGGGGATCGTTCCAGAGGGTGTGTAATAGTGAGGTTTCTGTCCGAATTTCTTTGCTACTGCACGTTGGAGTGGTAGGAGAGTCGGCAGTGCTAGGTCCCCTGGGAGTGCGCCGAGGTCGTACGGTAGGCGTGAGTCAGGATTCGATTGGAAGGTATCTCTATTTCCTCTCGCAGCCGGGGGCCGCTGATTGCTCGGAGGGGTTTGAGTGGGATGGTGCGGTAGACCGAACGCGTTTGGAGGGGGATGATATTGCTGATTCGCTACAGAGATATTAGTCGACTGACCTTGACTATCCTGCCACCACACTGGTGAAGCTATATGGAATACTGAGGGGATTTCGTGAGCGGAGAGCGGAAGATGGGGTCATACCTCGTTGAGCGCCTCCCTTCAAGTTCGACTGGGCGCGGGATCCTCTAGAGAAGCTCTGCGAGCCCGGTTTATGACCTGTATAGTCCTCCATGTTAGATACTTGAGTGAGAGGCGAGGCCGCAGGTGGGGGAATTGAGCGCAAGCGATTTCAGAAAACAGAAAACGGCGAACAGAAAGTGAAGGTGTTTGGATATCACAAGGGAATCCAAACGAAGTCCCTTGTGAGTGCTGCTGGACATGTGGGAATTATCGTGGGACATCACCACCGGCCGATGCGCTGAGATCCGCTTGACATGGTGACGCCGCTCAGGATTTCTCACGATAGTCCACATCTCTTCGCGTGCGCGACACGGTTCGCGACCAACCATGCCTGAATATTGGAATAAATTACTCACCAAGGAAATTGTTAAGCTGCGGACGCTTCTAATTCCACAGACCCTAAGATATCCCCCGAAGTTCCAGGTGGAAGGGATGAGAGACGGGTTGGGATCGAAGAATATGAGTACTGGATGAAGTCTTGTGTGTAGATGAACATAGAGGAGGACGATTGAATCTACGATGGATGTTGGAGGGAAGGTACGTACCGGACGGTTACGCTAACAGTTTTAGGACTAGCGCCCTTTGCTCCTTCCAGGACCCCAGGATCATCTTCGATTTTCTTAAGAGTTGGCAACTGCTGCATCTACAACCACCTCTAAATACCGTCGCGCATACTTTCCCACCCGGTACTGTGACCTTGTGTCTCCCGAGAGACCTCCTCCAGATGGAGCTCCATTCATGCGCGCTTCGGGCGACCAGGTGGTTCCCATCTACTCTCAATTGCACGCGTTCCCGCATTCCGCAGTCTACGACCGAGTGCCTTCGAAATCCCTCCCAGCGTCCATTTTCCACAGCCGTCCCACTGCAAGCACGAAGGGATGGTAATAAGAACCGGGGTATATCGGCCATCCGGTCTTCAGGAGCTCGAAACATCCCAAGAGGCTCTGTGACGTTGAAGGATGTACAGCGGCCCGTTTACAAAGACCAGTCGGAGACGGAGCTCAATGAAAAACACGGATTGTGGGGGTTCTTCAATGTGGAGAGGACAGCGTTATCCACACCGGAGCAAGATAACATGCATGGTATGGTTCCAATTCCACCCTCAAGGAAGAGCGATGCTAATACTGCGACCAGGCCGGGCATGGAAGCCATGGGAACTGAGGAAGAAGTCCTTTGAAGACTTGCATGCATTGTGGTGGATATGTATGAAGGAGCGGAATCGGATATTCACAGAACGGCACACCAGAGAAAGGCTGGAGCCGGGTTTTGGCGAAGTTGAAGCTGCGTGGAGAGATGCTGATGTATGTCTTCATGATTCTTATTTACAGATGGACTTCTAATCAGCACCCATCCAGGTTCGGAGGACGATGAAGATGATCAAGAAGACCTTGACAGAGCGACACAATGTCTGGACCGATGCATATCATTTGGCCCAAAAGGATCCCGAGATCCAGTGGAAAGAGGATGATGATGGAAATTGGAGTCCATCTTTGAAATCTCCTGCGGCATTTGGCTATGAGGATGTTGAATCAGAAGCAAGCAAGGATGCATCCAGCTCCGGGGATCTGGAAGGAGAAACGGATAAGTTGGCTCCTAACCAAGCGCAGGAGGATTCAACAGCTGGGAAGTCCAGGCCTCGGAATTTGCTATAGGCTGTTCGGGGATGAATTGCTGAGAAACTGTACGATATATGTATGAGATGTTCTATATCCCCCAGGCATGGGTTGACATTGTACAAATCGAAGCTGTCGGGAGGTTAACAGAACGGTGAAGGAAGGGTTAAGCCGTGCACATACTCGGAATATCTTACCCTGTAGATGCACGATTGCCTAAGTTTGAACATAGGATAACTCTCCATCATAGCTAATTAACCCATGATCATCAGGCCTTCCCACACATTTAAAACAAAGCGAGTAGTTTCAGTGGCGATGAGGGCCACCTCTGCCGAAAGCGATGTGATGGGACTGCCAACCAATGGAATCCGAACCTCCTCGACTCCATCCCACTCTCCCGCAACTCCACAAGCTCGAGCTCCTCAGCTCCTCACCGATACATGTACACTTTATACCTCCATCAGCTTCCAAATTCTTTAACGGACAGCACCCAATCCCCCATACGCCCATTTGAACCTCCAAGAATCCCATCATCATGGATGAAATTGCCCCAGAATACGATGTCGTGGTCCTTGGCACTGGTATGCAGTACCCCGCCCCTTTGCATGGTTCGGTTTGAGGCTCATGACGAGTTGCAGGTCTGACGGAATGTGTCCTTTCTGGGTAATTCGCCCCGGGTGTCCGTCCTCTGTGTGCTACTGACCGGTTGTGCAGTGTGTTGAGTGTCAAGGGGCAGAAGGTCCTTCATATTGACCGCAACGACCACTATGGCGGGTACGTACTGCATGTCTGGGAGCGCCCATCCCACTTTGCTAACTGGGTGCAGAGAGGCAGCCTCCGTCAACCTCGAATACGTACGATCCCTTCGTCTCCGCAGATAGACCCTTCACTGACTTTATTGAAGCTGTTCAAGAAGTACGGGAACGTCGCCAAGGGCGAGGAGCCATGGAAGAAGTATGGCCGGGCGAATGACTGGAACATCGACCTCGTCCCGAAGCTGCTGATGTCGAACGGCGAACTCACAAACATCCTGGTCTCGACCGACGTCACGCGGTACCTGGAGTTCAAGCAGATCGCCGGGAGCTACGTGCAACAGGGCAAGCAGTCGAGCGCGACGGTCGCCAAAGTGCCGTCGGACGCGGGCGAGGCGCTCCGGTCGCCGTTGATGGGACTGTTCGAGAAGCGACGGGCGAAGAAGTTCTTGGAGTGGGTGGGGGCGTTCAAGGACGATGACCCCGCGACACATGCCGGTAACTATGGCCCGGGACACCAGGAGAGAATCGTTGCTAACCGGGTGTAGGCTTGGACATGAACCAGGTGACGATGAAAGACGTATACGATAAATTCGGGCTCGAAGCGACCACCCGTGACTTCATTGGCCATTCGATGGCGCTCTACCAAACCGACAGCTACATCAACGAGAAGGGGACGGCCCAGGATGCCGTCGGCCGCATCCGACTGTACGTCAATTCGATGGCGCGCTACGGCAAATCCCCCTACATCTACCCCCTCTACGGACTCGGCGAGCTGCCGCAAGGCTTCGCCCGGCTGTCCGCCATCTACGGCGGCACTTACATGCTCAACACCGATGTGGACGAGGTCCTCTACGACGGGTCCAAGGCGATCGGGATCAAGGCGACGATGAAGGAGCGAGGGGAAGAGGGCGACGGGATGAAGTTCGAGACCAAGTGCAAGAAGATCATCGCGGATCCGTCGTACTTCCAGAATAAGGTGCAGGTCACGGGATACCTCGTCAAGGCCATTTGCATCCTCACCCATCCGTTGGCCAGCACCGATAATTCCGATTCCGTGCAGTTGATCATTCCGCAGTCTCAGATTGGCCGGAAGCATGGTGAGTTTCAGCATCCCCTACCTTTCCCTTCCCCGTGTCACCCCGCATCTTCCTCTACTCGAATCATGATGGTAACGAAACATCCCAGATATCTACATCACCCTCGTTTCCAGCCACCATAACATCTGCCCCGCCGGATACTACGTCGCGATCCTCTCCACCATCGCCGAAAGCAACGCCAACCACCACCTGGAGCTCGAGCCCGGCTTCCAACGCCTCGGCAAGATCGAGGAGAAGTTCATGGGCCCACCGATCGCGCTGTACGAGCCGTTGGAGAGCGGCATCAACGACAACATCTTCATCTCCAAGAGCTACGATGCCACCAGCCACTTTGAGACCACCACCGGTAAGTCCCCAACACAACTGGCCGTCAACGAATTCGGTACTGATTATATTAGATGATATCAAGAACATATATATGAGGGCGGAGGGAACGGAATTGAAGGTCGAAGGGTTGAGAGAAGGTCAGCAGTTGGCGGAGGATTAGGGTTGAAGATTGCAGGATGGATGTCGTTGCATTCGTTGCCCGAGCCGCTATTAGACGATGAGATTGTTCTGCGTTATCGATAGCGTCGAATATTGAATGAGGAGCTGTCTGGGACTTAACTGTAGAGGAGGTGCTTAAAGTATCGAATGTGATCAATGGTGGGGCGAGACGACCAGACGTCTCCCTTCGCAGCTCATCCTTCTCTCAATATTCCATCAGGACCACCACATGCCTCGCATGTTGATTTTTAATAGCGTAGATTGTCTTTACCACCCCATTTACGGACAGCTACTTGGGCAACACATTTCTATCTGCGTGGTTTTCGAACTTCGAAGCCCATTCGTATGCACGAACAGGGTACCGTGGGGGGTGAGGCGCAGCAGGACCTCCTTGAATCTCGCCGCGCATCAATTGAAGTCAACCAGAGGTGCATAAAGTCAATGTGATCGCACTATTGGTGCCGTGTTCAACATTCAAGTTCATTGCGTCCTCGTCTGCTGTTATTTTAATTGTTTTACCTTGTATCGCTAGAATTATATGCCACACTGTCTCCAGTCGTCTTCCATCCATGTCCCCAGTTCGTAGATCGCGCATGTCTCGTATTTGGTAAAGCGATGTCCCTCGAATACCTCCAGTCAATTCCCAATGGATGAAGCCCCCCTTGCTCTCGCCGCGCTTTTGATCGCCGTCATAGCCTTGGTGAATACCATAGGCCAAGTTCTCCACCAATACTACGCGAGCGCGGACGGGTATCGACGGTGCAGGTACGTTCTCCCCCAGCCCATCCGACCCAGTTCTTACGTCCCTCGAGTCTGAGACCCACCATCCAGTTCGGCGGTCATCGGCAGCTGGGCGCGCTTCACGACGCGCCGCTTCAAATGGCGCGAGTTCCGCTTCGAGACCATCTTCGCGACGCCGCACATCTTCCTGGACGCCGCGTACGACCTGCAGCGGATCCAGACGTCGCCGACCGCGGGCCCGTTGCTTTTGTTAGATGGCACGCCGGAAATGGACCGGTGGGAGGGGCTGCAGACGCGGAAGACGGCGGCGAATGCGATGACCTTCGCCAAGGAGACGCAAGGGAAAAGTACGACGAGTGAGTTTTTTATGAACTTTGAGGAGCAGATGCGGCCGTCGTTGGCAAGGCGGGCGTGGAGTTCGAGGATTCTTTCGGGGTTTTCGGCGGCGAGTGAGTCGAGAACAAGGAATCCGAGGAGCGAGGCATTTCTTCAGATGCGAGGCGATCCGGTGGGGAACGTGATGGAGAACGAGCCGGTGAGCTGGATTCCGCTCATGCAGTGCTTGCAATCGTACAGTTCGGAATTGCGTAATGCGGGCCTGCGGGTGTTTCAAGACACGTCGTCCGGCGGTCTACGTCAAGGCCGAGTAATCGTTCCGGCAGTGCGGATGACCAAGAAGAGCTGGGATTTCGTGCCGCCCGACGTGCTGAAGCCATATGCCGTATCCACGATCATGGATGTCGCTATCATGGTTCAGCTACTTGGCATGTGTTGGAAGACCTTCAAGCCGGAGGAGGGGACCCTGCTGGCGGAGTCGGATGGCAGCATGGTGACCAGCTCTCTCGTCAAACCTCTCGGGACGATGTTGACGTTCGCGAAAATGGACCGGCGAGCTGAGGATGAACGGAAGCTTCATGGCATCGTGTTTTCGCCGGTCGAAGGGGCTACGCTTTTGGGGTTTGGTATCATCCCGGCCGACTTTGGCATCGCGGAGAACGTTCGCGTCTTTAGTACTGAGCAGTGGTATCAGGCGCTTTCAAGACTGACCAAGTCTAAGTCGGACATCATCCGAAGTTATCCAGACAGTTGCATCAATCGAGGTAAGCATTCTGGATTCCTATGACCACGTTTCCACAAGTCTGACTTACGTCAAGCAATGCTCGACTTCATCGCCATCAACTGTCCAGTGCTGCGACCAAACAACACCTGCATCACGTACCTCGTCAAACCCAGCGATCAGCTCGACTTTTCCCAACCCGGCATCCGCGGTGCCCTCCGGGCTTTCACCAACCAACTCCTCCACCTCAACTCCACCCGCGAATCCCCTGAGCCCTTCTACTCCGCCATCCTCCTCCACTGCAGCGCTATCCTCGCCCACCCTCGCTGGGGACCCCTCCGCGGCCGTCCCGCCTTCGTCATGGACCGCTACAGCGACGACGCGATGCTCGACCTCCTAAACAAGATCCACGCCGCCTGGTACGACATGGCGACCTACTGTATCCGCACCCGCCATCTCTGCCGCAGCGTGCTCGCCGCACACTTACACGCCGTGATGACCGACTGCCAGGAGCATTTCGCTAAGGTGGTGCGCGACGAGTCGCTGGAGGCGGCGGTGGATCGCGATGATCGGCGCCCTGTGCGGCGAAAGGCCACGGCCGTATATTTCACGCAGTGTCTGCCTGCGGTGGTGCAAATGTGTGGGGGTGGCGTGGAAAAGGAGAAGGTGGAGATGTTTTGGGTGGCGATGATGTTTAAGGGGGTGTTTTGGCATGCAATCCATAACTTTGATGATCGGGTGGTGGCGGTGCCTCCGAGGTATTGGGAGTCGAATTTACCAGTTTATATCGCATGATAATGTGTGATGAAGAGAGGTGTTGGATGGGATTCGAATGTTGGACTACGCAGATGAAGAGCACTGAAGACACTGGAATTATCATACCCCTGAAACGCTTTGGTTGGAGACTGGCTCCCCTAGACATTCCATCTAGATAATCTAATACAGAACACCTGGAAGGTACCCTGTGTTCCTACTAGCAAGAAGTGTGTAAGAGAATCGGGTGTCTTGAATCTTCCACCCAGATCTGAAATCACAACAGCGTTCGCAACTGAAAGTGAAATACCCCCTTCCCAAGTGCTCCAGTTCCACCTCTACTGCAATCAATTCTTTGCAATCGTTTCTTTTCTCAATTTTCCAGCACAACCATTATCAATCTTATTCCAATCCTTTCATGTTTCCTTATGTTTCTCGTTTGCTTCGTTATACCGAGCATTTCTCTTCTCCCCAAAATCGGCGACTCAGATTAGCCCCCTAGGGCGATAAGGCTGGAAGGCGATAAGGCAATAACCGTCCTCTTTCGCGATGGTTTATTCGCTGCACGTGCAACTCGACATGGGCCAGCCACCCATACAGTCCAAACAAAGAACCCGGAAAGCCCAACGGAAACCCCTGCTGCCCCGCCGGTTCAGCGCCTCACGCTGCATCCACTTTCCATCTGTACGTCACGTCACGTCTCCCATCTCATCTCCCCCGTTGTACCATAGTATACCCATCCCATACCATTCACCATACCGGTACCTACCTCTCCTGACCTTGGTGCCACACGTCCCTTGGTGTCACCGGTACAACCTTTGACGGCCCCACGCCGGACCTAACCCCCCATCACAGGAGGTTCGATCTCGTCTGTTCTTCCCCCGCAACTTGAGCGAACTTCGCGATCTGCCCTACGCTTGGTCCGCCAATATGCCGGGGCCACCAAAGTCCAGGAAGATCGCCATCGTCGGCAGTCGCTCGGTCGGTGAGTTTTGTCTACATTTTAGAAGTTGAGAGGTTGGCGGGTTGTTGTTGGTGTTCTTGTCGGCGACGGTAACTGACACGTCGTAATCTAGGCAAGTCGAGCTTGACGGTGCAGTTTGTCGATGGGCACTTCGTCGAGTCATATTATCCGACCATCGAGAATACGTTCAGCAAAGTCATCCGAGTGAAGAGCCAGGATTATGAGACCGAGATCGTCGACACTGCTGGTCAGGTACGTTGTGAGACACGACTTCATTTCGCGGCAACGCCTTGGCGCACAAGACACTGCGGACGGGAGTGGGAAAGCATGTTGTGATCCCGTCGGCTGACATCGCTCATCTGACAGGACGAATACTCCATTCTAAACTCGAAGCACTTCATCGGCATTCATGGCTACGTGGTCGTCTACTCCGTCGGCTCCAAGCAGTCCTTCGAGATGGTGCGCATCGTTCGAGAGAAGATTCTGAACCATCTGGTATGTCTCAGACGCCCCGCCCTCTCGGAACCGCATGCAAGGCTAACTGATGTCCCAGGGCGCAGAATGGGTCCCCATGGTGATCATCGGCAATAAATGCGATCTCCGGCCCGAGCAGCGCCAGGTCGACAAGGAAGCCGGCCGGAAGCTGGGCGAGGAGTTCAAGTGCGCGTGGACGGAAGCGAGTGCGCGGTTCGACGAAAACGTCTCCCGGGCCTTCGAGATGGTGATCGCGGAGATCGAGAAGTCGCAGAATCCGAGCGAGCCGACCGGTGGTGGGAAGTGCGTTGTGATGTGAGGTCGACGTCGGCTTCTTGCGTATATCACGCCTTTCTGGGTTTTGAATGTTCGGCGGCTGTCATGGGTCACCGAAGCCGTGTGGCTATTCGGTGAGGATTTGGCGAAGGAGATATCGAGCGCCTCACTCGCTCGGCGGACAGCAACTGAGGTTGCTCAAGGAGGACGACGCCCACGTCTATAGACGATGTTTCGGGGAGTACTGTTGGCGCCGGTGACCAAGCGGGAGTTTTACAGCTAGACAGCAAAATGGATGCTCTTCCTCACGGAACCAGGTGACCATAACGGCACCATCTAGCTAACGTGCAAGCTCTACCGCAGTTCCCCTACTTCAAGAGCTAGAAGATTGATCGCAGGCAGATATCAACAATCTATCTTCCCAGCCTCCTCGCTCGATATGGCTGGCTCCAGGTCTCCGAACGACAGAATCCGCCTCATGCCTTTCATGAGCTGATCTTGTGATGCTCCTAAGGATTCCTCCCCAGCCAAGCGAGCTGGGCACCGGTCGATTTCTAATTGCCACCCGCGGAACTGAATCCAACCCGTGGACTTCACATCGTCCCCATGCTCCGGTCTGATCCGAGAAACGGTCACCTCCAGTCTCAGACAGCAGGCACCAGCTACCGCCACCTTTCCGCCCTCCAAATATCCCACGCACCCCCTCGTCGGAGGGGTGAATTACGATGCCTTGACACGGCACATTTCATCAAATCCCCTCACCACTACATGATACATCACTACCACCCGTCCCGAAACCATTTTCGACCGACCTGAACTAAAGCTGAACACCCAACACGAACTCGGTCCTCGAACCCCACGCTCGTCGACGGTGAGTGGCGAATTCAATCACGCACTGTCACAAGAAGCACCAGGGGGTCCGTCGGCGACGGGGGATACGCGCGGGTCACATCAGCTGGATGTTCGCCAAGCGGGCGGAGGAAGAACGGCGCGGTGCTTAAAGTTAAGCATGCAGGATGAGTCTCGTTAGTTGGGACTTGGGAGGGGAATATGGGAGACTGCAGAGGATTGCGTAATGCGTAGTACAATGTACAACCTAGGGGGGGGTATGGAGGAAGGTGACGAATATCTCGGAGTTCGTGCTAGAGTTGCGGCTGATATGCGTGGAAGATCATCTGGTCGGTGGGCATGCACCAGGCACTACCTAATGCACCTATCTAGTCAATGCAGGTACTAAACAGAAATATAGGAAAAGACAGTGGCAAGCGAGAGTCGAAGGAGTTCATGGTGGAAAGAAGATGTTGGACTTTTGGATGAACGACGTGTAATTGGCTTGGAGGATTTCCTGGCGCCGTTTCAATCCATCTGATTGAATAGCAGGGATGCCATCTCACCAGCCATGACCTGAGGCTGAGCTGCCCGGGCGTGTCTGCCCTTCAGTGGGCGCCGATGTTTCGACTCTAGGCTAGTTTTTCGTTTGGGCATGAAATTATTGAAAATCCGGCATACCTCGGAATGGCGCAGAGCTGCAGAGCGGATACTTCCGACACTGACGAAGCATGATGGCCTGGGCATTTCGCTTGATGATCTGTTGGCTGGTGTGCTGGTGCTCGCACCCGGATGCTGCAGACATGGAGGAGTTCTGACTATCGGGAAAATAATATCTACCAAGAAACACCATGGTCATCTTTGCTTGTCCCTACTTATAAGTGGTAACTAAATACGTTTGGATCATTATTCATATCCGTAAGATCGTATTGTTTGTGAATCTGAGAATTGCATATCACACCGTTCCCTCATTTCCTCGTTGTGCATTACCAATATCTAGATTCAACTAACTAGTGTACTTACCTACTCTGACGCGATTCGGATTTCGAAGGATTTCAACTCAGCTTCAACGTCCCCCGTCACTGCAGCGAGATATTTGATCCGGATTTATAATCTGTTGCAGCCGTCAGATCGAGTCAAGAATTCTGGTCGAATCACCGCCGAGTGCCGATGCCATGGAACCAATCAAGGACCTCGTTGCCATAAATCCAACAACCTCCAGGGAATATTGCCCTTGGCTGAGTCTTGTCCAACCCTTGCAAGTTGCAATCGGAATATCTGAGCTACAGGGACTGGCGCGGATCATCGTGAACGACCGGCCAATTTCTAGACATGGTTCGTGAATGCTGAATCGTGAACTTTAGCAACGGCAGTTCATATGTGGAATCCACCAGGCGGGAAGTCAAGCATCCAGATTCCAGCCCCACTGAATGATGGATATTTGCTATTCTTGTCCCAAGCCACGTTACTGATTTCTCCCTACAATTTCGCTCAAATCGCGTGCTTTCGGGAGGGCTGTGGGTGGCCGGTGCGTATCAACTGGGTGGTTTCAATTCCAGTTCGATTTCAAAGGTGGCTCAAGTCTCAACTCACCCTTTCATAAGGCTGGACTTTCATATCCTGGGTTGTTAATTCATGCACGAACACCCCATGGTAGGTAATTTCGGGACTAGGGCGGCACCGCTTTAGGGCGCTATGGGCTGCGGTGCATGTGGCGTTCGTTGTGTGACATCGCGAGTTTTCTTTGGGTGGGATTGTTGGTTGCTGGCGTGCTGGGCATAGGGTTTGGCCGTTAGGCAAATGCGCATTTCTTGGTGTACCTTTCTCACCCTAGTTGATATTCAAGTCACAATGTTCAGGGGGGTTGGCAAGAATCCTTCAGCGGCATCGGAACATGGAATCTGCTGAAATATGCTGAAATTAATTTCCCCATCCGGTTTCTTGACAGAGTCTGAATTAGGAGATCTGATCCCTAGCAGGTAGCCGATGCTCCTTACGCTTGATACTTGTCCGGCTACTGAGGGCCATCGTCATCAGGAGACCGTTCCAAGGGCGGAATTTGCTCGCGTCGACCTCTCTAGTCAGGCGAGACGGATGGTTGGTTAGGAGGAATCTTGCCGCTTGAAATGCTCCGAAGGCACCGACGTTGAGCTCCTGAGATTGGTTGTGAGCAGTTCGCCTCCGACCATGCCGGAAAAAAACGCATGAAGGTGCCCCCCACCGCTCGCCGCGAGCGACGACATCCCATAGGATGTTGACCGGCCTGCGGCTGTTCCCTTCTCATGTTGGTCGAATCAATGGCTCGACAATTCTCACGATGAGTGGCTCTTCTGGATAAGCACGCAGCTCTCCCGCTAGTGCCCGTTCCTTAAACTCGGCGACGAGGAGCCACAGCCAACGGGGCAGATGCTCGGATACACGACTGCTCCTCCCGCATATGCCGGTAGTGCCACCACGAGGATGAGTTCGTGTTGCCACTCTCGAGTCACGACCTCTCGGCATGGGCAATATTCCCAATTCCCATTGAGGTTGGAAAAGGGCGCGGGGAGGTTTCCCATAGCGGTGCTCGCCACGCCGCTGAGAGGCTGGGACTTGGCAGCATTGCTCCCGTCTCATGCAGTGTGCGCCCTAAACCGACTTTGATTTGAAACCCAATCCGAACTACTCTGAGTGGAGTAGAGGACGAAAAAGGGTGACTGATCGGAGGCACTAACCGCTTCGAATAGCGGAACAGTTTGTGGCAGTGCAGATGACCCCCTATTGTGGCACAGCTGATTTAAACTCTCATTTCTGATTGGCCAGTTGACTACGACGCGAACCTCCCGTGGCTTGTGAGTGCTCCACTGCTCTCTCCACCACCCAACTCCTTCCCATGTCGAACATCCAACGGCAGAACTCCCACGAGCTCTCTGCTCCAGTGCTCCGAAGCCTCCGATGATGATCGGCTGCCGGGTGACGTTCATTATCTGTCCCATCAGGCGACCAGACTTGGGTTTCGCTATCTCAACAGAACTGCTTGCTATGCTCATGCGAGGGGTGCTACCTCTCCGGTCCTATGCCGAGAGCCAGTTCGAGTTGCACTGCCCATCTCTCCGACCTTGGGGTCGCGATGAACGAACACCCAGAGCTTCAATGGAGCTTCAACAGCGCCCAAAACAGACTGTGATGGCCAATTTTCTTCCTCCTTGCTACCATCACACACTATTACACTAACCATGAGCTCATCTATCCGAATATTACAGAAACGGGCCACTCAAGCGGCATGGTCTGTCGTTTGTCGTCAAGGCCCGAGCTCGCCCTTCGAAGGGCGGCCAGAGCACAGCCTGACAAGAGGCTGTGCAAGCGCCTCATGGCCTGCTACCACGATGGACTATTCCAATCCTTCCAGCACCATTTCTTGTTCCGATTTCACCGTGGCTAGTGACTGCTCAATGATGAACTGGGCTGGCGAGTTTCCAAAACCTTGTCACTTGAATTGGGGGCCCTTCGCATAAATGCCGTCAAGGCTCCAGCTTTGGCAAATCGTATATATGTTCCACTCGCTGCAATGAGACTGGAGCATCGTGCATATCCACTAACGCCCCAACTCTAACACACCACCATACGCAGTCATCGCTCCCCTTTCTTGCATATATCCCCAAAGAGTCAATTTCTCTCTTTACAATTTAACAACATTCATACTTTGTCCATTTAAGACCTTCTAGTCGTCAAGCTTTGTATAATCGTCTTTGTCGATGATCTCCTTGCCTGTCTCATCCTGTCACCCCGCCATATCAGGTATCGATTTTAAAGACCACAGGGTACGTCCACGCGGATTGGTTCCATGACCCTTTATACCGCACTAGAAGTCTATGCACGACACCTCCCGTTGCCCTTCCCGTCTGCAACGTTGATCTGGAAATTACCCTCAATCAAAACCCCTAACGTTTCCTCGTAGCCCAACGAAATTTCGGGAGATCGAACATTATCATCGAATCTTCACCAGATCCATCCCGGTCGTTTCCCGTCCGCATTCCTTGCTCTTGCTTAGGGTTAACGAGGCCGCTACCGTCGCTGCCCGACCAGAGAATCCTACGCAAATTTCCGAGCACCATTCGTGCAATTTCAGGCATTTTCAAGCGGTCGCAAAAACTGTCGCCGAACCGCGGACGCCAAAACTTGACATCAACCTGGAAGGACGCCAACGTACCTGCTGTTCTTACATCGGCTCCCGGAACCTTCCCTGCTCAAATCTATCGAAAACGCTAGGGCCGTGAAGGCCCAACTGCGAAGCACATAAAAGTCCGGCCGATCGCATTCGTCACAATGTGTATTGTTCACGTCACCCGCAAGGTCTATGATAGCGGCGACATCGTCGAGGACGAGCGCCTCTATTATCCTTGCAACAATTCACAGGGACGCCGCGCTTGCCCGAATGCACAAAAGATATTCCGCGGGACAATTCAAGTTCACAACGCCCCCCAAGGACCAACATTATCCCAGCCGATACCAGCCGGACCAGGGGGACATGGATATAGTCGACATACCCCGGGTCTGAGCATTCCAGGAGAAATCTCCACACCTGCAACTTCGAACTCACCACTCACTCCTAGCCCTTTGAGTGCATCACCTTCCGAATTCAACGTGCGTATTGCAGAGCCTAGCTGGCGTGAGTCGCGAGGCTCCTCGACATCCAAATTAGGACGCAGTTCGTCAAGCAGGAGCCGGTCTGAGGCGCGAAAGTACTATGAGCCGGTCTTTTACATCGGCGGAAAAGACAGGAAAAAGAAAACCGAGCACCGTCGCTCTGGTTCGCTTGCCAGCAGCGTCTCCGACGCTTCGTCTGTCCACATCATTGATACTCCGCGCTCCCGGCCAGTCTCAGCAAACATGGAAGGCCCAATTCCGCCACCGCCTCCAATGCATCACTCACCATTAAACGCGATGTTCGGCGGTATCCCTCCACCACCTCCTGCGCCGATGACACCTCTTACTGGTCATCATGTGTCCCCACTCGGCGAACCCTTCGGCGAGCCCCCCACCACCCTTCCACGCCGCCGCCCCTCCCAACGCGTCCAGCTCCACAACCCCCCTCCCTCCCCCCGTCCCGCCAACCTCACCTACCGCGAACCCACCACCCAACACCGGCGCACCTCCTCCAACGTCTCCGTCTCCTCCACCACCCCTTCCCTCTACCCCACCGCCTCCGTCTCCGGCTCCTCCTCCCCCTCTATCCTCACCCGCGCTGACCGCGTCGACCCTGTCGAGTCCGACTACCGCGCCCAAGCCCGCGCCGACCACGCCCGTAACGAGCGCCTCGAGCGCCGCGACCGGGAGCGCGACCGCACCGACGTTCCCGCCCGTCGGCGCCGGCTGAGCACCATCAGCAACGCCGCAACGCTGCAGACGCGTCCGCAGACACCGCCCGGACAGCGGCTCGAGGGCAACGAGGAGCGCGAGAAGCGCGAAGCCGCGGAGGACCAGCATAGCATGCGGGAGTACAACCGCATGCAGGCGCGGGAGCAGATGCGCGAGGAGGCGCGGCGGCGGCGAGAGCTAGAAGACGAGGCGCGGGATGGGTACCGACGGGCGGTGGAGTCCGGGGAAGAAACGTTGGAGTTACCGGAGACGCCGACACGAGTGCGGTGGACAGAGAGCGAGATTGGGGCGGGAGATGGGTCGGTGCGGTCGGAGGGCGAGCGGGCGCGGGCGGAGCGGAGCTCGCGGGAGTTGCGGGAGGCGAGGACGCGGGCGGGGCGGTTGGAGAGGGATTTGAGGGAGGGGAGGGAGGAAGAGGGGGCGGTGGTGAGGGCGCAGGGGGAGGTGGAGAGGTTGCAGAGGGAGGTGGATGAGATTCGGGCACGGAGGGTGGAGAGGAGAAGACGGCTGGAGGAGGAGAGGCTGGAGGAGAGGAAGGGGGGAAGGCATACTCGTGCGCAATCGGACCAGTGGAGGGAGAGGGGGAAGAAGGTGTTGGAAGGAGAGTGGGGAAGGTCGAGCGGCGGCGGGGGAAGTGGTGATACCAGCGGTGATGGGAAGAAGAAGCGAGGGTCTTTCACCGAGAAATGGTTCTAAGCCAGCCTGGTATCATCATGTTTGGGGGGCATTTTTGTATTGTATTTGTCAAAATAGCGGTCTTCGATCTTTGACCTGCCGCGGGGTGCACTCACAGATGGAGGGGAAAATAGATACGCGAGGCTTCAGTGCGACAAAACACAGGTTCCTTTATTATATGAAAAGCTATTGGCAGTCTTCCCGCGTTGGACTTGGCCGAATTGGATGGATACTTCTGGGTGAACGTACACTGGCCATCGCAACTACGAGATAGGTACAGCGGAATCGTCACACATGACGGTAGCGTACCGTGGGTGGTCTTTAGGAGACAAATGTAGACTCTGTCTTGCTGGTGGGCACTGCAGGGACCACAGTTGCACTAGATGGAAATCCTGGTGGGCATCGCAGGTACCCAAGCCGCATTGAGAGTTCTCCGTAGACCGTACCACCCTCAAAAACAATACCAATGGGTATCGACACGATTGAAAGAGACGAACTGAATGACAAAGACTCTGAAAGTTAAAGGAAATCATCAGTGGGGAGTAGAATGAGAGAAAGGCAGGTCTCGACATTGGGCTCGCACCCTCGACGCGGAATCGGTGGGTCATCAGTCGACATCATCAGTAACATCACACATGCATAATGAATAATGGCAATCAAGCCTCACAGTCAGCGCAAGCCGACCGCTCAGCGACACCTAGTAGGGCAAAGTTGCTTTTATTTCACCGTTATGAACCATGGGGTAGCCGTGCTGGAGTACCTTTCTCCATCCTCCATCCGAGTATCATAAAACGCCATCAATGCCAGAAAGGAATCTATCGCGCCGGGCGGTCGCCGAATCGGCGCGGGCGCTCGTTCGTCTGCTGGGCGGACACAGGGACAACGTTGACGGGGATGCTGTCGAACTGCACACATACACTCATTAGCGATCAGAATCGGGGTTCGTGGATATTGGCATTGCTTACGCCCATGGACTTCAACATGTCCTTGGTCTCCTGATCGACGTCCAGCTGTCCGCTCTCGCTGTTCTGCGTGAAGTCGAGAGCCGAGACTTCGGGGACGTATTGATCCTTTCGCTCACGTTCCTCTTCCTGGAGCTTGAAGGAGATGCCGCGGACGGGTCCACGTTGGATACGCTTCATGAGATGGGTGGTGAAGCCGGCAATCTACACAGCGCAACGGTTAGAACACCGCACACACGCTTCCGAAATTGATGGGTGGTTATATACCTTGTTGCGCAGACGCTTCGACGCAATGATGGCGATCTCATCGCAGATTCGCTTGTTGGTCTCGAAGTCGAGGGTGAGCTTGGGGTAGTACCGCTCAATGATGACCTTGGCGGACTTCTTGACGGTCTTCGTTCGAACGCGACCCATGATTGCGGCTTGGAGTTGGCGATGGGATTCGGTGGTGTTGGAGGTCGACGTTGATCGGATTCGGATTTTCGAAGATGGGAGAGACTTTGTGGGTTGAGAGCGAGCGAGGGAGGTTTGTGCGTGGAGGCCTTGTTGCCTGAGTGCCTGGTGCAGGTGAATGCCTCTGCCTGGTAGTGTGGAAAACTGGAAATCTTGGCGTTTTGTGCTGGTCTTGCGAATATGTGGATGCCTGAGGCTCTCAATCAATTGTTTGGTACACTATCGGGATTCGGGAAGGATAGGTCTTAAATTTAGCTACATCAATCCCCATGTGGGCCGACCGAGGTTGGCCCGAACGGGAGCAGGAATCAATCAATCAATTTACATCATCATCTTCAATATATTTCCATTCTACGCTGTAGAATTCGTCAATTGGTATCGGTTTGATAGGCACATGTCATTCATTGCAGTATCTGCATCCCCAGCAGTCCAGAAATATTCCTTGGTTGAAATCCTTACTCCTTGCTCCATGTCGCTCTGCCCCTGCGCTACCTGTGGTTCGAGTCATGAAATTTCCTGTCAATTTAAGGTGCGTCTTCACTCTTCCTTCCTTTGCAACTATCCTCCGTATGTCGCTTCAAGTTGTCTTTTCGGCTTATGGTCTGTTGGCAATTTTTACAAGTGAACTGAGTCCCGTTGTGTACATTCAGATGGCGTTTGTAGTCTGACCAGGAGTTTGAGATAAACTTCGTCTTGCACCCCCTTGGGACAGTACATTTATACTTCCTCTCATCCTTTGGGGAGTGGATCTCTCTGAGGTGACGACTAAAGGAAAGTCAGTTGAAAGCTTAAACTAGACTCAGGGTATATGGTCACCTACCTCAGTTGGCTTTTCAGATCGAATGCCTTGCTCTTCGACTGACAGAGTGAATGAGGACAGGGATAACCTCTTTCTATGCGCGGATTCCGAGTACCCCGATTCCGAGTACCCCGATTCCGAGTTTCTCGATTTTCCGATGGTTCGTCTTCGCTTCTGTTGTTTGTATCCATGTCTAAGAGCCGAGGGTCTATAGGAGGACTTATCGGGTCACCCATATGTGGGACATGTCGCTCCGGCGTCCCTGGCACTGGATGCTGAAGCGAATTGGCCAGTCGATCGGTGTCGGCGTGTTGGTTCTGCACAGGCATGGGATTCTGGCAACCATTGAACCGGGAATATACGCCGTCTTCCCGCCATCTGGGACCAAACTCCGGGCCCAAGTCTCCCTCAGCATCGATCGAAGACTTCCCCAGATTTAAAAGGCTAGTGTACGGGAGCTCAGGTGGACCATCGCCCGAACCAGTAAATGGCACGAGACCAAGCCACCCGCAGGGCGAATCATCCACCGAGCGGTCAATTTTGTCGAAAAGTATCCAGATGGTTCGACCGTAGGGGCTGCCTGGGCCTAGTGTGCTCGCCGAGTAATGTGTTACACCACGGTCATCCGGTTCTGTGCTGGTCAAGGGCTCGGGCCAAATCACCCCAAGATGGAGGGGGAGCGGGGGGAGCAGATCGTCGCCTACAATCTGGACAATGACTTGGAGCTCTTCCTTCGACAATATCCTATCAGATCCGATCTGGCTGCTCCAATATGGGTTTCCCCGCCCATTATAGCGAATGCGAAATTGCTCCCCTTGGTGGATCCTTGCCAGATATTCTCTAGACGGCGTCTTTTCGGGACCAAATATAGCTTCCATTAGGACACGAACAGCGTCCAGGCCGGTAGCATATTGGGTAATATCGGCTTCCGGTATTCTAGGCTGAATCTGCTGGCCGACAGCTCCTCGCAGTTTCTCCAGCATCCGATTATCACCATGGATGACTATCTCCTGCTTGTCCAGCGAGTCACTCTTGTTCATGGATGTATTCCATGTATTGCCGGATATGCCAGCATCGCCTGCATTCTGGTCTAGTGGAGATGCCCGGGTTGACTGAATGGGTCCTACATTCCCTATGATTTCTAGCACACCGCTGCCATCTCCAGAGATTCCCAGAAGTTGTTCGGTCTGTTCGACGCGAGACCCGGGTGGGAAGGAAAAGCCTGGATATTTGGAGGAGATTGGCCCATCTGCTGGTTCGAGCTGGAGATTGACCTCAGGGGCGGATGAGGTGAACGCTAGAGTTCCGCCAGTTTGGGATGATGAGAAGGGGTCCTTCGGGAACCGTTAGTGAGCTTGTTCAAACTGATCGTCAAAACTGCACGAAACTTACATAGCTGGTCAGACAATCCAAACCAGATTCACAAAGCCAGTCGGTGGTACAATCGGGAAATCCGTAGAGGCACGAGTTAGCAAAATCATCAGAGTCTTCCATCTTCCTCTCCCACCAGGGAGTTCTGTAGTCTCTCTGCCGGTAAGTCGAACACAGAAGCGTGCAGTTGCACGACACGGAAGTCAAAGGCCCAACTAGACCAAGCTTTCAGAGACGACTGTCCTTGTGAGCTCTGCTCAAAGCTGGGCAATGGAAGTCAAACAAGTCTGCGGAGTGTCGGGTGGCGGATAACAATAGCATTATATTATTATCCACGTTGGGTAACAAGACAGGACAACAAATGTCGAGTCCACGTCAGTGACGTCCCAGTGTTCCAATTCCTCTCCGGGAGGCCCCTCATAATAACGGGTGGAGATGGGAGCACCGCCGGGGCGGAGCGTCTCGTAGCGGGGCCTACACTCCACCGCCATAATTGCCAAAATTCCCATTATCTTATCAATGGGCACTTCAATGCGTCGCCGCTTAAAGCAAGTTTGAACATTGTTCATGGTGAAGAAGAGTCTGGTGCTCATCCATCGATCTGGAGAGTCTTAGGGTCTCGCGGATCTGAGTCCGGCCAATGAACACCTAGCCCTTCCTTGCGCTTCATGGCGATCTCAGACCCCTTGACGACTTCACGCGGGGTCATGGAGGTGCCACTCTCAGCACAATTGGGGTTTCGTGGATGCTGGTTAGCAGTTGTGGCTGTATATTGACTATCGTGGAAGGCATATCTTTCCCTTCATCAAATGTATCGAGGTGCGACTGGGCACGTAGTCTGCCATCCCTTGTTGGCAACGAAATCCAGAGTACTTGCACTGTAAATCACACAATCAGAGGCTGTTGTCCTTATCTTATATACCTACTCCGTGCGATCCTAGTCAGGCATTAAAGCGGGGAGACTGGGTGTGGGAGCGGGTCGATTTACGGATATCGAATCCTTCTTCACATTTCACAACCCCTTTCTAATATGAAGGCGTCTGGCGTTCCCAATCGATACCATAACTAGTAACCTCGGCGTTCCACGATGTTGAAGACCTGGAGCACAAGACATCGCTTACTACCATGCTGATGCATCGTAGCATTCGGGTGGATGCCGGATACAGGTGTGAGACGTCTATTGGCCGCATCCAATGTAGACGAAAAAGGACAACCCTGAAGCAACTGCGAACCACATTGCTGCTCCTAAGTCCATATGAGACCTAGATATTAGAGCTTCGTCGCACTTCACACTCCTTTGTTGGGCTGAACTACTAGAGACATGGTGCGGGAATTGTGCCACGGCTCCCTACCGCGGGGATTGGTATGACCAGTCACCAAAGCCTCGGGCCCCAATTAAGTCAATCAGTTTTCGTTGGCGCCAGCGGGTGGATGTGTGTGCATGCGGTGACGCATCACAATCACACGGTTTGGGGCACTCAGTTTCGGCCTCTTGGAACTCTAGAAGCGGCTTTGTGCGTCATTGAGTCATGGGCATCGTCTAGGCCATCACCTATCAGATCTGCTGAGGGAGCACCTCACTCTTGCAGCTCTTCAGCACAAGATGACCTTGACATCAACATTGAATTTATCCGCAAAATAAGGTCGTAACAAGGCGTTTATACTCATTGCCGAACTCGTTACTGAAAGTCATAATAGGAAATGATTGTCCGTTGTCCCGTTTTTACGCTTCTCGTTGCCATAAACATTTCTAACCAGTTTCAGCCATGATTGTGCCAATCTGGACGGTTTCGCCTGAACAGAGAGATGAGGCCGTGCTCGATGAAGTCCCAAAAACATAAGAAAGCGTAAATCGTTAAAGAAAAGTGTTCCGTGAAATGAAATGGTTGCAGAGAACGCTAACAACCAGTAGGGACCGTGGCAGATGCGTTGGAGTCCAAAACCGTCGATGTCGTACCCAAGTTTAGCGAATGCAGCAATGCTTGTAACGGGCATCGTCCATTTGTATTCGACATTTTCCGAACCGAAATCGAATTTAGGATGCCATTCGGGCGTTGAACAACTTGGATTCACGGCCTCGTGGGGCCTACCGCGAGCGATGCCGAGCCCTATGGATACCCCTGAATAAGCCAGAAGGCTGATTAGGGATGGCAAGACTCAACATCATTTAATCATTGCCGTCCCCCAGGCCCATGTCGCGCTGGCATATAACTGCATGGCGTCGACAGTTATCCGCTCGGGGGAACCGCGTTCCACATTTGGGGCATGCGTGCGGTTTCTCCCCAGTATGCTTTAATTTGTGACGCGAGACATCTTTCGGATAAAGGAACCTCATCCCGCACTTGTCGCACGAATGGGGCCGTGTACGCTTTTTCTCATGTTTCCTGGATCTGGTAAGTCTCTAATTAGATCATAATCGGGACTAGGTATACGTACCTCCAATCTCCTGAGGTTTCGAACCGCTTAGGGACGAAGTTATTCCGACCGGTGCGTGGCTGGAGTACTGGATTCGTGCCTGTGAAGCCTGTTGTTGCCGTCCAAAATCCTATGTTGTTGAAGGCAGGACTGCTTCCGTTTATATCTAGCGTTGGTACTGCCTCAGGACGGGTAACAGGTATCTGTTCGACCGCAGTAAGAGTCGCGGTGCTCGGGTAGAGCAAGGGGTTGAATAGTCCGGTCGACTGTATACCTGTCTCCTGGCCATTCTCTCCGTCCCATTCGGACCACGGACGATCCTGGAGCCACTGCGGTGAAAGATCGGTGGAACCAGGTCCGTGAACAGTCGTCACCGTCTCTGATGAGGGCTGTTCTATTGCATTGGAAAATAAAGAGGCGTGATGCCTCCTTTCACTTGGAAAGTCTTCGGTCCTCGAGTCGCTCGTCGCAGGGTCGGGTGAGAAAACATTACTCGGACTGGAATTCGGATAGGATTCAGAGGAAGAAAACGGGTTCGAGCCGTTTATCGAGGTACCGTCGTACTAGTATTTGTCAGCTGTTGGTACGCCTGAGAGAACCAGTGCTACTACCTCATTGAGTGGGACTGACTGCGTATAGTCTGTCGTTTGAAAAGTCTCGTCGTCGGTAAATTCGGCCGTAGGGTCGATATAGTTTTGACTCAGTCCATCATAACTAGCCACAGAGCACAATCTCCCTCCCAGCCCCTGACCTGTTCCAGTCATGATTTAAGCCTCCAAGGCTAAACTTCTGTTGGCAGAGACAGGAAGTCTGGGTATCGGAGTCCCAGGCTGTATTCAAACAGCACGAAGCATCAGAAGGTGGCTCATAGACCTCAAGGCATCCGGATGTGGTTTCGTTTCTGCAAACAGCTGGTGGTGTTCCGAAGGAAGTAGAGGTCGAGCAAGATGGATGTCCGCCCTCGAGGCCTCTTCCGATATGGATCAAGCGGCCTCACTACGCCAGATCGGGTCTGTCCACGCTGGCATGCCCAACAGGCAGTGCAAGCTAGAGAGCTCTTCATTTTTGCGTACTGGACTAAGATTTGACTCAAAACGAAGACTTCTGTGGAAGGGAATAGCGAAAACCAATTCTTTTGTATTTTACCCGCCATAAAACAAGTGTGGCACACCATTATCAAAGTGTCGTAAACTCCTACCCTTGCATGACTGAACTGTCGGCTGAACATACTTTCCCCTGCATACTATGTAAGGTTTGGTATGTACCAGGCTGCCAGCGCAAAAGCCATCAATGCGACTCCTGGGGTCCCAAGCCGCTCATCAGTCTTTCGGATGACAATACCCTGTGTTCTGTTAGGAACTGGTGGGTGTGGCATCCATCTTATATTTAAAGGATACCGAGGCAGTTAGCCGCTTGTGGAGAATACAGCACTGGTTACCCGTACTGATCTGCCGAGACCATTGTCTATGAACTCGACATTGTGGAAACTCTCCACTCTGCAGCGGGCCGTTCCATTCCAAGGCGGATCTAATCTCTGTCGTCTACCACAGAACGTATATGGTTCCGTCCCCCAAAAGAAATATTAAACAATGGGAGTTGGCGTTGAGTCGCCGTGTTATTGGTCGTTGCAAATCTGAGGGCGTTTACACGGGACGCTCCAGTAGCGCCCACTGTGTGTAGCATGTACATAATATGCAATTCCATGTAGCGCCTCCACGCCTCGCTTTTTGTCACTGACAAATGTCTGTCTAAATCCTCCCTCCACTCCAGTAATCCATGCATTGAAGCGCTGAACATGTCGGCTTGTCGGAGGTTGGAGATCAAGTGCGGGGAAGGAACATGAACAGGATAAATGCTAGTAAAGAGCAGAGAAAGGCAGTCCCGTGTGATCCATTGTTGCTGAACTCGAGAACATCAAGGCCGAGCCCAGTTATCATTGATTCAATTCGATTCCTTGCCTAATCCGACGTTAGGACGACTTTGCGGTGTAACAGCATTGAATTCGTCGCGAACCTCAGGCAGGGCCGTTTTCCCACCACTGGTTTCGTTTCGAGTAGGTAGGTAATCTTCGAGCACGGGTCCTCGGCATGTGTTTGTACAGCTTCCACAGCTTTGGTAGCGATCAGATTGAAATTGCATAGAATTGCTTTTCTTGGTATGAAATATCATACTGTACAGAAGCCGAAGGAAGACAGGTAACTGGATTCTTCTGCGAATCTGTATGATTGATAGTGTTCGAAGTCCACCAGAATCGAATCCCAAAACCTGTGGTATGAAATTGAGCCTGATTGAGCCTGTCGTTTATGCATCACAAGATGAATATAAAAAGCCAGGGCTTTGAGCGTATCAGAATTTGAGCGATTTCCCGTCTTTCACGAATTGAGAAATCCACCCAATAGTCATTCTATGATGAGTGAGCCTGGTTGAACCACTTGTTTGTTGATACGTACTTTGATCGTTTGGTATCGGCAAAGTTCTCATGATCCGGAGTGACATTCTTCATGAAGATTGGATCGGCCTTCATGCGGACAAAGTCCTCTATATCCTTGAACACAATCTGAACGATAACATCATAGTCGGCGATGTTGGAGAACTGTGGATCGTATAATTTTGCCATCATCGGTCTAGTTTTCGATGTATTGTGAGTCTGGATCGGTGTTAACTCCACTGCTAACGGAAAATCAGGAGGTTCGCATTTACCATCGGCCATGACTCGAAACCATACTTCTCCATCAGATCCTGGACAAGAGGAGCGTGAACCTTAGTCATGTAATGACGATAATCATCCTCAGAGAGACCGGGCTTCTTGTAACCACAGAGCGTCAATGCAAGCATCTGCTGTCCTTGGGCGATTGCCCCATGTTCTTTTTCTGTGGTCGACTGGTCGTAGACATAGTTATATTGTACGTAGAGCGAATCCAAGACTTCGAGCAGACTCAACGAGGATGAATGTCAAACAGATAGGTTACGGCTGGACTAAAACTTTTATAGAGGACTTAGAGGTAACTAAGATTGTGCGAATTGCACGCTGCTGACGGCGCTCATGTGGGGAGCCGGACTCTCTGTTGAGAGCCCTCGATTCTCGTTCTCAGGTCTTTCAAGATGAGCGCCATCCAACGATCGATAGGGTCGCGACTCATAAGTCTTCGGCCGATGGAGCCATCTCCTGTTGGAGAATCCTTTTAAGTTAATCAGTCAGGTGTACAGGTTCACAGTGGTGAGATCATTGTGTATTTGTGTTCAATAGCTTTCCCTTGCATTGAAAGAGCCAACGGAAGGGATACTGCACCTCAGAATAAGACATCAGTATTGCCATTAAGGGTTATGATGGTCTGGACTCTCACTGGACTATGGATATCGGAGGACGTTGAGAAGCGGGTCCAGATCGTGAACTGCCCTAGCCTAGCTGCACGTGGAATGAGATCCCCACAGCATCATCTCCTCTCGTCTCTCGATCACTCAACAACATCCACTTTCAACATCGTCAAAGATACCTTACTCCGTAATATATACATGTTACTGCCGTACGGTATTGTGTACGGAGCATGTCAAAGCCAGTTATCCGTCTAGCATTAGGGCTGCTTACAACGGCCAACGATGCATCGAGACTACTATATGGATATGGGTTTTGTACGACCGATTACATCTTGTGCTCCAGTCGTGTTTCTAGTTTCTATCTGTATATTGCTTGAAGATATTATGTTATTAAGTCTGTTTGATGTGCGAGTCTAGTCCTTCCTATCAAAGAATTCGAGGATTTCGTCCCCTACATTAGATATACCTATCTGTTCTAGATATTCTCGTAGGTTTTGTGCGAACGTGTTAGTTTGGCCGTGAATATTTGGAGGGGAAAATGGGGAATCTACATTCCGAAAGAAAGAAGAGCTGGATTTTTTCTATCAACTCCGAGTCCTAGCCGGACCTAATGAAACGGTGCCCGGGTTGGTTGTCGACGTGCCAAAGCCGATATCTCCTTTCTACATCGGATGGACCTAGGGACGGATAGGCGATGGTAAAATCTAAAGTACAAGAGCAGTTTATCATAAATTCTCTGAAAACGTGCAAGGAACTCCAAGCTCTACCACCACTCTCAAGGCCATGTGTCAGTTCCGTCAACGAAAGTACACATGTTGCCACTGTTAGTGGCCCACTTAGTGTTCCGCAAAGGCTTGCCAAGTTGCCGGAATCTTCTTCACTACGATACCTACCGGCATGTAACGCGCTATGGAGAGGCGAATGTGATGCGGTAATCGTGGGAGGTGCCAACGTTATCGCAAATCTAGATAACTATGCTGGGTTGGACCGTGGGTGCGTGGCCGCTTGTTGTCTCGAATAGGTATTACAAGACCTTTGATGATGAAGCCGACGGGTACTGCAGAGCAGATGGCGTTCCCACGGTGGTCATGCGACGTACTGGATAATGCCATTTCAGATGATGATCCTGTACACAGTGTCATTGTTGGAGCACTTACCAATCACTCTGCAGACTCTGCCTCAATAACCGGACCTCACCATGGTGCCCAAGCCTATATTTTCGACCAGCCTCTCAACTCGAACGGCCTAGATTTGACTGACATCAGCTTTATCGAAATTAATGCTACCATTATAAAGAGATCGAAGAACTCGCCCAGTCGTCACTCAATTTGGTGCTACTTGTGTCCAAATGAGTTTGGTCAGACTCTGGGAACTTTGGGGCGTGAAACCCAATGTGGTTGTCGCCCACAGCCTGGGGGGGTATGGAGCTCTGTATACTACGGGTGTACTCTTAGCCACCGACACGATCTTTCTAGTCGGCAAATGAGCTCAGCTTTTTCAGGAGAGATGCACTGCTAGGAGTCATACCATGCTCGCGGTGAAGGCATCGATATCTTACATCACGAAATACCTAGATCAGGGCAATTGTGAGGTCGCGTGCATAAATACCCCAAACGAGATTGTGCTTAGTGGAGATACTGCGGGTGTCGACCACCTGTCCTTCGTGCTTGCTAAGGGCGACATGAAGAGCACCAGACTCTGTTCCATACGCATTCCACCCGTCGCAAGTTGATCCAAGACTTGAGTATTTCGGAGATCTTTCAAGAAGAGTCGGCTTTCATGATCCATTTGTTCCTGGTATTTCACCTCTCCTAGGCGAAGTGTTAACGAGCTCGGACAATTTATATGGTCAATACCTCAGCCGCCACTGCCGCGAACCTGTTGATTTCCTTCAAGGAGTAGAAGCGGCCAAAGCTGCCAGTCACATCAGTGACTCAACTCTGGCTTGAGGTCAGGTCTCACCCTGTTTGTGTTGGAATGGATTCTCTAATTTCCTTGAGTGCATTCTAGGCTTCGTGAATAGCTCGAGATGGACCCAGCATCTGATCTGTTTTTGGCCTGCACTACTTTTGATGCGGTCCAGGCAACGCTTAACCTTAAATTCACACCGCACCCTATTCCAAAAGCTGCGAAATCGATGCCCAGACCGAGTACGTCTTCGGCTGATGATGCCAAAACCGCTCTCCAGCGACATCAGTCCTCCTTGAAGGGAACTCAAGCACGGTGACGAAGCGCCTCTTTGTCTTCACTGATGGCTCCGGGTCGGCAAAGCCGTACATGAACCGTTCAAAAGTCCCATCCAATGCGGTTATCCACGACTTGGGCTACCCATACATGAAGCAACCCGAGAACCTAAACGCCAGCCTTCAAGAGCTCACTGCTCTGTATGTGTCAGAGATCCGGAGACGGCAACCGACAGGACCCTACAACTTCAGAGGTTAAAGTGCGGAAGGAATCTGTGCCTTTGACGCTGCACAACGGTTAATCGCCGAAGGAGAGACGTGGAGAGGTTGATGCTCCTAGATTCGCCGTACCCAATTGGACTTCAGAAGTTACCGCTGTGACTATATAAATTCTTCAAATACATTGACCTCTTCCGTCAGGGAATGCCCGGTCTAATGACATGGTTGCTTCCTGATTTCTATCCATTCATTAATTCATTGGACGCGCATCGAGCTAGGCCATTCAGTCCTGGAGCCGCACGCAAATATGATATGGGCACAGGATGGAGTCTATAAATATCCGGATGACCATCGCCCTGGGCCGCAAGGTGATGGTCCCAGGGAGATGATCTGGTTGTTGAACAAGCGGACAGACCTTGGACCCAACAGTTAGGACTCATTACTGAACGGCAGAGGATTTGGTGATTGAGAGTATGGCTGATGCCAATCATTTGAGCATAATGGAAGGGAGTAAAGTGAAAGAGGCGGGGGATTTCTTGAGCCGCCGAGCTCTTGATTGTTTATGGTAATCTAGACTTAGGGATGACTTGAATGGAAAAACGGTTTGTACGGAGTATGGGTTGGCGCTTATTCCGCAATTACTGGGTGTGACGATTAGGGATATAGATGACTATGAAGCAATGATGTACCTGTTGTATTCAAATCTGGATTCAAGATGCGGTGAAACTGTATAATTTGACATTAATACCTGGGAAAGTGGCAGAACTTTGTCCAAACTCCACGGTGAGATCTGATGTGGGCGAAACGTCAACCCCACACCCTGGAAATCCACCATGTCACCTCCTTACGATATCGAAACAACCTCCCCATATGGAACCCAAGGCAGCCGTCTAAAACAGACCCGAACCTTTACTTCCCTAGATACCCTTTAATCCTTCAACCTCTCGTTTCTTTTGTCTTCCAAATAATCTCTTTTGAAGCTCAGCATGCCGTCAGACACCGCCGCTCTGGCTGCATTCATTGAGTCTGCTCCGCCAGGAGAGGTGTGTTACGCCGGCTCGTGAAACACTTGACGCAGACCATCGCTAACCCAATGTCTCCAGCTCAGCAATGTCACGAATGGTAATGGATATGGAACCTCTCGAGCTGGGCGCATCTGACCCGGCGCTCCAGATATCAAGAACATCGTCACCGACGACCCCAACGTCATCCAGTCGCTGGGACCGGCGTTCCAGAAATACCATGAGGAGCAATTCTCGACGGTCAAGCTCCCCGGTGCAAGCGATCCGGTCGTCGTGAGCTCGCATAACTCGCTGGGCGGCGGACGATACTTCGACGTCGCGAGCGCCACGTCCTTTGAGTTCGACCCTGTCACGGAGAAGGCCTCCGCGGCGCAATCATACAGCTTGGAATCCCAGAACGGAGATCTGATGTACGTTTCTGATTCGGGTAGAAAGCGAGAAATGCTAATATATATCATGTAGAAAGTCGTTGATCAAGTCCTTCCAAACCCACGTCAACGAACACTTCCCCTCCTCGAGCCTCGGAATCTACCCGATCGAGGACGACAGCCGCATCGCGATCGTGGTCGTCGCCTCGAAATACTCGCCGAACAACTTCTGGAACGGGCGATGGCGCAGCGTGTTCTTCTACGAGTCGTCGTCTGGGGACATCACGGGCAGCATCAAGGTGGACGTGCACTACTACGAGGATGGGAACGTCCGGCTATTGACCGACAAAGCGGTGAGCACATCGATATCCTCAGCGGCCACCGCTCCTGAGGTCTTGAAGGCGATTGCGGTGGTGGAGAGACGGTATCAGGAAGATCTGAACCGCGCGTTCGGGAGCCTGAGTGAGGGTGCATTCAAGGCGTTGCGGAGACAGCTGCCGGTGACGAGACAGAAGATCGAGTGGGAGAAGATAAGCGGGTACAGGGTGAGTTTTTGGAGCATAGGTTTTGCGTCGTACATGACTAACTGTGCTCGAACCGTAGCTTAACCAGGACATTGGTAGCGGCAGAGCCCGGTAGGCTCGGGGTGGTTATGCGTTATGTGAGCGGAATGAATGATTTGAACGTCGAATGTTTCGTGAAGCCGTCAAGCGTACAATCATGGTATCTCGGTGCTGCCCACGCCTAGTCTTTGCTTAAGGTTCTCCCCATAAAGGCAGAGCTCTCAAATCCATTCCAGATGTCCAATCACATAACCGTGCAATATTCCCCCGACCTCCCGCCCTTCTCCGTCGTCGTCTTCGCAGCCGTTCGAGCGATGTCTTCCAACACCTGCATACACAGCTCCCCGGTAACCGCACTACATTCAGCATACCTATCGCACCTCAACTTCTGCGCCATCCCCAGTCCTTCATCCGGCATCACATGCCTCGTATCCTCCTTCTCCCCCTCCGCGTCCCCTTCCGCGTCTCCCTCCGCATCCCCCTCCAATGCACACGAGGTATCCACCCCCGTCTCCTTATCCTCCACCGGCCATTCCCTTCGCAAATCGCGCTTCAACCCCAACACCATCACCGGCCGGCTCTCGTCGATGTTATACGTCGATTCGACCAGGTAGCGCCAGGTCTTGACGTTCTGCAGCGAGCGACGGTTCGTGATGTCGAAGCAGAGGATGATGAAGTGCGGTTTTAGTTCTAGGTACGGGGTCGGGGACGCGGTGTCGGAGAACTGGAAGCGGTAGGGCCGACCGTAGAGGGTGATGTTGAAGACGAGGGGTTGGAAGGCGTCGTGGATGGCAGGGAGGGAGTAGGGAGGGAGTTTCTCGTTTTCGGCGGCCGATGTGGGTTGGGTCCCGAGCATAAGGCGACTGCTTGGGCGGTTAGCGAGGGATGGTTGAAGAGGTTAGGATGCGACAGAGGCGTACGAGAGAAAGGTTGATTTGCCCACATCTGGATCCCCAAGGAGCAGGATCTCTACCTCAGGGATCTCGGTGTAGGAATCCGTGACAGCAGACATGATGGCTCCCAAGGAGCATACCTAGCGGTTCAAGTAGTGTTCATGTTAACGAGATGCTCAATCCGTCATAGAATGAGATTGCGATGTTGAAGTTGCTCAGTCGACTTCCGACCCAATCCATCCAGATTCTAACGATTCTAGGCCATCACCCCACGCCAGCGATGACAGGGACTTGTTACTAATACTGGGGTATCCTGAGCAGCGCGGAATTGACACCGATATCGAATTATCCATATTCACTCCGTCGGACTTCACTCGAAACATGCTATCCACTCGACAGCCGTGACGTATGTGGCCTCCAGGCTAGTATAGTTCTCGAGACAACCAACAATATGGAAATGTGCAATATAAATGTGTCGGAGTGCGCGATGGGGCGATGTTGCACTGCGTCCAATAGGAGCTCGCAATTGTCTCGAAGCCTTACAGCCTTACAGCCTGGTGATAGAGCTGAGCTCTGGCTAAGAGTTCTCCATGCACTGCGCCATATCAATGTTTCTTCCTACATTTCCTCCGCCTTGCATCCTCTTCGGAGCAGTTGCATCGCACCCCACTCCGTTGTGGCTTGTAAGAAACTACTCCCTGTTCTGACCGCTTTCTCGAAATTCTTACGGATGAGAACGAGACACGTTCTGGACTCGGTGACGGAGTCTAGACCCAGTGTTGATGGCACTGGAAGACAAGCTTCATTGGCAAGACTAAGCCCTGGCTATCCGACATCTAAGCATCTTCAGCCGTTCGCTGCTTGCCCTGCCTATTCGTCGGGTTTTCATCAGCCACATATGGAGGTGACGCAAATTGTTGTCCTACCTTCGGGATCACCTAGCCAACCTCTGTCTTTCCGATGGGAACACCAGCTTTCGGAAAGGGAATATGCCGTTGCACGGAGAAATATGCGGCGCTGCTGAGGGCTGGACTTGGATCCGGAGTCGATATTGATGCTTTCCGTTCAGACTTATTGAACTGTTATGCGCTCTTTGTTGTCGATCGTTTCTCGCCCCTTCGTCTTCGTATTCGAGTTCAAAATTAACCGGCCTGGTTTAATGATCTCTTCGTTAGCTGGTCTATATTTGTTACGCATGCCTCTTTAGAAACATGGCTGACATGCTTTACTTTCTTCTGTTATGCCAGTGTGTGTTCCCGTCGTTGGCCCAGTGGTCGTTTAATACCTCCCAGATTGGCACTCGTATAAAGTCTTCAGCCTCTGCTTGTATGCCCTTGATCGTCTTCGATATATGCACGTATTGACATGTCCTAGCAAATCATACAGATGGTCAACAGGCTATTATGACTCCATTGCCATCATGTAATCCATGCACTCTCCGTGCATACGCGACTTCAATATGTGGCCCATCATCTTTGATGCTTGAGAACCAAACGATATCCCAACCCAAAGTCATAACGACAGCAACCACATCCTATTACATATTCACCTTCAAAGATGGGCGAGAACCGATCACTTCGACCGAAGTCGTCAGCAGTACTTTCATTCCGGAGACCACATCAACCGTGTCCAGTGGAAATCAGACAACGGAGTTGATTACCACAACCGAAGTCACGTACACACTAGATGAGTATCGTGGCATACAATTGTATTGGATTCATTTAATCGTCCTTTCTTTCAGTCTACTCACAATTCACAGTACATATCCCACCCCATATGTTCTCTTCACAGAATTTCAGTATGGTCCAGAATGCACTGGAACGCCCAGCCCCTTAGATATAGACCCTTATTTTGATTACAAAAGCCTGATCGTACCAGCTCAGGATGCTCAACTTATGGTTCCTCCAGGGGTTATCGAATTTCTGGAACAAGGAATCCCTGATGTAGAGCTCTCCAACTGTACGACCAACGTCGAGAATGCGTATGCTGCTTGTCCAGCTATTGGCTCACGCGGAACATCTGCCCTCCCCATTCTAAAACGCCATGTGGGTGAAAAAAACCATGGTCCACGAGCGCGTCTTCCCGTGCCATTCGGCCCACGACACTACCCCCTACCACCTCAACTAGCAGCGCGCGCCGGCCCCACAGGAACCGGATTTCCAAGCACTGGCGCATCCATCACTCCCAGACCAAGCGTCTACCCGACCCAACACCTAACTATGACCACCACAGACGACGGAGGCCTTCCAGAGACCACCGCACCTGCGTCCTTCATCGCCTCGCCTTCGCCAGATGCACCGCCTCTGGGAGCAGAACCGCCCGACACGCCTCATATCCCTCCGCAAGGAGGAAACGGCGCGGGTGCACCCATCCAACACACGACCCAACTCTTCTTGCTCACCGGCTCTCAGACCACCATTATCCTCGACGGAGACGCAAAACAGCCACCGCCTACCCCAGGTCCGCCAGGATTAGCTCCACCTGGAGGAAATGGTGAAGATGGGGGGAGCAACTCCAACTTGCCACCGGGAGCGCCGGGTTTGTCCGGGAATAAGAACCCTGGTTCAGGCTCTTCTGTTGCCGACACGATCATCGATCTACTTACGGATCCTTCGCTGTCTGGGGGGTCTTCCCCGCAGGGAGGGTCCCAACCACCCGCAGTTCCTCCGCTACCAAATATCCCTCCACCTCCAAGGTCCCCTCCATCATCTGGAGGTTCTCCGCCATCTGGAGGTTCTCCGTCGCCTGGAGGTTCTCCGTCGCCTGGAGGTTCTCCGCCGTCTGGGGGCTCTCCGCCGTCTGGGGACTCTCCACCGTCTGGGGGCTCTCTGCTATCTGGAGGTTCTCCGCCATCCGGAGGTTCTCTATCCGGAGGCTCGCCGCCACAGAGCGGCCCACCACAGTCAGGAGGCTCTCCTTCAGGGAATGGAGGGCCCGCACCGTTCAGTGGCTCACCTCCGAGTGACAATAGTGGACAAAATGGCGGAACAGGTAGTGTCGGCGACAGAATTGCGGAGACTATAAGTGAGATTCTCGGAGGAGAAGCTGGTGGTTCGGGAAGCGGAGCGCCGCCTAGTGGAAATATTCCCGCCAGACCAGGAAGCAATGGTGGACAAGACAGTCAGCCACCATCTGGTGGCTCTCCAGGAAGCGAATCAGGAAGCGGAAGCGCATCTAACAATGGGTTACAGTCGGGTGGAGGTTCTCCTCCCGGTGTTCAGTTAGTTCCCATTGGCGGCACCCCCATTCAAGTGTCTGCCCTTCCACCTGCCGCTGGAGGAGGCGTGGTAATCGGCTCCCAAACTGTTCAGCCCGGGCAGGTTGCAACAGTGAACGGTATCCCGGTTTCCGTTCCAACTGCAGCCAGTGGTTCGGGATCACCGGCAATCATTGTCGACGGGACCAGCACGATAGCTCTGTCTGGCAACGGCGGATCGCCAGCACCGACTCCACGACCTGTCCTCACCTTTGGAGGGTCAACAGTCACAGCTGGTGCATCCGGTGGATTTGTCGTAGCCCCTGGTACGACCGTCAGTCCAGGCGGACCCGCCGCGACGGTCAACGGCCAGATCATCAGCATCGCCCCAGGCGGCTCCATCGCCATCGTCAACGGCGCAACCCAAACTCTCGCCTCCCCAACCAACCCCACCAAGCCCCCCGTCCTAACATTCGGCGCATCCACCATCACCGCAGACCCAACTGGCGGCTTCATCCTCGCCCCCGGCACTACCCTCCAACCCGGCGGGCCTGCCCTCACCATCTCCAGCCAAACCCTCACTCTCCCCCCCGACGGCACTATTGCCATCATCAACGGCGCCACCCAAACCCTCCTCCCCACCCTTCCTAGCACCCCTTCCCTCCTCACCCTCGGCCCCTCGATCCTCACCGCCAACCCCTCCGGAGCTTTCGTTATCGCCCCCGGCACGACCCTCACCCCCGGCGGCGCCGTCACCTTCTCCGGCACGACCCTCTCCCTCCCCGCCAGCGGAGCCGCCGTCGTCATCAACGGGCAGACCGGCGCGGGGCCGGGGACGACGGCGGCGCCAGCGCTGACGATTGGGGGAAGGGTGGTCGCACCGACGGTGGGGGCGGAGAGGACGTGGTATGAGGTGGCGCCTGGGGTGACGTTGACGGCGGGAGGGGCGGTAGTGGTTGGGGGGACGACGGTGAGTTTGGGGACGGCGGGGGGGTTGGTGGTGGTGGGGAGTGAGACGAGGGAGATGGTGGGAGAGACGACGGGGACGAGGACGGGGGCGGGGAGGGAAGGGGAGGCGGCGTCGAGGACTGGGGGTGGAGCTGCGTCGAGAAGTTCGGGGGCAGGTGGGAAGGTTGGAAGAGATGGGGTGGTGGAGGGGATGGCGGCGGGTGTATTTGGGGTATTGCTGTGGTTGGTTTGAGAGCGGTTGGAGTGATGTTGTATGATAGTGATGATATATGACACGACGCACGATTTGATATCATGTTGACTTGGTACCCTAGTAACAACCGAACATAGACGTCCAAGCTATGCAATAATAATAATATTCTACCTTCCTATACAATACCTATTATGTCTATTCCCCTCCGAAGCGATGCTCCAGCCTTCCAAGAAATCCCAAATTCACAAAGGTCCGTGGCGACGAGTTGGTGACGTGCAACATCATCCCCTTTCATTCACCAGTCCATGATTTGTGCAACATTCCTCGAGCCACTCAGTGGCTCCTGTGCCTGCAACATGCGATGGTAATTACAGGACAGTCGGAGCCTCAAGGGAGTGTGACGCCACCGTTTCTTGAGCCTCATCTAGCGACGGTCTACAACTAAAAGAAGGTGAAGCTGCATACTGAGGAGCACTCACGATGCCCTACCGAATCCTACCGGTAATTATGTCATGCCCGCTGACACAAACAATGGACTTCGGTCTTCAAGTCGTCGACACCAAGCATTTGCCCCCGTCCCTTGCGCCAACGACGTCAACGCATGCATCCACGGAACGGAGAAACCCAACCCGCCCAGCACGAACCGAACAGCATCATGACATCTGGACCCGGTTCAGCGTGGCCGCTCGACGACGCCGAGAAAAAACCAGGGGTCGGGGATGAAACCCGTCTAAAAAGTGGAGGAACGATCAGCGATGAATGGGACCACGGCCAATGATGTCGCGTGGACGACGCAAGCTGAAACCGATGAACTCTCTGCGTGATGATAGGTTCCTTTCAGGGGTGCGAGGGTTCGAGGGTTCGAGGGGGCTAATTAGACAATTTCCATGGTGATTGAGATGCGATGGAGTAATTTGACTGCGCTGTCGATTGGGGGGTGGTGATTGTTGCTCGGCTGGGTAATGGGTTGGAGCCGCAATGGAGGGAGGGGGCCAACTGGGTGGTTGATGGTGGAAGTCACACGTGTGGTTATGCTCGCAAGTCGTACACGGCGTCATCAAGTCATCAATTAACATACGAAATCCATCTGAGGGTGTTTGATGCTTGGATTCTTTGAGGGTGAGTACCGTCCATGATCCATCAGATCGTGAAGGGTGTATGCGTACGGTGGAGGAGACCCTGAAGGGGGCGGTGGTATTCATTGCGCCTCACGCCCACATGTCGCTCCCCTCCCGAACCAGACCAACCCAACCATTCATCCTCTGGAATCTGTATGCAAGTTGGAAGTCCTATCATCGTCATCGGGCAGCACAAATCACAGAAATGTGCAATGTCAAATGACAGAATGGCGTCTAGCTCTACACGGGTGGCTGCAGTCCGGCGGTGCTCAGGGCCCACGATGCAACGCTTAATGGCCAAACGAGGCTTAGGCCCAATCACCCAGAATGACACTAGTTAATAACACTAACTAGGGAATTAGTTAAGGTGTAAAGACTCTCCGTAAAGACTCTTTGCAGGGGCTCCAATAACCAACTTCCTCTTCTTCGGGACTGCACCTCGTCAGTCTTCACTCTCGTTTCTCCTGATAATCCCATTGCTGTGGAAGTGTGGATTGATTGATGGATGCTTGGAATCGCTCTTGAAAGCCATTTCTCCGTCGCTCGTTCCTCCTCTTTCACCACCGTTGTTCACTTCCCCCGACTGAGTCGTTTCTCCCTCACTCCCTCACCTCCTATCCTACATTCTGTACCTCCTCCGCCATCTAAGGAGGAATTTGAACATCACTCCATCTGTCCGCCAAATCCACATCTGTGCCGGTCATGGCATCTCCGTAAGTGATGTCGCTTCTGTTTCTACCCATATTTCGCGTGGGTTGGAAGATCAACCAAGACTGACTCCCACGGGATCGCAGCTTCACATCAGCATGGCAGTCCTTCTGGCATACCATGACCTCATACGACCGACATGCCTCCCATGATTCTCCTTATCGATCAGGACAGCATGTTCCTCTCAACTCCTCGCGTCACGCTCCTCTCACGTCCGTTGCGACCGCAATGGAGTCGCACTCCGATCTTTCTTCATATCCCGAGGACCGAGCCATGTCTCCAGGATCACCATACAAGCCGGGAATGAGGTCAATGTCGGGCAATTTAGCTGGTGCCGACGAACGGAATAGTAATTCCGACCGAGCGCCCCCTGGCTCGATTCAGATGCAGAGCTTCTCAGACGGCCACCCTCCACCACCGCCGGTATCCCATAGCTGGAAACGGATCGATCGCTGGTGCGAGGACAACTACGTGGAACTCTCCGATAATCTGTCCGATCCATGCACGCAGAACGATATCAACGAACTCGAACACATGCTCGATTGCACGCTCCCCCTCGAAGTCCGCGAATCGCTCATGGTCCACGACGGCCAAGAACGGGGTGGATTGCCCTCCGGCCTCCTCTTCGGCTGCATGCTCCTCGACTGCGAAGAGATCGTCGAAGAATGGACCAACTGGCAGCGCGTCGGCGCAGAATTTTTCTCCAGCGCCGCCCTCCGCTCTCCCCCTCCGGCCCCCTCCGCACCTGCCCGCGCGTTCGGCGGCGCCGCTTCCTCCGCGGCGGGACCTTCCTCCGCCGCATCGAGCCCCACCGCGTCCGCGCGACCCACCTCCCCACCCACCAACTGGCGCAGCGCCCTCCTCGCCCGCCAGCACTCCCTTCCTGCCCACGCCATCCAATCCGCCTACACCTCCCCCCACTGGATCCCCCTCGCGCGCGACTGGGGCGGCAACTGCATCGCCATCGACCTCGCCCCCGGCCCCGCCGGCAAATATGGCCAAGTCATCCTCTTCGGCCGCGACTTCGACACCAAAATCCTCGTCTCCCGCTCCTGGTCCACCTTCCTCGCCTCCGTCGCCGACGACTTCGACGCCGGCAAAGCCGAGATCATGCAGGACGACGAGGAATTCGGCTCCGGCGGCGCCCTCGGCGGCTCCGACTTCGCAGCCGGCCAGCTCCGCCTCCGCGAGTTCAAGCGCCGTCCGAACAATTCCGCCGTCGACCCGCCGTTCATCGACATCCTGCGGTGGCGCGCCGAGATGCGCTACGGCGCCCGTCGGCGCCCAACCGGTCCGCCAGGAAAGAAACCGGGGCCAGGGGGTCCCGGATTGCGGATTAATCCGAACGCGCCGGCGGCACCGCGAGGGAACGCGTCGCCCTACTCGTCGCCGACGGGACGGGCGCCAGAGGGAAGCGGGTTCGGCGATCGCGGACGGAGCCCGAGTCGGTTCCCGGGGAAGAATGGCGGGAAAAACGCTGGGAAGAACGCGGCCGGGGGAGCGGGGCGCGGGGCGATCTCGAGTCCGTTGGCGAGGGTGGCGGAGGAGGCGAATTTGCCGGCGCCGGTGAGGGTGATGACGGATGGGGGGTCGATCGGGAAAGAGAAGTTGATCAGTGTGGATACGCCGAGGGCGAGTGGAGAGTTGGTGGCCGGAGAGCGGATCACTGGCACTGAGAATGGGGTCACGACGGAGGAGAAGGGCACGGAAGATGATGGCGTTGAGGGACCAGTGACAGTTGGGCTTGGGCTGGATTTGAAGCCGGCGAGTGAAGTTGAGGGGAAGGGGGAGAACGCGAGTGGCGGTGCGGTGAAAGAGGAGGCAAAGGATACGAAGAAAGGAGGAGACTTGGAGGTGGTGGAGATCTGAACCATCCGGAAGCAGAGAATGGCGTGTCTACCGTATGATGCCGGAGTCAACTCGAACATGTGGACGGACGGCCGCGACTCAGTGTTCGCATACACGACATTCACGAACAGAGCAATCAAGCTTATGCAAGCATCGAGGCATAGGACATCGACATGTCTGGTTCTTCGACCGGTGGACTACGCTACGACCCCTGGAACACGGCGAACACTACATTCACAGATCATGTTTTACGGTTAACCATACAACTGTCTGGTACGAGGTACAGCGACGGAGCCGGTTTCTTGAACAACATTATCGCGCAACATATCAATATACTCCCTTCCTTTCCTCGCCGCCGCTTCGTTACTCCGGTATCGTGCCACGGCAGGAATCAGGAGTCCGCACGGTACCTTGGACGCGATCCGGAGCGTATCAGATGCCCCCATGGGCAGAATACCTTCATACCAGACGAGGATGGATCGGGATTAGGTCTTTCGGGACGCGTGGTGGGATACGCTTCGGCACTGTAATATTAGCGGGAATAGGTTACCAATCCGGGAACAGCCGTTCGGTAGGTTAACGAAGCATGTAATGGAATAATTGATGCTCAAGCGGCCAAGTGCTCGCTGTTCTTCGATTCGCTTGGGGTTCAATGAATTGCAATCTGCAGACCATCCATCATTTGATGACAGGGCGCTTCCATATGATCTTGGTAGGTATATCACGTGAACATAGGGATTAGACGGACGCATGGCTTGGCGCCAAGCCGTTCCTGGATTGTTTGATCTGATCCCTGCGCACAAACTGCGTTCCTGGCGATCCTCGTCCGCCGAAGCGTCAGAAGCTCAACTCCAACCCCTCCGGAGCTTTTCAGCGATGTTCTTCCAAGCCATTTGACCAGCCGATTCCACTCCATAACAATGTCAATTCTACCTCACTCATTTATCCATGTGATTTAACCTGTTCTTTTGGTTCCTAGTCACTCGCTCACACCACCATGTCCGCCCGCAACCCCGAAATCCAAGTCGAGACCGGCGCGGACGAGATCGTCACCGAGTACGTCGACATGGCGGAGGATGCGGAGGGCAAAGTCGCCAGCACCGTGGCGCTGGCGGAGATCGAGCCGGGAATGAAGCCGCTGATTGCGTTCCTAGAGTAAGGCGGCTGGACTGCTTTACGCATCCGGGACGGCCGGTGACCGCGCTTCACACCTACCTTAAAGCGCCGATCGTCAACCTCGTCATTGGCAGCGGAGACGCGGAGAGCACGCTGTACGTGCATCAGGGGCTTCTGGTGTAGTCGTCATACTTCGCGAATATCTGCAACGCCTTCGCTGGAGGCGAGGTAAGTTCCCACCGTCCTCGCGATCCCCACCCAACTAACCCCCCTAGCGTCGCATCGAGCTCCCAGACGAAGACCTCGACGCCATAAGCGCGTTTCTCGAATACCTCTACAACGGCGAACACTTCCCCCACCGGCTCCACCTGGCCTCCAAGGTCCTTCGCTGTCGAAGACGACCCGAGAGTCCCGCCCAGACCCCACCGGCATCTCTCTCCGGCACGCGCGGCTCTACACGCCCGCGGAGAAGTTCGCCCTCCCGAAGCCCAAGTCGCTGGCGCACACCAAGATCCACACGACGGACAGCACGGCGATGGGGGGGTCGCGTACGCGCGGTACGTGTACAGCGAGACGAGGGGGGAGGGCTAGACGACAAGGAAGCCCGTGGCGGCGTACTGGGCCACGTGGTGCTGCGGCACGCGGCGGAGGAGGAGTTCCGGCGGATGTGTCTGGAACATCCGCAGTTCCGGTTCGATGTGCTGAGCTTGGTACTGGATCAGAAGGAGAAGCATCGGCTGGCGGAGGTGGGGATGCATGTGGGGCTGAAGTCGGGGAGGAAGCGGCCACGGGTGGGCCATGGGTGAGGGGGATGATGGGAGTTGGGAGGGGTGCAATTTCGGGATGAGGGAGTTGGGATTTAAATCCGGGGAATGGATTTCACGCCTTCGAGGTTCTATTAGGGATCCGATCGGGGTCTTGGGTATCTGTACCATAATCACAAAAGGGGTTGGTAGAATATCCGGGTCGGTCATTCGAGATTAGCTGTTCAATTTACAGGATGAAGCCGTGAGGCTTATGGAAGTTGATATGCGTTAAATTGAACTGGATTTGGATGATACTTTATCTCAGCTTGTATACACACGGCTTTAGAATCTTCGCCTCATCCTCAGCCGCGATCGGCTTATCGATGAATTTGCCTTGAGGTCTCTTCTGCCCTCTCGCAAATCTCTCCGGCTGCTCCATCTGCGTCTTTTCAACCTCCCTCACGTTCTTTCCCACCTGCGCTGGAGCCGCTTTGACGAACCACATTTTGACGAACATCCTGTTGCTCAGATCCGCCCCCTTGTCTTGCTTCAGCACGAAGCCCCGTCTGCCCAAGGCATCGATGAAAGCCTGGACGTCCGTCTTTTCAATGGGATCTCCATCGCCATCCACCTCATCGACAATAAAAGATCCCTGCGGCAGCTCGTCCTCCTCCTCCTTCACCCCCTTCTTGCGCGTCCCAATCTTCGTCGTTTTCGTATGGCCCGCACCACCTTTCCCCGGCCGCGAAAACCGACTCTTCACCTCCGCCACCCACAACTCCCCCTTCCACCGCAGGACGCGATACGCCTCCTCGATGAAGTCCAGCCAGTTCGTCCCCATCAGCGCAAGACAGAAGATCGCCACATCCACCTCCCCCTCGCGCAGCGGCAGGTTCGAAATGTCCGCCTTCGTCACCATGTCCGAGTCTGACCCCAGATCGTAGCTACTAACCTTCAGCCCCAGCTTCTTCATCTTCGGCCGCAGCGCCCGCGCCAACGGCGCCGTTCCCGCCCCCAGATCGACGATCCGGCATCGTCCAGTGCGCCGATCGCGTGGGAGCGGGAGGACAGACGGAGCGGACTCGTCGCCGTGGTCGCCCTTCTTGACCTCGGTGACGCTCCCGCGAGCGGTGATGTCGCGGACGTATCCGTCGACGGGGTTCTCCGGCCAGCTGCCGACCTGCTGGGCAAAGCCGGCGTGGTAGTCAGCGAACATTTCAGGGCTCTTGCCGAAGAGGGAGAAGGAGTCCGAGGAGGGGGTGGTGTAGAGCGCTTCGTTGAGGTGGCGGAAGCGCGCGGAGGTGAGTTTGGCGCGCATCTTGGATTGGAGAGGGGTGAGCTTGGAAGCGGGCTCCTTCGCCTTTGTGTTGGCTGGTTTCGTTGTTGGAGCCTTGGGTTTGGCGGCGGCTTGGTTGGATTGGTCATGCTGAGGTTTATTTTGAAGGTTCTTCTTCGCCTTGGACGAGGTTTTCTGCCCTTTAGGAGTGGTCCCAGTCTCATCAATCACATCGCCTTCGGAAGGATCGGTCCTTGCTCTTTTCTGCGGTTCCTCAACATCTGCAGCCTCCCCATCCTGCTTTCGTTTTTTCGATTGTCCAACAGGTACATTATTACTGCTAGTCAACTTCGGAGGTTTGGCCGGCTGAGGAGGACCTTCAGCAGCACCTCCCTTCGATCCTTTCTTGGATTTCTTCCCCTTGGCAGTGCGAGGGTCCGGAATCTCCGTCTTCAATGACGTGGAAAGATTCCAGCCAGGAACGGAGAATAGTGCATTCGACATCTTGGTCAAATAAGGACAGCTGTCTCTAGAAGTGTGATCGCCTAACTAGAAACAGATCCTTGAATATTCGAATGAGCTGTCCTTCTCAGGTGGAGCAAAACGAAAAAGAATATCAGATATCAGAATATTCGTTGGAGGGATTTGATGAAGTTTATCTTCCCAGCGGCCTGTAGCGACCAAACGCGCAACGCCATCTGAGATTCACATTCACCGATTCACGAGACGCTCCGTTGTGAAGAAGGTCCCTTCACTCCATGCAACAACTTCTCTTCTTTTCTTTCATTAATGTTGGTTTCTCGTCGCTAGAGAGAATCGGGGAAAGTTGTTACATTTCCATTGCAGGACCATGAACTGTCACTCCTAACCTCCCTCATCCGTCTTGACTGGTACACGCGCACATATACACCTCCCTTGCGAACTTTTGAACCATGTCGGCCTTCTCCCAGAACGGAACCGCAAATGGCGTCAATGGAGATCACCATGCCGCGGGTGCTTTCTCTCGATTCTCAGACATTCCACCCCAGATCGACGTTCCCGTCCTAGAAGGCGATGCGGATGAAGCTGTCGAAGTCGATCTCGTTGAGTTGTTCGACGACCCAACGGAGCTATGCAACTTGCTCGAAATCGAAAAGGTCGCGAAAGGATATTGGATGACGACTTCGCTGGCCTACGCGAAACAAGGCAAGGTGGACCATGCGATTTCGATCCTTACGCAAGGTTTGAGCGTGCTGGCGCATATCCCACAGGAGGAGAAGCTGAGCCTGTTGAACTGCCTGTGTTGGATGTATCTATTCAAGTGCAGAGAGGCTCCTCGTGTTCAACCAGGTTGGTATCCGCAGCTATAAGATCTGATTGTAGCTAACAGCAGCTTAGAGAGCCCAGACGTCAAGACGAAAGACTTCTACATCCAAGCAGCGACCTCTGTTCTCAACGATGCCTCAAGGATCAGCCCTTCCTACACTCCACTATTCCTTGCGCGTGGAGTGCTTTCACTTTTGCGCGCATCTCTATATCCTCCGGCACGAGGGAACGCCACAATAGACAATACCGAGCGCGGTGAGACCCTCCGGCAAGCCTTGAAATGCTTCGACGACGCGGTCAGAGCGTCCGGCGGGAGGAATTCCATGGCAATCGTAGGCAGGGCAAGAGTGTCGTATTCTCTAGGAAAATTCGCAGAAGCCTTTCAAGGATATCAACGAGTCCTGGAGCTGAAACCGGACTTGCTTGACCCTGACCCTCGAATTGGCATCGGTTGCTGTCTCTGGCAGCTTGGCCATAAGGACGAAGCGAAAGATGCTTGGGATCGAGCACTGGAACTGAATCCGAATTCGAAGTACGCGAACATCCTCCTTGGCATCTACCACCTCCACTCGAGCACGCAGTTTCCGACGAATGACCCGCAATTCGTGACGATCTACAAGAAGGCAATGACGCAGTATACGCAGAAGGCGTTCAAGCTAGACGAAAAGCTCCCGTTGATGTGTTCCACGTTCGGAGGCTATTTCTTGATGCGAAAAGCCATGACACAAGTCGAGCGATTGGCAAGGCGCGCAATCGAGCTGACGGATGTCAATGCGATCGCGAGCGATGGGTGGTATCTGCTTGCAAGGAAAGAGCATTACTCCGACAATGTCGAGAAGGCCAGTGAGTACTATGCAAAGGCCGATTCCGCAAGAGGCGGGGAAGATAGGGGCCTTCTGGCTGCGAAGTTCGGAATCGCGCAGATGAAAGTCATGCTCAATGATTTCGACGATGCAAAATTCCGCCTGGAGAAACTCATTGCAAGCACAAACTCCCTGGAAGCTCTGACTTTGTATGGAGCCTTATTGGCAGAAGACGTCTTCTCGACTCGGTCGTCGTTGTCGGAAGATGAAATTTCCAGCACCCGCAAGAAGGCCATCCATCTTCTTGAGAAAGTTAGAATCGCATGGAAGGATCCGAAACGAAAGATGTCACCAGATATTTCGGTGCTTCTGAACCTTTCAAGGCTCTATGAGACAGACCATCCCGAGAAGAGCTTGCAATGTCTCCAGCAGGTCGAGCAGATGCAACTGGATGCGATCCCAGAAGAGGAGCGACCGCAAGATATCGAGGACGAAACTGAACGCAAGTCCGTATTGCGGGAGCTTCTTCCACCTCAGCTTCTGAACAACATTGGCTGCTTCCATTATCAATCAGATAAGAATTCTCTGGCTCGAGACTTCTTTCAGGCGGCACTCAACGCTTGCGTGAAGACGAGCGACAAGGATGCTGCTGTCGATACGGATGCACTCGTCACGACAATTAGCTTCAACCTTGCCCGCACATACGAGGCAGAAGGAATGCCTGATGAAGCGAAGAAGGTTTATGAGGGGTTATTAGAACGGCATGAGGACTACATCGATGCCAAAGTCCGCCTTACATACCTCTCTCTGCTGCAAAGCCCCGCAGACGAAGGCCCTTCCAAGATCTCGGAACTCTATCATTCAGCTCCAAACAATCTCGAAGTCCGATCTCTCTATGGATGGTACCTCAGTCGGTCTAAGAAACGAACCATGAATGTTGCTGAGGACCAGGAACAACGGCACTACAAACACACCTTGCAGCAATTCGACAAACATGACCGATATGCGTTAACCGGAATGGGCAACATTTACCTCACCATTGCGCGAGAAATGCGCCGGGAGACGGATGTTGAGAAGGAGAAGCGACACAAGATGTACGAGCGGGCCATCGAGTTCTTCGACAAGGCACTCCAGTTGGATCCACGCAATTCATACGCCGCACAAGGCATCGCGATCGCCATGGTGGAAGACAAGAAGGACTTTGCCACGGCAGTGCAGATCTTCACGAAAGTGCGAGAGACGATGAAGGATGCCAGCGTCTTCATCAATCTGGGCCACGCATTTTGTGAGCTGAAGCAGTATTCCCGCGCGATTGAAAATGTAAGTTGATTGTGAAGGGGGTTTGGGATTGCTGCTGACCCAAGTGATGTGTAGTATGATGCCGCTCTTTCTAAAGATCGTGCAAAAGATCCGACAATTCTATCCTGCCTGGGCCGGGTTTGGCTCATGAAAGGCAAGCATGACAAGAGTATCCAAGCTATGACTACTGCATTGGACTATTCGAAGCGGGTTAGTCCTCTAAACCGAGTCTCCCGTTCATGTCGCTAATGATGGCATAGGTCTTGGAAATCCAACCCGAACAACTCCACTTCCGCTTCAACGTCGCATTCGTGCAGATTCAAATTGCCTATCTCATCCATAGCCTGAAGGAGCATGAGCGATCGTTAGAAGACGTCCAAATGGCGTCTGCCGGCCTAGAAGAAGCGATTGAAGCGTTCGCAAGCATCGCAAAGGCTCCCAACCCCCCTTACCCGCGCGAAGAAATTGAGCAACGTATTACCATGGGTCGTGGCACGATGCGAAAGCAAATGGACCGCGCCCTTCAAAGCCAGGAGGAGTACGAGGAGAAGAACAAAGCCAAGCTCCAAGCCGCCCGAGAAATCCGCGAGGCCGAAATCCAGAAACGCGAGGAAGCGAAACGCAAAATCGACGAGGCGGCCGAGGAGCAACGGCGTCGGATTGCCGAGGAGCGGCAGCGGATGATCGAACAAGATCGCGAGCTGGCGCTGAAGCGCGCCGAGGAGGATCGGAAACGTGAGGAGGAGGAGATGACCTTTGATGAAGACACGGGGGGGAAGAAGAAACGAACCAAGAAGAAGGCCGTTGGTGGTAAGCGGAAGAAGAAGGGCGAAGACTCCGAAACTGATGGCGAGGATTCAGACGGCGGTCGGAGACGACGATCGAAGAAGAGCGTCTCTGGGACGCCCGGTCTATCAGACGACGAGCAGCCGCGGAGAGCGAAGAAGCGACGACTGGAGCGGAGAAGCGCGAACCAGAAGCAGTACAAGTCTGCTGAACTGGTCGTTGATAGCGATGATGAAGACTTGGAGGACGAGAAGGACGAGCAGGACGGAGCGGAGAAGGCAAGCCAGCCTATCGACGACGAGGAGGATGTGGCGATGGGAGGGGAGTCTGGGGATGAAGCAGTTGGTGAAAGTTCGAGAAACCCGCGGAAGAAAGCCACCCGGGTGATCGACGATGAGGACGAGGAAGGCGAGGAGGAAGAACCTGCAGCTAGGAACGGCGTCACTGGGGCTACTTCGGATGTTCCGATGGACGACGGTAGTCCGGCGGGGGGAATTGAAGACGACGAGGAATAAGTTGCTGGTTGGGTTTGGGTTGCTTGGCAGGCGGGTATACACAGGGACATGGAGTTCTCGAATCGTTCCAGCCCTGATCAGAGTTTCGTGGCCACGACTTGACAAATGGAGGCATGGAACACGTAAGGTCTTTTCTCAGCAGATAGACTATCATATGCTGACAAGTTTATTTCAATGCTTCAGCCTACTGTAGTCTTCAAACTAGCTAATGTACTAAATCCGTACCCCGAACGCCACTCTCTCCAGTCAAAGGATCATGCAATTCCAACCCCACGCAACGCTGTCCGTATGTCGAGCATCAAATTCCATCCGCCGAGCTTGAAAGACAAGAGTCTCTTCATGTTCATTCAACTAAATGTAAAGTCAATGGGAGCTCAACGCATGCCTGCCAAGCGCCACGGCCAGCTTCAACAGGCTCAATACAGTCGGTAGACTATAGGCCATCCGCAGTGCACCATCCCAAAACAATCAAAATTCAATGCTCCTAATATACTATAATGTAAACGTTAATACCATGGCATCCGGTCGCGGGAAGAGATTAGTCCTTACTGCCCATGTCGTTTAACAACTTTGCCAGCTGTTGGCCGAGCCATGCGATCAAAAGTATCCCTGCGAGGAGGCAAGCAATAAGGACAGCAAGAGCTATTGCTCCGGCAATCAATGTGCCAATAAATTCTGCCACCTTGGGGCCGTATTCGTTATAGCCTTTAGTAATCGCACCCTTCGTCTTGTTCCAGCTGAACCGGGGCTCGATCTCGTGGTACGCCGGAGGGAGACCTCTCTCGGTATCCGCCACCATGGTGATGCCTTCGGGAACCATTAATTCTGTATTCTAGAAGGCAGGATCGTAATCTCTGAAGGTGGGAGTTAGTAGATCCCTAGGATTTCCAGCTGTATGCTATATCGTGTTGCTTGAGGGTCGACCTGGAGGACAGGCGCGCAACCAGGGGCTGTTCCCGGGATGTATTTAGGAAAGTTCCTTCTAGTAGGGGAAGATATAGAGGACTGAAGTGATGATGGACCAAGGCTTAGGTAGAGTAAAAGGAATCTATCAAGAAATACCATGGCCCAATTTCAGCAGTGGAACTATCATCTCAGCTAACCATGGGATAAGTAGGCAGTGTTCAAGGCGACCTTGTTCTTGCCGGCCAGTGGTTGCGGTTCGTTGGAGACGCTCGACCAAAGTTTTAAACAGACCATCTAGGGTTACTGTCTGTGATGACGATGATGCTGAGCAGTGGGCACTATGAATGGAGCAATGCAAGGCAGTCAGCTCATCTTAACGAGTCCTGGGTCATCGCTTGATCAGTGCCATGGAGTCGAATATATGTTTGTTCTTGGATTTCTGAATGGTTCACTTGTTCTCCGACGTAAGTAACAGAAACAAATGAAGTAGGCAACAAGACACTGTTGGCACCGTAGTACATTGCATTACAGACGAAACGAACATCGTTGCGCAACTGTGGGGATAGGGGCCCTTGGCTTCCCTGGGAATGACCCTCAGGCCTCAGGCCTAGGAACGGGGTTCGGTGGGGCGAGCGGTACCGAATACCGAAGTTGGCACTTGACAGTGCAAAGGATCTGGATAACTTCGACTCATGGTTTGGTACATAGAATCACAAAATAGGATCCCACACTTCGAGGATCGAAAAGACAAAATTCTAGCGAACAAACAGGAAAACTGACGGATACAGATGAAATGGTAAGGGATACCAGGGATGCCGCATCATGGGTTCCTCGCTCTTCACCGACCGCCATGTTGGACATCAAAAGTCAGCGATCGAGGACATCAACGTGCTAATCGAAATTCCCTCTATTTGGAATGGTCTATCTACCGTAATCTTCCCTCGTGGAAGACCCAAGTCATCAGCACTTTAGCCCGCCAGCCGCACATATCCTGGTTCATGATGCGCAGCCTCCCACCATGCAAAGGGAGCCCTGTAAGCCCTCTGGAAAAAAAAGTTTTTTATTGAACAAAGGAAAATCCGGGATGAGCGTCTTAGACAGCGCCGGCGGATAGCATCTTCTTGCGGAGATGATTCTTGTATTGCCCGATGGTGCCGTCCCATCTCCTCACAGTCTTGTTCTCGCAGACCATGATGTCTTTAGCAATTTTGTCGAGCAGTCTAGAAGTATGGTTAGCTAGTAGATTAGAACCATGGCGCGCCAAAAACTCACCTGAAGTCGTGGGAAACGACGACAACGCCGCCGTTGAAAGCATTGATCGCATCCGCCAAACTGTCGATCGTGGGGATGTCCAGGCCGTTGGTAGGTTCGTCGAGCAGCAGCATGTTTGGTTGCTCGATGGCCAACAGGGCGAACACGATTCTGCTCTTCTGGCCTTCACTGAGCGTCCCGATCAGGGCGGTCTGCGATTCGCCCGTCAACCCGTACTTGCCCAGCTGTGATCGCCAGTATTGGTAGTCTTGGCTCTTCGAGCTGTACTTGTCTCGCACGAAGTCGAGAGCGGACTTGGTCAAGTCGAGCTGCTCGGCGCTGTGCTGGCTGTACATGCCCAGCTTGAGATGCGTATGCCGGGAAACATTACCGCCGGTGGGGGAAAGCTGGCCGGTGAAGATGCGAAGGAGCGTTGATTTGCCAACACCGTTAGGTCCGACCAGGGCTGTTCGACTGTCCATGTCCACGCCAAAGTCCAGGTTCTCATAGAGATTATCCTCCTTTTTACCGTTGTACGAGAAGGTCACGTCGTCAAGCGACAAGACGGGCGGGGGGAGCTTCTCGACATCGGCGAAGCGGAAAGTGAACACTCGGTCGCCAAGAACCGGCTGGATGAAACCATCCGCTTCCATCTTGTCCAGAATCTTCTGCCGGGATTTGGCCTGGCGCACCAAGTTGGCGTAGGTACCCGCGGATGCGATGAACTTCTTGATGTGCTTGATTTCATCCTGCTGCTTCTCGTAGGCTTTCCCCTGGTTGATTTCTTGTTCTGTGCGTGTCTTCATGTAGGAGTCGTAATTACCACCGTAGTAAAGGAGCTTCTGTTGACGCATGTCGATCATGTTGGTACACACGCCGTTCAAGAAGTCCATGGAATGTGAGACAAGGATCAAAGTACGATCCCACTTCTTCATGTACTCTTCCAACCACACACACGCTTCCAGATCCAAATGTGCCGTGGGGTCATCGAGCAGTAGAAGGGAGGGCTTGACGAAAAGTGCCTTTCCGAGCGCCACACGCATTCTCCATCCACCAGACATGTCTTTGGTCTTCTTATGGATCGTCTTCTTGTTGAATCCGAGACCAGTAAGAATGAGCGAGGCTCGAGTTTGGAAGGTCGATGGATCCATATCTTCCATACGCTGCATGACAAATATTGCATTAGCTCTATGAACTCAGCAAAGAGTAGACAGGATCTTACCTCGTAGATCTCCGCAAGCATCGGGCTGTCGGGTCCATCATTTTCCAATATCTCTTCCGCGTGGTTCTCCAAACGAGCCAGCTCGTTTTCCGCCTCTCGGACAACCCACTCCAACGCACCCAAATCGGTCTTCGGAGCGCCCTCGTTCAATAAGTAGATATCGACGTGCTCTGGGAATGGAAATTCGCGTTTGAAGATGGCTTTCAAAATCGTAGATTTGCCACAACCGTTCTCGCCCAGCAGTCCGTATCGTCGACCGTAATTGACCTCGATAGTTGCGTCGTTAAAGAGGACTTTTCCGTGGAAAACGAGCGACGCCGAAGTAATCTTGACGTCTTTGCTGGCTTCCAACGATGCAAGAACACCGGTTGTCACGCGGTCGGAAATTCCATCGTCGTCTTCTTGGAGAGCCAGCTTCTTGACCTTCTCGTCGACTTGGTCGACGTCGGCATCCTCAGCATCTACCAGGGGAGAATCGCCGTTGGCTGAGGAAGCCTTGGAGGCATTCTTCGAGGCCGCTTTGGAGGAGACTTTGGAAGCAGCGGTTTTCTTTGGCTCTTTTCCATCCGCGACCCGCTTTGCCAAACGGGCAGCCTTTGAAGCGGACACCATGATGAGGATGGAAATGGATAGATATCCGGTCAATCTAACGAGCAGCCTTGATGAAGACTGGGGTCAAGAAAGATAGGGCGCCTCAAAGACAAAGACGCGGAGGATGTCAGACAGAGGCGTGTTAGAAGTTGGTGGATTGAACAATGAGGCTGTGATGGAGAGACGCCGTCCTTCAACAATGGAGTGGATGGTGGGAAGTGGGATGTGGGAAGTGGTTGTGTGGAGACTTCGAAAATTTCCCGCCGCCCGTCGTCACGATTTTAAGACGCCTCAGGCTGTAAGGCAACTATGACATAAGCGGGGCAAGTGCAGACTGCAGAGCTGAGTGTGGGACAGCGGGAGTGCCACTGTGCGTCTGTGCCACTGTGCCAGCCTGCCAGGAGAGAGGATATGATGAGTCAGCAAGGGTCCTGCGCTGTGGCCTGTGGACTGTGGTTGGTTCATTTAGTCATTTGCTGCCACTGTCACACAGCTGAAAAGGAGCTGCGAGAGTGCCAACGCGGAGTCAGGGTCTTCTCCCTCGACGACCTCGATGGACCAACTTCATTAATATTGGAATGTCCTAAGTCAAGTATGCAACTGACTACTCCACACTACCTTTGGAGGAGCTTGTACATGAAGTGGCATGCAGGTAAAGGAGTGAGGGTGGATTTGACTCTTAGACTAAAGAACTAAACTACGAATTACTGCGAACGACCCCAAGAGTAGAGACTAACGTCTGCTGCTCTCGAGCCCAGCCCATGCTTACGAGCATACATGGGTGGCGGTTGCTTCCAACCACGATCAATGACAACCGTGACACTTGCGGCTGTTCTGGCCTTCCTCGCACTTCTGGCTTGGGCAGTGTCCAAACGAGCCCTTGACTGGCTTCCACTTAGCCTGACCCTTCACCTTCGACGTGGAAAGACGCCCGTTGTCAGCAAAGTCCCGGAGGTGCCCATTATCCGGGTCATCGAGAATGAGGCCCGTGATCGCGCAGCCACGGCCATTGTAGCAAGCATACTTTTCGTCGAGTCGATCTTTGCCCCAGTCAACAGAGTCTCGCTTCACTGGATCGGCTTCCTCGGCGGGTTCCTGGACGGATCGGCGAGAATGGACGTTGGAATCATCGACATCCTTGCGGTGGTGATTCTTGTAGTGATTCTTGTGGTGATCCTTGTGGTGATTCTTGTGGTGATCCTTGTGGTGATTCTTGTGGTGCTTCTGAGGGTAATACCACTCATCATCGGTATCACTATCGGAGCTGCTATCGGAGCTGCTATCGGAGCTGCTGCTGGAGCTGCTGCTGGAGCTGCTATCGGAGCTGCTATCGGAGCTGCTGCTGGAGCTACTGCTCGAGCTGCTGCTAGAGCTGCTATCCGAGCTGATATAGGGGACAATACTATAGTGCGGATGCGGGTGGTACTTCTTGATAGGAACAGGAGAGACGGCGATCTTGGTTCCCCCATTGTGGGAAGAGCTCGATCGGCGATTCCCAGAATAATCGGGATCGTAGACGTATCTCGACGAAGGCTGAAGGCTAGCCTTCACCTTATCATTACCGAGGCGGACCCCGTAGTTGGTCCTCCAATGGTCATGGGGGAGATCCTGGCCATGGTGTTGCCCGTTGTATCCGCCGTTGTTTCCGCCGGGGAGTGGGTTGCTAAAGATTGCGTCAGCCATTTGCTAACTGGACTGGTCAACGAAGCATCATGTTAGAACGCACCTTGAGACAATGCCGATGAGGGCTGCACCACACGCAGCAAGGACTGCGGTCTTCATTTTGGGTATTTGCTTATGTGATGGATGGATTCTGTGGTGTGGATTTGATCCGGGGTTGGGTTAAATAGGCAAACGAAGGCTCTGAGAGATTTTTGGAAGAAGACCTGAAGGAAAGTTCAGCGCCGCAGCCGGTTTAAATAGACCTGAGAGAGACGGAAACGAGGGAAATTCGGAAGGTATTCGCAGGTGGAATCAGGTTACAAAGATTGCATTCCCTGGGTCAGTCCTTTAAACTCGACCGATTTTGTGGTCGGCAGGGTTGGTCGCGACCATACCATTCAATATGTTGACATAGACGGTATATTGAACCACTCGGACTTTGGAACAAACAAATAAGATGACTGAAGTATCTCGAGCCATGTCCTCAGTATATAAATATGCAGAGCCTCGCTTGACTAACTTCGTGGATTTCGGACCCTCCTAACGAGTGTCTCAAAATACCAGGGAATTATTGGAGGATAACGTATCCGCATACCTTTACAATGTTCGGGTCCTATGATGTTGTTTCTTGATAAACTGGTTCTGCACTACCTCTGGCAACTGTTCCATCCATGGTCGGGGGAAATGGCATCACCAGTTACCAGAGCCTAGTATGGTGTGGTATCAGCCGTTGAGTCCTAACGGCCCGACAACCACAAGATGTATGAAACGAAACGCTTGGCTTGGTTCCCTCTCATTGGAATAAAACACGGTACAAACACCCGACACCTCAAGGTGGCGCGAGTATCCTGGTGTAGCCATCCAAGGAAAGGGGACGGTAGCGAAAATGAGGAATGACACAGGAAGAGAAGAAAATGCAAAATTAGAAAGACATAGCATGTCTAAACCTGTTTGGGAAAGGAAACTTGATACAAATACCGTTGGATACTTTGTCTCTCCAGTTCGCCCTTGGAGAGCACTGGTCCTAAAGTTTCGGCGATCGTTGGCTATTCCACTGCGCCTGTGGCTTCTGCCGCACACGATTGAAGCGATCCATCTTGTCCTTAGAATATGGTATACAGCCGCCATGATACCGTGGGATCAATTCCCTGATGGAATCCGTTTCCTAGTTATTCCCCCAGCGTGATAAGGACTCTTTAGGTCGGTCCCTTATGGCATAAGCATATTTTCAGGTGCTGTTGCGAGTGCCTTGGGAGGCCGTAGGCTTTCAACAAATTACGGGCGCCTCGAAAGGAATATGTGGGTCATTTCAGGTGATACGCTGACCACAGGTGTCTCCTCAATGGTGACATCGGATGGGATATCATGGCGATCCTGGGTAGGCTCTCAATTGGCCCGCTATCTCGAGCAGTCCATTTCTTGTAGCCGATCCCCGGTTCATAGAGCGATTGGAAACCCTTAGATAAGATCAGGTAAAGGCATTGAGTCTTCGAGATCCGGAAGAAACGATTTTGAGGGAACAGAAGACTACGACGTCCAGAGCAAGCAAAGCCAGAGTCCGCCATGGCCAATTGATGCTGTGCTCGGCAATGGGGCAATGGCTCTGATAGATTGAAATGCCATCACTGAGGTTCCTTGTTCTTGTCGGATCCAGATCTTGAAGTCGAGTCGACACAAATATGCTGACAGTCCATTCTCGTCCAGCTTCGCTCCAGAATTGCCATGATTATACCGACGTCATGTTTATGGATCCTAATAGCCGGTTATCAGTAGCTTTTTACAAGAGTCTCTGATTAAATGAACCATCTTCATGCTTTGAGTTTGCAATTCATAACCCCCAAAGAGAACAATGGGTAGAGTTGGACTCAATGGAGGACTTCAGCTTCATATCAGAACACCATCACATGATTAGTCATCATCACAACAAAATAGGCTGGCCAGTGGCCACTGAGATTTCGGAACACATCAATATCTAACCAGATGAATAATGTCGAATGGAGGAAAAATATCTTGTGCTCTGTTAACTACTCCGTACAGGGATTGAAAAGAAAAAAAGACGAAAAAAGAAGAAAAAAGGAATCTCCGAAACGGGGAATTGAACCCCGGCCTTCCGCGTTCTACATTACTGAATGTTATGAGAGGCGGAAATCCTAGCCACTAGACCATTTCGGATTCGATATATGAAAAGTAATTTTATCCAATTTATAGCCAGAAACACAAATACCCTCTCGGCTCTGACGCCCACCACATGCCCCAACCAAACCCAGAGGTGCGGAAGTCCGTCTGTCAAAGTGTCCAATCTTCAGTCGTGGAAACATTGCCGAAATTTTGACTGCATGGTAAAATCCACTTGAATGTTCTTGTCTGGACCTGGATCTACCTTTAATTTTATTCCTTGATTATACGCTATTGGGTTCTTCAACAAGATTCCGGCTGATATTATGTCTCCATGAGCCAGTCTAACTCGAGATGTTCTCGTGATTTAGAATATGACGGACAGTGATGCAGGAGGTGAATGTTATTTAGACGTATCAATTGAGATTGGAGACCCCTCCACGATAAGTCGCCGGTTAACAAAACAAATGTCTATCGTTCAAGACACTAAACTCCAAAAAATCCGCTTGTTTCCGCTCAAAAGATCAATGGTATATGGTCATTCCAGTCATTCAGTTGATCAACCGACTCCGTAAATCATTCAACTCCCGTTTCCACCCACCAGTAACACTGTGATTCTCCTTTGCGTCGCCCCTCCTCCTCTCTCGTTCGCGTTCCTTCTCGTGCTTCTTGTCTGTCTCGCGCTGCCCCTTCTTCGCCTTGTCCGATTTCCTCTTCTCTTTCTCCTCCCGCTTCATGTCGTCTTTGCTTTTCTCCTTTTTGCTTGTGTTGCCACGCGATTTAACCGACTTGCTGGTTCTCTTGGTCTTTGATGTCTTCACGCTGCGGAGATCCTCCTCGGCGATAACCCCCTCTCGTAACAACACCCTGCTGGCCCCGGGAGTGACGAACTCCCCTTCAACGCTGGTCCCGACCTGGCTTCCGATATACTCCGTCCCAGTTCCCGCACTCATCGGAACCCCCCTCCGCCATCTTTCAATCCGTCCAAAATCACCGTTCAACTCCAACAGCTCCTGCGCTTCTTCTTCCTCCCTGCTCCGCCCCTCCAATGTAACCTCGTCCAGCCGTTTCTTCTGCATCCGCTTCACGATCTTGTACCCTCCTAACATCACCACAGTCACACCGACCCCGACCCCAACCGCAATCGCAAACTGTGGACTCGCCAACAAGGCCATCGCCGCCGGGAAACTCCCCTTTAGCGTCGCCAATCCGGCCGGCGCCATCTTACTAACGATTTGACTAACCTCCGCAAGCGTCAGCGCAACAGCGGCGAGTGCGTCCGGGTTCTTTTGTAGGCTTGCGATAGTGGCGGTGACACCGTGCTGCAGCGCATTCGCTTCGTCGAGCATGCGTGTTAGCGCGGATAGTTTGATTTCGATCTCCGGGTCGACGGCCACGGGAGAGGTCGGTGTGGAGGGTACCAGGGAGTGGTGGCTGAAACTCCCGTATGCCAGGTCCATATCGATGGAGTCGGTGGTGGACGCCGAGCGAGCGGAGGCGGGGCGCGGGCGATGCACGAGGGCTAGAGAGGTGCCGTCGCTGTGTCTTCGCGGGTATGGATCCTCTCCAGCCACAGGAAGATCTTGTGGGAGAGTGCGGCTGCGGGGTAGGTCGGGTTTGTGACGGGAGGGTTGAGTTGGGCGAGATGTGTGGGCGCGGCGGACAGACGTGGTGCGGTCTGGGACCGGCTTGCGGCGGACAGTGCCGTGTGTGCGACGTGATCCAGAAGAGGCCCGCGACCGGTTGTCGGCATCACGGATGTGGTGGTGATGGTCATGATGGGGTCGTGGGGAAGAGGAGTTCTGAGCAACTTTTTCGGTATGTTCCGCATCTCGATGAGACTTTATTTCGGCTTTCTTCTCGCGGTACGCAGCTTGTGCTTCCTTGAAAACGCCTACAAGGTGCTTGCCCTGCGGGACGATTAGTACTCCGGTTCTCCAGTAGCAGGACAAATAGGGGGTATATACCGTGCTCACAATCTTCCCAGATTTGTTGACTACCGTGACAGTCTCTCCTAGACGCATTTTGTCGGTGTTATAACATAGAACTCGATCAACGAGTCGATTTGGTGTGTAGAAAGGCGAGTATGGTGTAGAATCGTTGAATCGACAGGCGGGGGGCTGCTCTTAGCGGGCTCGTCACCGCTCTTCTTTATGATCCAAATTTAGCTCAGGCGAGCATAGGAACAATGGACTGTCGAGTTAACCAAGTGCTTTGAAAGTATAGCGACAAGAATAGTCCTTTGTAAATTTCTCCCAGCTTAGGTCAATTGCTTTTCGGTCGCAAAAGGAGGTTCGGTCAGATGGTTTCGTTGGGTTCTTTGGTACGAGTCAACACGAAGGGGAGTCAGGCATCGTACAGTAGATTTTTATGGGTACGATGGTGTAACCTCGTTATGGTCATAGTCTTTCACAGAGCCAAAAATGGGAGAATACTGAAGAGAACAGGAGATATTAAACATCGAGAGCTCACTTTGGAGTGGAGTCTTCAAAGTTAAGGTCGGGAACTTGGGCAGTGGCATGGATGATAGTCGGCGCCTCCACCCGCCATGGGGGCATCTGACACTATCCGATCAATCGTGGCATTGGCGCATTTGTCGCCCATATGGCGGGGGGAGGCAAAAAAGTTGTTTGGCTCGTCGTGGGGTTGATTGGCGGCCGAGGAGCTTGTCACAGCCCAAATTGCTGGATGGCGTCCATTCGTCCTGGGTCAATACTCTCCGATTTGCTGTGTTCGAGGGTCGTGAGACGGGCGCCAGAGTGGACGCGTGTAATACGGCGCTTTAAGGAGCTGGAGAGATTGACCGGAGACTTCGTTTCGCAGTGCCCCTATCGTGATGAGATGTCAGATTTCTCTCTCGCAGTCCGGCTCGGATTTGAAATTGACCTGATGTGGTGGTCGGGTGTTGACGTGTTGTCGCCTTATCGGGCAGCAGAGCTCTGGTGAGGAAAAAGGCTCAGCCACATGTGGCGTCAGCTCTTATCCATCCAGCCCCTGTAATAACTGGATCTGATGCTTCTGGTATCACGACTGGCTGTGACTGGATACAAAGATTGGATGTTCAAGGCTTGCAGTCACGACAGTTGTCCATGTCCAGCTGTTTCTGCTGTGCATGTTCTCATTGCATACCTTATTGTGTAATAGTTCTAGTTAGTTCCAGTTACCTCCGCCGCGTCCGTCTTCACAAGGACACATGCAGTACCGCTCTCCTACGAGATACGGAGAGCCGGCTGGCATCACAGACTTTCGGTTGAGACTCTCTCCGGTCTGAAGTGCACCAGCAGTTAGGATTCTCACCTCTCAACATCACTACGTTTTCTCCATTCTTTACGGGAGGCGAAAGCAAAATCTTCGCATGGCGTTCGTCACAGCTGCTTGCCTGTCAGTGGCTGTAGATTTCATACCAGTTGAACTGTAATTACGCATCCAGGTACATATTGCACATTCGCCAAGAGAGCTGTTAATATTATAATATATTTCCTTAGCCATGGGAATTATCATGCTAGTCTTCATCACGCTCCACTTCTCAGTGCTCCAGATGTCTGCCTGGATCAAATAGTGTCACCGATGAACATATCTATAGGAGCAGAGATTCCTTTCACTGACATTGGCGCAAGAGTGTTCAATAGGATGGAACAATAGCAATACAACTCGCAGCACATCGACCTGAATACTCGTATCCTGGAATTCTCAAAATACACCGCCGGTGTTTGCTCGTGATAGTATGCATTCACGTGTTCTAAATCGATCGGTTGCCTTTTACTACTCTCCTAGCGATGCTAGCCTTGAATTGGGCCAAGAACCGAGTCCAGAAACCTCTTGTTACTGCTAAGTACTCCGAAGGCTGGGTTAATGGCCTGGGTTCGATGTTGAGGTTCAGCATTCGCTAGATAAGCTTTTATGTTCTTCATTGATTTTCGGCAGGCGAGGTTTCATGCCCATATGAAGGGACAAATGCCGCTCCGGCATCGGATGTGTTGGGGCAGGTGCTGTCTCAAAACATTCCATCTTCATGTGCCCACTATTGGTACCCAGGTCTGTAGCTGTATGATATCGTTTCGGGATACGGAATCATTTAAACGACTCCCGATTGTATTTGGAGAAATCCAAGCGGTTCGTGAAGTCGAGTAGTATCCGCACAGCGGAGATCCAATCGTGTTCATTCCGTCAAGCACATTCCATCCAGGCAGCATCCGGCTGGTAAGTAGGGGTGGCTGAAGCTGGTGGGATCGGTGTGAATAGCACCCTGAGGTGTTGCATGCACACATACATTCCCCTTCAAGGTGACATCAACCGGGGGTGGCTAGTGGATCTGGGACTAAAGCGAACGAGTTCCAGACCTCATCATCTAGACAACCGCTGATATCTTACTCAAAGGATATGGAATATCAAGCATCTTCTAATGCTTCTGCTATGAGGTTCCTACCATGAGAGAGCAGCGCAATTGATACGGTCCAGTATCGTGACCTGTGGTTGTTGTCGTGGCCATAAATCGTTCCTTCCTGCATTCTGCTGTCACTAATTCACACTATCTTCAACGTTGGCTCTGCAATCCAACTTTCCCAATAACTCAGGCGTTTGCGATCATCTCTCGTGGAATATTGAGTGTGTTGATGTCATAATGGTAGAAGGACAGACGCTGAGAGACCTTGGAGAGCGTTCGTTCGCGGGGAGTACTTTGAAGAAAGCCGAAGAAAAGCGGCCCTTACTTATACCGAAGTTTACAGGAGTACAAGTAACGGATCTCAGCCTTCTCAGGCCTTGCCTCGAACCAGCCATGCGGTAATGGTGTGGTCCTGGTATTGAATAAAATCGGTTCGATGGACAAAAAATCTTCTGATGGATCTCTGGATATCCAGATGGAATTGGAGTTTGGTAAAAACGCTGGGTGAGTCCAAGATACCAATCCAGGCGTATATCACCTGGTGGTCTGAGTCCTGATTGATATTCGGTAGCCCTAGAGTTGCATTGGAGGCTTTGAGCCTTACCTTGGTGGGGATGCCGCATGTTAGGACGTACCCCCCTGGCCCCTGAGGTGCTCAGACCCCCTGCCCGATTGGCTTGGATGGGCTATGGCGATGAACAATTGAAGGCCCCCTGAGTCATGAATGCGGACAGCAGACGATCTCTACAAGCATCCCGCGTCGCAGTGCGCTTTGCTTGCGCGTCTTTCAGTCCAAGAGAAGATTCTGGAAGGAGCTGGGCTGAGTGCAATAATGGAGTGCAACCAACGACATCCAGCTCTTAACGCCTTTCAAGTTTCAACTGTACCAAGAATCCTCGCGGTTACCGTACGACCGCATAAAAGGATCTTACATGCATCCCAACAATCCGAAACACCGGCATGCTAGGAGGATATCGCGCAAGGTCACATCGTGCTCGTGTTGCAAACGCCCTATCAACGGCCTTTCCCCCGGCCCTATGCAAATGAGTTTCAAATCAGACCGCCGCACAATCGCTTCCAGGGCAAGAGAGCAACTCCGAATCATTCGGAGAAAACTGTCAATTGTCAAGTCGACATCGGCAAGGTATCACCTCCAATTTGGTGGTGCGGACAACCGCGTAACCTCTGAGACGTACCTCCCGTTTGTCCTTATGTCCCACTCACAAAAGTATCTAGTAGAGTAGTAGACAGTACGGTACTGGGGTTCGTGTCGCAAAAGAAATCTTATCATTCACGGAATATGCTGGATGCGAATTATGTGCAGCGATGGCATGGGGAAATGTTTTTATCCCATGTCGAGTTTGTTGATTTGCGCCGGTCGATGAGAGTCTAGAACTTGTCGGCAACCCCGTCCGTGAAACGAGGCGTCCGGCCGCCCGCTTTTCTATCTTGACATCCTCAACACCAGTCCCTCTGTCCACCACTCCGTTTATTTGCTCATTTGCTCATTTGCTCATTTGCTGGCGTTAATAGGGCTTCTTTCATGGTGTGTTGCTGGTCTTCCTTCTGTTGTCCTGCATTATTCTTGATTTTATCGTTGGGAATACCGAAGGGAAGAAGCTGCCGTCGTCCTCGTCCAAAAAGCATGCACACTATTCTGTTTCCTGCAGTACCTCCACACACCAAGGAATTGTATACACCCTTCTTTTCACGCGCTGCTGCAAGGTCCAAGTCCCTATTATTATCACTCAAATATCTCCAAAGACGAACAGTATAAGCCACCGGCTAGCACCCCGCGTATCCGCTCGCTCCTGTCGTGTCATCTTAGCTCCTGTGTCCTGGGAGATCTGTCTGCCTTGGATTGGGTGCCGTTGTACAGCGAACAGCATCTATATCTCACGCTCGTCGGATTTTTTATCTACTGTGCTGTTCCATACTCCGGCTTGCCACTCGGAACAAACGCGTTGTTGCGGCGACACGCCGGTGACCCCATCCCCATGCTCTATCCCTCTGGCAATTCTACCGGCGTGGACTGGATTTCATCGCTTCGACCAGTCAGGCCGATTCCGTCCCGGACTCAGGCTCCATTCTCGGCATTCCGGTTCGTGCTTCGCGACGATGAGTCGTACGCTTGGGGCTGATGCTGTTGATTTAAATGCCTTTGCTTACGATCAGGATGATCGCTCGAGCAAAGAAGAATCTCTATTTGGGGTCGACCACCTAAGTGTACTGGACTTTCCTTCGCCTGCGAACGAAGTGCTTAGCTTCGCCACACCCGAAGATGCGGCCACACCAAACCTTACGCATCCCTATCAACCTCTCCAAAACCCGCTCCCAGAGCCCTCGATACCCACTCCGGATCTTCATGGAGTGCTACACTCGACCCTTTCTACACCTGATGATGAGAAGGAAAGGCAAGATGTCGATCTGGACCCTCTATTAGTAGGAGTACCCTCGATACCGTCGCAAGATGCTTCAGACAATCTGAAGAACCTGTTAAGACCCTGCCACAGACCACAGCCTCCTTCCTTTGAAATTTTGGGCATTGCAGCTCCACAACTTGATTCCCTATCATTAAGAAGCCTAGGGAAGAATGTTCCGACCCTAAGCTCCAGTTCTTTGTCCAATCTTGCAGGCCCTATACACGAAGGTGATGATAGAGCGGTCGGACCCTGCACCTTTAGCAACGACGACAACACGACTTTGGTGCAGAGTGAACTTCCATTCATTGATCAGTCAGTCGAGACTCACGAGCGCGAAAGAACTCTCCCCCTTCTTCATCCTGATTCTCACTCCCCATCACGCGACAACGTCCAGTTACTTTCACAGTCTACTCCACTGAAAGAGAGCATAGCGAATGACCATGTTCCACAAAGCGGAGTTGTACCAGAAACTTTTATTGACTCACCGGAAACCTCTAGAGGTGTTTCTCCAGCTCGACAGATATCTCCTTCAACAATGGCGATCCGATCCACTCCCGCAGAGCCACGGTCTGAACCACCAGTCGAAGCGCCACAGATCGAAACGGATAATGTCCCAGCATATCTTGAGGAACCACTCCAGCTCATCCGTAAGTCGAATCCACAGTATCGGTCTACTCTGGTGTGTATACTGCGGTGTCATAAGTCCAAGACGCTAATAGATGTATTTGTGGTAGTTCAATGTCTCAGAAAGCGGTCTGAATCTCCCCTCTCGTCCGTTCAGGTACTCTCGCACGCGCTGCCTTCTCCAGACAAAACAGGTCATTCTTTCCCCGCCGTGTTGAATGCGCTCGTTTCAGTGCTACATGGCAAGGAGATCCGATGGATCAACGTGTTTCATGCCGTTCACGGTCAATTTCGCATCGCTGACCTGCCACCGGGGCCACCTGCGACCCCTGGGCCCGCTATTGGTGGAGATGACTATTTCGCCACACGGGTGTTCAATTCCGCCGTTACGGTGACGGACTTGCAAGCCAACACCACCATTGCTCCAGGTCGGGTGTCAGCTAGACGCTCTGCATCCGGGAATTCAAATCAGCCGGCGGCCTTAACAGCTCAAGCAAGAGGGCCGCAGCCGATCGTACAACCGGGTACGGTCAACGTCGCCCTGATCGAACGATATATCCCACCATCGAGTCGGGCCGAATACCAAGACATGTTTGACCCTGACGGACGATCGATTATCTGCGACCGCCTAGCAGAGTTGTCAAACGATAGTGGGGTCCTCGTCCTTATATATCCGACTAGAGATGGTGCCACCACCTTCATGAATCGATATCTGAAACCTCTTTTAGACCCACTTTTACGATCCTTGACCGTTCTGAATAGCTTCACCGCGGACCTCGCTGAATCCATCGGGGACATGGACTGCGGCGAACGCATGCTTTGCTACCAAGACTCTCGCTTCTGGATGTCCGGGATGTGCGCCGCATTGAGCAAAGAAGGCGACTCGACGTACGAGATGGCATACACCGGGTTCACCGAAGTGTGCCCGGATCGATCGCTGTGGGCGGGTCGATGGTGGGCGGGCCAGGAGAAACCGCGCATCCGTGAGATGGTGCAGAAATATTTCCGCGAGCATCATCTTCGGTCGGAGAGCAGCGGCACCGTGGCGTTGTCCTCGTCGGTCGCGGCGACGTCCTCGCGGACGCCGAACACGCGAACGTCGGCGGAGATCGTGGAGAAGATCATTAACGGGGTGGTGAATAACCCGTACGGGGATGAAAAGGGAGAACCGTTGGATAGCATCGAGGTGGGAATATTCGTCATCATAAAGTCTCGGAAATGACGCGGTGGACCATGGGTGTCAATTGCTTCGACAGTTCAAGGAGTTCAGACATTGTGTTTTATGGGGCATACATACACCGCAGGATACCCACTACCGTCTAAAAGTAGACGGATGGAGTGAGCAGATGAATACTACAATTTCATCATATTGCAGGGAGTTTGACCATCGGTCAGGGACCTGTGGTCACCAAGGTAGCAGCAAACAAGGACATCGTATCCTTTGACAAAGAGCTTGATTGAAAGACTGCCCAACACTCCGCCTTGGCATACCCACCTAACACAGGAAGAAAGAGATGGATTGGTATTCACATCGAGAAGTTCGGGGACCAAACAACAAACCTGCCCGTTTCCGCCCCCAAGGACGGACGACAAGTTGCCTCCTCGGCCTTCACGGTCTTCACAACCTTCACAGATATTGTTATTCCATAATATGATTGGAAAGACCAATGTCTATGAAATTCTCCTTTCGAAGGTGTGTTGCATAACATAATCAACCAGGGTGCATTTCAAAGCCTCATGGAACTTCGGTGTTCGCGTTCTATTTTGGCCGAGATGGTCCTCCCCCTGGCTAGCGGATCGGTGGCGTCCCCGTCTAACCTCGTTTGTCGACCCCTCATCCAACATGTTATGGTTCAGGACGAATATTAATCGAGGAAAATCACAGCCGCCCTCAACTTGCGAAGATTTTCAGCCACATTCGCTTAGAGTGGACCAGTTGAAGTTGGATTACAGTTGAGCCGTCTGACAAATCGATATGCACTGGAGATATGTGACTGGTGCTCTTGACCATCCCTGGCTCGTGGACCCCTCGATCGACAATGAATCGAGAGTATATATATAAGGTAAGGAATTAGAACATTTAGTCCACAGTTCTCAGTTCAGTCGTCAAGACCATAAGTCAAACCCCCAAATTAAGTTCATAACCTAACAAAAAATGACAAACGCTATCCTCATCACCGGAGCTACCGGCCAACAAGGCGGCGCCGTCATCGACGCCCTCCTTGCAACCAAAGCCGACTTCGAGATACTCGCCGTCACCAGAGACACCGCCTCCCCCTCCGCGACGAAACTCGCCCAAAAATCTCCGTCAATCAAACTCGTCCAGGGGAATCTCGACGACGTGGCCGCCGTATTCCAGAGCGCGAAGAAGGCGACATCGCGGCCGATCTGGGGAGTGTTCAGCGTTCAGGTATGAGATCTCCGGCGTCGGGGCGAGATCCTCGCAGTATTATTCAGAACACGACTGATGTCCCACCAGCTCGCCATCGGCGTCAAATCCGGCACCGAAGAACGCCAAGGCAAAGCCCTCATCGACCACGCCATCCAATCCGGCGTGCAGTACTTCGTCTATGCCTCCGTCGACCGTGGCGGCGCCACCTCCCTCACCAAACCCGCCTCCCTCACCAACCCTACCAACGTCCCGCACTTCATCGCCAAGCACCGCGTCGAGGAGCACCTCTTCGCCGCTACCAAAGACGGCGCGAGCGGGATGGCCTGGACGATCCTTCGCCCGACAGCGTACATGGAGAATTTCCTCCCGACATTCTTCGGGCGCGTGTTCGTGACCGCGTGGGCGCAGGAGGTGAGGGATCGGCCGCTGCAGATGGTCGGGTTGAAGGATATCGGGGTGTTCGCGGCGAAGGCGTTCGTGGCGCCGGAGCAGTGGGCGGGGAAGGCGGTGTCGTTGGCGGGGGATGAGGTGACGTTGAAGCAGGTGGAGGAGGTGTTTAAGACGAAGACGGGGAAGGAGCTGCCGAGGACGTATGGGTTTGTTAGTTGGTTTATTATGTGGATGGCGAAGGATTTTAGGCTGATGATGAGGTGGTTTTATGATCATGGGTTTAAGGCGGATATCGCGGCGCTGAGAAAGGAGCATCCGGAGCTGAAGGATTTCAGGACGTGGCTGGAGAAAGACAGTCAATTCGAAATGCGGTAGCGTCATTAGGGTGTGTATACCTACTATCTTCATCTGTACGATTAGAGAGAATTTTCTAGCATGAGCCTCCAGCGCGCTTAATTCCTTGTGCTCTATTTTATCGATGCAATGGCTTCTTCCACGGCCCCTTCTTTCCTGGCCTCTTCTTTCACGGCCCCATCCACGATGGGCTTCTCGTCCAAGTGCCCATCACTTAGAAGAGGAGGGTTCAAACTCAAAGCACCCTTTGGAACGAAAGTGGAACAGAGTACAAGCACACAAGCCACCGTAAAGTGGACTCCACCGACCATACGGACCGCCTGGTGAATGTCGCCATTGTTCTTATTGCTAACCGAATCGATGTACTTTCCAAGCAGCGGCGAGCAGATCGCGTATGTGACTGTTCGACCATTAGCAACCCGTCAACCCCGCGTTGCGCTTGACGAACCGATGTAGAAGCTGTATAGGAAGGCCATGACAGCACCCAAGGCGGATACGTTGGTTGTGCGCGATTCCACACGAGCGAGCGAAGATTGGATATATGCCGCAAGGGAGACATCACCTGCGGCCCAGCCGAATGAGATAGGGATGAAGGTTGCTGCCATGATCCAAGCCTGGTTCATCTCGCCGCTCGGAGGATACCTGTGCCGGTTAGCACCCAAGTTGGGGTTGGTTTGTGATGGTAGACGAGACTCACCAGTAACCTAAATACCAGACAATCAGAAGCAGGAGGGAATCCAGACGCAGGAATGGCATCGGGGTTGGGATGGAACCGGCGAAGAGAATCACCGACACAGCCCCCAACAGCTCTCCGAAGTTGCTACCGCCCACGGCGATCTGACTCCACGCCGAGTTCCCCAGGTAGCGACGCGCAATGGCGGGCGCGAGGCCGTTTTCGAGGTATCGGTGCATATACAACGCCACGGCGTATCCCGGAACCAACCAAACGAACTTGCGTGATGTGAAGAGAATCTTCCCCCCGGTCCAGACAGACTCGATGAAGAGCCAGAAGCCAACCAGCACGGCTTTGAGGAACGGTGGCTGATCCCCCAGCGCGCCTTCGATCTGGGCGGCCCGCTTTTCTTCCCGGATGAAGAACCACGCCACCGCGGCAAACGCGAAGCAGATGGGCGTGATCAAGAAGGAGTAGTTGTTGCCGAACCGCGGGATGAGCCCCAACGCGGTGCAGAAAGCCCCCGACGTTCCGGCAACCTCGTAGAGAATGTGGACAAACGCATCCATGAGGCGCAGTTTGCGGACGTCGCCGCCGACGATGTCGCGGGGGATGACGCGACGGATCAACTCCACCATACCGTAGGCGACCCCGGCGAAGGTATAGATTGGGATGATCCCATCATTGGCGTAGTCGCCATAGTAGCTGAAGTCGTTTTTGGGGTGCTTCTTCCGATACGCCGGTGGGGCAAAGGAACCACCCGTGGCGGCATCAACGATCAACAGAACTGCAGTGAAGAGACCGAAGATCATGACGGCGGAAAGGAGGACATTCTTGGTGCGGAAATGCTTGACCAGCGGCGCGATCAGGATGGATCCAACGCACTGGAATGCTTGATTCAGGCCGGTCAGGAGGCCAACTCGGGCGAAGGTCCTGGAGGGAGTCTTGTTGAGAAAGGCCTCGTAGTCGTAGCGGTTGGTGGCAAGGGCGACGATGGATCCGTTGAAAGCCTCGAGACCGAACTGTGAGAGGTCAGTTAAATTGGTTGCGAAAGTGATAATGGTGGGGTTGAGATAGCGTGTGCATAGCATTGAATAAGGGATTTCAAAGAGTTGAAGGGTTTTAGTAACCGTGTACCTCTAAAGCTATACAACAGAGTCACATGAAGCTAGGATCAAATAGCCGACGGCACCTCAGGGGGCTATTCGCATATTGATAGCAAAGGGACCGATGGAGGCCAAGGAGGGGTTTGTTACCTTGTACAGCATGATGCCGACCACGTAGATGATAATGTTCCGCTTCTCAAGAGGGGAGAAAGACCTGTAGGTCTCGAGGATGACACCGAAGCATCCAGGCCCCTTCTGGTGATTGTCGGTTGACGAGGCATGGACTGGCTCCTCTCCCGAGTGAACCTTCTTTTCGTCCTTTGCGTTATCCAGGGTGAAGTGAGGCAATGGACGGGTGAGAGTTTACGATGGATGACTGAGTCTAGTAGAGTGATCAAGACGAATAGCCCATGATGAGCATCAGAAAGTCGGATAGGAGGAGTGAAGACCTAGGAACCACGGAGCTAGGAGACGAGAAGTAGGAAATAAGAATTCATGATTGATATTCACTGCTTTTCCCTTGGGGGATATTTAAGCTTGCCCGAAGCCTTACTGAGAGATTAATATAGTGAGAGATAGAGCGAGGGGTAGTCCGACTGAACGCTTACCGATAACACACAGCGGAGGAAAGGACGTCCTATAGCTAGCTGGAGTCAATCGCATAGTCTATCACGGTGGTATGTTGGATGGCATTTTTAGGACCGACCGTATCATATCCATACAATGGTATAGATGGTGATAAACCAGTGATATTGCCGGAATGAAGAACATGATCTTATCTTCGAACCGGCGTTCGTGAAGGTTGGGGGTTCACCATTCACATGAGGGAATAATATTCGGGATATCGTGAGGAGATCGCGTCTCTGCTGGATGAAAAAGTGAAAAGGCGTCGGGATCGATGCCAAGTGGTTTCTCGGTGAAGGGTCCAGCCAATCACAATTGTAGGAGGGTGACCCCTGTTGATCCTGACTTCTTTAGATGCTCTTTAGTCTTTCCCCCAGGCTCCCAACAGTAATCAGCACAGCCTTCAAACTGAAACGGGCAACCACAACAGACCGAGTAAAGGGATAATACATATCAAGATTCTCAACACCCACGTGCAACAGTGGCTTCCTCTTACTTGCTGCTGCCGGTGGAAATGCGCGATATTAAAACGCTTGTCTTGACAGTCTGGACTATCCTGGCTGCGAACCCGAAGATTGAAGTTCCTCACCATGAAAGAAATCCCGCAACTAGGATGGAATGAAGCTCAGATGGAGGTCCAAATCCGCCTTGGATATCCTGATCCGGTCCCAATTCCAACGGTTGCGGCGCTTGTCGTGGGGTTGCAGAATGCAGACCGATGGTCATGATAATGGATGCATAGGCAAGCAGAGTGTGATTCTCTTGGGCTTATTCTCTTCTGATGATGGAATGTTTATGTTGTGGCAAATCTCCTGCAATTCAGCATCACCAAGGCACGGAATTGTCCAATAGAATACGAGGACACCCCTAGACTCACCACCCCAAGTCCCCAACCCATTGGTTCTGCCGATGCAAAGTCACATGCATCCAGTATCCACCCATAGGGTGCGGCAGGTGCCAACAAATCCGGAAAATGAAACATTTCTCACCAAGTTTCACTCTCGCTCTCGTACTCTCGGCTTGGGCCTTGTGCTGCCCATGCCAGCCTAATGAAGTGTCAGTGGTGACTGGTGAGTGGTCGCGCATGAAATGAAATGACGATGCTGCGTTGCAGACCTCGAGACCTCGTGATTATGATGTGACGTGGTTTTTGGGCGCTTTCGTGAACAATGCACTTACTCGCACCCGTCACCGCTTACATGTAAGAATCGCTGACTGCGGGTGGCTTTACCAGTAGCTTCACTAGGTAGCTCAGCTTCATTGACGTGGCTGTGTTTGCTTTCTTTCGTGGATTACTGAAGGCTCCCATCAATTCTCTCAATTTCGTTTGTCGCGCGTTTGCACAGCCGCGCAATCAATTCATACGGAAGCTTTGAGGCCCCAATCCGCGCCTTGGGCTGATTCACTCCGCCCATCTGTGAAGTGTGAAGTCCATTCATTAAAGACCGCCTGCATGATTTGAACCTGCCTTCCAGAATTCCAATTGCAATCACTTCGTCAACATGGCAACTCCAAAAGACCTTGAAGCAGGCAATGGGTCAGATCCTGGGGTGACGGAGAAGCAAGGCACCTTCCAGAACTTAGTAAGTCGGGCTTCATGAAACCATCAAACAAGAATCCAGAACATGCTAGATTTGCTGCCTTCATCATGTTCAGAAGGTTAAATCTGGCCTCGGAGCGACTGGTACGGTTCTTATACTAATCCGGAGGATCACTAGGAACCCGTATCCGCTATTCACGGGAAGGCCCCAGAATTGACCATCAAAGGCGTCACCGAAGACTCTGAAGCCCTCTCCCCCGATCCCGGCTCCGAACACCTCTTCGAGGTAGAAAACAACCCATTCGCTTTCACTCCGGGACAGCTGGGGAAGTTGCTGAACCCGAAGAGCTTGGGCGCCTTCTATGCACTTGGAGGACTTGGGGGCTTCGAACGAGGTCTGCGAACGAATCGCACCTCCGGTCTCAGTATCGACGAAACGGTACTCGAAGGCGGAGTATCTTTCTACGATGCGACCGGCACGGCTTCAAACGGTGCTGCCACGAAGACACCCACCACACCTACCACATCCACCACGTCGGAGAGTGATGCGTTCGTCGATCGAAAGAGGGTGTTCAATGACAATCGATTGCCGGCGAAGAAGGCGAAATCGATCTGGGAGCTGGCATGGATCGCATATAACGACAAGGTGTTGATCCTCCTGACAGTCGCGGCGATCATCTCCTTGGCTCTCGGGCTCTACCAGACGTTCGGTCAGGAACATGAGCCAGGCGAAGCGAAGGTCGAGTGGGTCGAGGGGGTTGCGATTATTGTTGCGATATTGATCGTGGTCGTCGTCGGAACTCTAAACGACTATCAGAAGGAGCGCCAGTTCATCAAGCTGAACCGGAAGAAAGATGATCGGAAAGCCAAATGCATCCGATCTGGACGGACCATGGAGATCTCGGTGTATGATATCCTCGTGGGAGATGTCATGCTGATCGAACCGGGCGAAGTCATCCCAGTCGATGGAATCATCATCAGCTCGAACAACGTTAAATGCGACGAATCCTCGGCGACCGGCGAATCGGATCTGCTGAAGAAGCAGGCGGCGGATCGTGTCATGGATGTCTTGAGAGGAGATGGTGACGCCGACCTACATAAACTGGACCCCTTCATTCTCTCTGGCAGCAAGATCGCTGAAGGCACCGGCCATTACCTTGCCACTGCAGTCGGAGTCAATTCGACATATGGCCGTACCATGATGTCGCTTCAGGAAGATGTCGAAGCTACTCCCCTTCAACGGAAACTGAACGTCTTGGCAGATAACATTGCGAAGCTTGGAGGTCTTGCGGCCCTCTTATTGTTCATCGTTCTATTCATCAAATTCCTCGTGCAGCTGAAGGGATCCGGAGCGACCCCCGCGCAGAAGGGTCAGAATTTCCTGCAGATCTTCATCGTAGCCGTGACGGTGGTAGTCGTGGCCGTTCCGGAAGGGTTGCCGCTGGCAGTAACCCTGGCTCTCGCGTTCGCGACGACGAGAATGCTGAAAGACAACAACTTGGTCCGAGTGTTGCGAGCGTGCGAAACGATGGGCAACGCGACCACCGTCTGCACGGATAAGACAGGTACCCTCACTGAGAACAAGATGACGATGGTTGCCGCCACTGTTGGACAGAGCACACAGCTCGGAGTGACGACCGGTACGGCGACGTCCACGGCATTGGATGGCGAGACCGAACGATCCGTCTCTGCAGAGGACGAGAAAGCAAGCGAGGTGTCACCGACTGATTTCGTCACCAATTTATCCGAGCCGACCAAGGACCTCATCCTCCAATCCATCGCCATCAACTCGACCGCATTCGAATCCGAAGACGGCTCGGAATTCATCGGTTCCAAGACCGAGACGGCCCTTCTGACCTTCGCTCGCGATCGGATGGGTATGGGCCCGGTCCATATCGAACGCGACAACGCCACCATTGCCCAGGTCATCCCGTTCGATTCCGGCAACAAGTACATGGCCGCCGTCGTCAAGCTCTCCAGTGGCCAGTTTCGCGTCTACGTAAAGGGCGCCTCGGAGATCCTACTCCAGAAGTGCACTCGCATCCTCGCCAATCCGGGAGCGGACATTTCCACCATGGAATTGACCGGCGCCGTCGCCGAGGGGCTGGACTACGTGATCTCCGAATATGCATCGCATTCGCTTCGCACCATCGCGCTTCTGTTCAAGGATTTCGAGCAATGGCCGCCGGCAGGTGCCGCCGCGGCCGATGATCCCACGCAAGCGGACTTTACCCAGGTCTTCGAAGAAATGACCTTCGTCGGCGTCGTCGGTATCAAGGATCCCCTCCGTCCCGCCGTCAAGCAGGCCGTCAAAGATGCGCAACATGCCGGCGTCGTCATCCGCATGGTCACCGGAGACAACAGCCGCACCGCCGAAGCCATCGCGAAAGAATGCGGCATCTACACCCCAGAGACTGGCGGCGTGGTCATGGAAGGCCCCGTCTTCCGCAAGCTCGACGAAGCCGCGCGGATCAAGCTCGTCCCCGACCTGCAAGTGCTCGCGCGTTCCAGCCCCGAAGACAAGCGCATCCTCGTGCAGACGCTGAAGGAGCTGGACGAGACGGTCGCGGTGACGGGCGACGGGACGAATGACGCGCCCGCGCTCAAGATGTCGGACGTCGGGTTCGCGATGGGCATCGCCGGGACGGAGGTGGCGAAGGAGGCGTCGTCGATTATCCTGATGGACGACAATTTCGCGTCGATTATCAAGGCGTTGATGTGGGGTCGGGCGGTCAATGATGCCGTGCGGCGCTTTTTGCAGGTGAGTCGTTGACGTGCCGTTTGACGTCCGGGAACTAATGTCGGAACAGTTCCAACTCACGGTCAATATCACGGCCGTGTCTCTTACGTTTGTCTCAGCGGTTGCCAGTAAGGAGGAAGAATCCGTGCTCTCCGCCGTTCAACTTCTTTGGGTGAATCTGATCATGGATACCTTGGCCGCCCTGGCGCTCGCGACCGACCCGCCCAGCCGCAAGATTCTGAATCGGAAACCGGACAGGAAGTCGGCTCCTCTGATCACCCTGAACATGTGGAAGATGATCGTGGGCCAAGCCATCTTTCAGCTCACCGCCACTCTCATCTTGCATTTCGCCGGTAGGGGAATCTTGGGCTACGATGCGGACAACGAGTACGAAATGAAGCAGCTGAAAACTCTCGTGTTCAACACCTTCGTATGGATGCAGATCTTCAACGAAATCAAGTAAGTTCCCTGCCGCCCACACCCCCTCACAACTAACCCCACCCCCCAGCAACCGCCGCCTCGACAACCACTTCAACATCTTCGAAAACCTCCACAAAAACCCCTGGTTCATCGCCATCACCATCGTCATGATCGCCGGGCAGATCCTCATCATCTTCGTCGGCGGCGAGGCCTTCAAGATCGAGCGCATCACCGCCGCCCAGTGGGGTATCTCCATCGTCATCGGCTTCGTCTCCATCCCCGTCGGCGCCATCATCCGCTGCGTCCCCGACGTCGTTTGCGCATACGCCCTGCCACGGCCGTGGCGCCAGCGTCTCCTCCCCGATACCTGCGCGAACGACGTCGAGGACGACGACGCGTCGAATTTGGGGTTCATTCATCGGATTAAGGGGGGGCGGATCGCGCATTTAAGGAAGAAGGTGTATCGGATGCGGGAGCGCGCCGGGTTCGATAATAAGAAGATGGAGCGGATGTCGTCGGTGCGGTGACCGACCCGCGGGATTCTCGGTGGAAGGAGTCGTGGTCTGCAGTTCGGGAACGGCCTCCCTGGTTCTATGTTTTTACTGCGTCTTTTGTGTGATACCCATCGTGCGTCGGAATATCTCATCCGACGGCTTCGGTCGAGCGTCGACCTCGTAGAATGATACGTCGGAGATTTTCGTTCATCGTGGTCTTGTGACTGCTCCGGAATCCGTGAAGGTTACAGTCATCGCCCGCATTGCATCGATGTTAACAGCGAGTAATCCATTGGACAGGACATTTCATGGCCGAACCACTACATCCCCAGCCTCTCAGGCCTTCGTAAGCTATATCGAATTAACACGTATCAGCAGCATATGGGCATTCTTCGACCCCAGCAATCTTCGACTTCCCGTCGCATTAATCATGATTCTTCGCCTACCGTTTAACCAACGGCGACTAAATTCGGAAATATACATTTCTCTACTCTGCACGGAGTGGATGAAGGCGGTGGTTTTATACCCGTCATGGCCGCGCGGCTGCGGGTCCGAGTAACCCGGGATGACGTAGTTCATTGGTGGAGTTGATGGTTGATCAGCTTCATCACCACGTGGGTGATTTAGTGGGCATGTGAAATTCGAGGGAACTGAATGCTGATAGTGCATTCTGGAATTGTAGAAATGGTAATATTTGTCGATTTTGATCGGTACTGCAGGTACAGGTATGCTGCGCAAGAAACGGAGCCTTAAATGTATAGAGGACCGGAACTGTACCAATGGGCTAGCTCTGAGCTTCTTTAACCCTAGTTATGAGTATCATTGGAGGGTTTCTGCCAGCAACTATGGAGAATCTGGAAATTGCACCTCGCAACGAAAAGTTCCTGAGTCAGCAAAGGTTTACTAGCCGTTTTGGCTCAAGGCGCCTTGGCGACAGAACTTACTTTTTATATCCCATTCGTCCTGCAAAGTGAAGCCATCCCCAGATCCTCTCACTACCTAAAATGGATCGCCAGCGTAAAATCGCGGTGGTGCTACTTATCTTGCTTATCCTGCGCAGGCGCCGTACGCAACAGGAGTGGTCTTGATGAGTATAGCATTCTGCTTCTCCGAAAGCGTATGCCACTTCCGCCGATCCTCGACAAGCCGCTCCTCCTCCGCGTATACCGAGGTGACTGCAGGCATCGCACGCGTTGATTTGGTGATAGGTAATTCAGGATGGGATACACTCTGGGTTACAGATCTTGGGCGTTATGCAGGCGACCGGATCTGACGTTAAGATTGACGAATACGCTAGGTCGGATATGGCAGTTGAGAGATGCGAAAATCCTGGAAATTGACCTGGAAACGATTTTCAGGTCAACTCTCTGCATTTAGCCGGCTTACGAACTAATATCTAGCGGTTAGGTTGGCTAACTGGGTATGGCCATATAAACAACGCTACGCTGTCGAATATTACACAAAACGCAATTTCCAGGTGCCCACAATTCTGGCAGAAACCCTCCATTGAAAGTCTTCATTCGAGGCTGCTTATAATTAGACCAGACCAAAGTAGAGAGGTTAAGTTGAAAACGATTGGATAAGTACATTGATTCTTGCTTGAAAAGCCCGATGAACCAGGATGCGAACTCCGAAAACATCGCTCCCAGACGAAGCAATATGGACTCGATGCAAAGGAACTCGAAATAGATGAACCGAGATGCGACAGCAGCTCCCAATATAACATGAAAATCCGAACCACAGCTAAAACCCAGTCCAGTAGACCCCAATCAAAGGACAACCAACTGTCCACTATCCGCCGCCGCCTTACAATCATTCTTCGCATCGTTCCTCTTCTGCCCCTTATTCTTCCCACTTGCATTCTTCCCAATTGTGCGCCCTCTCGCATTATTCTTCAAATCCATCTCCTTCTCCCGCCCCTTCCCCCCTTTCTCATGATTATTCGCGATGCTCTTTGCCTTCCCCTCTCCGATCTCGATCACCATGAGCGCGTTCCAGTAGCAGTGCCGGAACGCGTCGCCCTTGCCGTTGTGGAGGGTGTTGGCCGGATACAGCCGCCCCGCTTCCGTGGCTGCGGTCTCAGCGAGGTTGCTCGCTTTGTTGCACGCGCTCCAGTGCCAGGGGACGGCGCACCAAGCCATTTCCTTGATGGAGGGGCCGCCGCTGCCGGAGCCGCCGCTGCCGTAGTCGGGGGCGGCGTTGGCTTCGGGTTGGGGGTCGGCGACTGGGGCCGCGGAGGTGAGGGAAAAGAGGAGGGTGAGGACGTTGAGGATGGTAGCAGAATGCATTTTCTGAAGGGAATTGTGTTCTGGTTCGGGGAATTGTCGAGAGACTCGTAGAAATATTGTAAAGTTTAGGTGAAGACTGAAGTTTAAGCTTTGAAAGTGTTCTTGCTTTAATCTGAGTTGTCCGATGAGATCAAAGACTCCTTCGCCTCGAATCGTCCATCTTTATATACCTTTTTCCCGCTGGCCTCGACTTACCCATCTTTGTCCTCTGGAAATGAAGGAACGAGTCCCCTCGTGATATCGCAATGACTGATGCCAAATATACCACCTTCCAAGCTCTTGACATCTCAAAACGACGTTTTTGGCACCAGTCAGCCTCGTCATTCTGAGATATCGTCGTCGAACAACCATCGGGACGCTGCACCTCTCGTTGCCTGTTACACATCTCCGGCTCATTTTACGATGACAATCCGGCCTTTTACTTACCGGTGGTAACTTGACGGGTACGGTCAGTTCAATTTTGGGTGGCGACTGCAGAGAACCGACGGTGTCGTGATTTGAAACATCCCATGGCGGCTGCGGTGGTATGCTGCACCCAGCGGAAACATTGATAAACGGGACGAAAGCTTTGGTAGTGGAGGCCTTGTCCTCGGCGCCTCCCGAGGCACCACCACTGAGCTACGTAACTGTAATCACCAAGGCAGACTCTTTTCTTGCCATCTCGCATTCCATCTCGCATTCTCGCATTCACACACCTTTACTGGAACTGATCGGTCCAAAATCCGTTTGCAAAACACCCATTCGAATGAAACGACTCGGAGAACCTGAAACACCGGTTCCGAAAGCTCGCAACACGGTGCCTATTATTAGGTCGGCTGCGGTCGCATCTCCATGTCGAATACGTTCCTGTTCTGTTCAAGTCTGTGATTTCAGTTGTCGTTGTCAAATTGGTCAGCACCCAGCTGAAGGAACGAGCCTATTGGGAAAATCAGGGAAATATCACCTGCATTGGATCGATGTCCTTCGTATTGTGTTCCCTACAGTTACTCATACACCCGACTTCATGTTTTGTGTCTTAGGGTTTTGACTTTTGACAAAGCGCTCAAAATGGACCGCCATTGGTGATGCGGCCACCTGACCCAAAGTATCGACAAAGCAGATAAGGCTACGTACATGACGTATGCCCATGGCGATCGTCATATGCTAGGAGTGAAAAAAAGGAAAACTCAAGTGGAAGAAGATCAAAACGCAAACCCTGCGACAGGAAATTCCATACTTAGGTGACAGCAGCCATATATCGTAGGGCACATGGGTAAGGCTTTCCCATCCCTTTCAGGTCGTGTCGTCAATTTGTATCCCTTGTAGAGGACTTCAACATCTCGCTCGTTCATATTGCAATACCACATTTCTAGACGCTTAAAGTCTCCAGAGTTTTACCGTCGCTTTCCTGCCAGGGGTGGTCCTTTTCGATGGATCTAATCAAGGCCTCGTGGTGACTTGACCGTGGCTTGATCATGCACTTGTAAGGTGCGGGGTGGCTGACCACACCAGGGTCAAATTTAGCGACGGGTTCCACTTCTTTCCCGTTCTCAACCGGTTTGCCAATGCTGAACACGGCTAAAGACTGGGCGATACTGAGGTACAGCGTGTTGTCTGCTAAGATTCGGCCGGGGCAAATTCGTCGTCCAAATCCGAACACATACGTGGCCGGGTCGGGCTCAGGCACATGGCCATCGATCGGTAGGAATCGTTCGGGCTTGAAAATCATGGGGTCATGATAGACATTGGGATCATGGGTAAAATGCCTAGTCAACCGTTAGATCGAGTACGGAGCAACAGCTTGGAAGAAAAAGCGATTCCACTTGCCAGACGTTGGCAAAAATCATTGCGCCTTTCGGAATGCGGTAACCCTCGCAGAGGTCGTCCTCTGTGGTCCCATGTGGAAGACCCATTGGCGCAACAGGGTGCCAGCGGAGGACCTCTTTCACGGTGGATGCGATATACGGTAGATTCTCTCGATCTTCAGCGGTAGGGAGCCTGTTTGTTCCTATGACTCGCTCGATCTCGGCTTGGGCCTTCTTTTGGACGTCTGGGAAGATAGACATCGCTAAGAAGAAGCACGCCATTGCAGACACCGTCTAAAGCAGCCAGAACCCCATTAACCATGAAACTTTAGGACGAACAACGAAAGGAGGCTCACCGTGTCTGCACCTGCTGCGTATAAGGACATCGCCGCCCACTTGTTGATAAATTTCTCTTCCCCATCCGAGTCACCCTTCTCTAGCAGCTGCGAAAGAAAGGATTTCTCGTTGTTCCCCTGTGCCATCCGGTGCTTGACAAAAGCATACGGCCTATCAGCCACATCCATGAGAGCAGCTTTCCATTCCCGAGCGGTCTTCTTAAATCCAGTTCCTGGAACCCAGTCTGGAAGGTCTCTCACTTTGGTTGTTTAGCAAAGTTAGCATGGAGACCTCGAGCGACTTACAGAAAGGCATTATGTCAACCAAGAACGCCCCGGGCACTGCAGCCTGGGCAAACTTGTCCATAGCATCACCAACGATATCGACGAGGGGGTCATTCTTGTGCGATTCGGCCGTATAGCCATAAGCAATCTTTAAGATGATTGCACCCGCCTCCCTAAACCAGCACGAGTTAGCGGCGGAGTGCCACCACGTTTTCGCCCGCGAGAAAGGGGGACTGACTTTCGAATATGGTCAACCAAATCATCGGGCTTATCAAGTACATGGAGCAAGAAGTGGCCGACTTCGGTCTGTTGCAAGCCGTTGAATTCTGCGGCTAACGGCTTGGAGCCAATAATCCGGGCGAAATTCCTACGGTAGGCTCTGAAACGATTGTTGTACGGGGAGAGGCCAAGTGAGTTCTCCCAGCCGACCCTATGCATAGCCAGGGGACATCAGCATCTCGTCATCCTTATATGACGAGTGTCATAGTAAGCAGGTCAACATACATTTCTCCAGCAAAGAGCTGCTTAGGTCGCGATGAATGGATGGCCGACCGTTTCTCCATAACCTCAAACGCCAGTCGCGAATCGTTAATGATCACGATGGTTTGGCCCATCACTGTCACGGAGCTAATCGGGCCTATCAAAGACCAGCAGCATATTGCTTAGTATAGAGTCCACTACGGTTTTAAAGTCTTCAACGAGGTCACGAACCATATAGCTCCTTGTGCTTGAGCCAGTGGTGCGCTTCAAGCACACCTGGCTGAGGCAAATCATTCAGGTTCCCAAGTAGAGGGAGACCCTTTGGACCTGGTGGCAGAGGAGCGCGACCGTCATCTCTCCTTAGAAACCAATACCAAGCGATGAACCCGCCAACAATGCTGGCCAGAATCCATGAGAAAGCCATGGTGTGTGCAGTTCGAAATGAAAATTGCCAACAATCTCGAAAGTTGAGAGCTACGCAGGAAACACAGATTTCATCATTTATGCCTTATGTTCGATGACATCGCTGATCGTTCCCCCGTCGTTGTACTTAACCCCTGAGTCTCAAGCGGGGTTTGCTTGACTAGGACAACTAGAAACAGCTAAACAACAGGGGCCGACCACCACACAGATAGGCAGCATGATTAATGGAAAATGCGTGACTGGGTGCAAGTGCTGGGTGATTGTTAGTGGGTATTAGCGTCCTAACTTCTAACGTATCTATCTCGTCGGGTGCAATGCCCAGCGAGGCAGTGGGAGTGGTATTCTACCAAAATCTTCGGAGTGGCAAAGGAAGGTTTGATCGCAAAATGTTGTGGTAATTGGAATGTAAGCATAGCCAGTCCTATCTTCAACTTGTATCCAGTCTCTAATTATCTACGTATAACAGCTATGTGGAGAGAAGTTCAAAATTTAGGGACGAGAAGAGAACGAAGGGCATCTGGTATGGCTTGCCTAAAAGGAATCAGCTTTCTGTGTTCCAGCACAGTACATTTCACTTCCCATAATCTGCCGTTATATACATTCTTTTTAGACTTCAAAAGCAAAGAAACGCTCAAATACAAGAACAAGTAACGCGGTTCGACCGTCCGTCCCTTCTTATCTTCTCGGGCCCTATTACACATAAGCCTTGCGAGAGTTCTCTGACAGCGACCCCACCAACTCAACGTCCGATTCGTGCTGTGCGTCGGATGGCTGGCGTTGATACTGGCCATTTGAGCTGAGTTTATCATGGCTCGCGTATCCCTTGGTTCCAGAGCGGCTACCGTATTCGGTGCTACCGAAGCAGCTCGGCGCAAAGGTTCTGAGGAAACCGCGCATCGCAGGCATGCAGGCACAGATGATGAACATATCGCATTCGAGGATGCTCCAATAGATGGCTGGGGCATTGTCATCTAGTAATAGCTGGAGTCAGCCACTGTCGATCAAGAGAGAATTCTTTAGGATATGGCAACTCACAAGTAGGATTGGTGGTCTCCGAGAACTGGACAAGCGATTGCAGCCGCAATATGCTGATAATTGTGATCCTGTAAAGTATGGTTAGCATATGGTAAACAGTCGTCTCGTCGCCTCTGGGACGACCGATTGAAGAAGCTTGTAAACTTACACGAAGCCAACGCAGAAGACCATAACGACCTGGATCTTCTTTTTCCAACTCATCTGTAACTTGAGCAATGTCGGAATTGGCAGCGATATAATGGCAACATCAATCGCGATCTCGATGCCAGCGCGGATCCAAGAAAAGAGATTGACGTTGATACACGTTCCGGTGGTCTCCCCGGACCAGCTTTCCCAAAAGAATGCGATCGGAGTGCATTGAAACAACATGGAAAACGTATTGGCCATTCCGAAACAGACCACCACCCCCATTAGTACGTAGACCGCTTTCCGGAACACTGGGATCGTGAAAATTCGAAGGTAGAAGGCCAGCAAGGACAACTGAACGAACATCTCGGCGGCCATGTAGAAGATCTCGGCAATCAAGAGGTACTAGGAGGAAACATCAGGTTAGAATAGACTAGTCGTTTGTCCTAGGCAAGTGAATACTTACCAGGAATGTCTTGTTTATACCATCAAATTCCAATGACCAGAGGTCTTTGCCCATACCATGGTAGGCCACTAGGATACTGTTAAATAACTAGCAGTACTCCGAGAGGACTGAACTCACTAGGATAGCAGACAAAGTTCATCGGGCAAGCCAGTAACTAGAGAGCGGAGATGCCCGTTAGCCCAATCTAGCAGAAGGGAGGTTTTCATATCATACCACGGCTATCAAAACAAGATAATCGTCCCAGTCCAGTGAGAGCTTGCGAATCCCGATACGGTCAACAAGGCGGACGATAACCATTAGCATTGCCAGGCTTCCAAAAGACGCTGGGATGGCAATGACTTGTACAGATATGTCTCGCGGCTGAACACCACAGGCAGCCATCGTAGCATTGGTGGATGCTAGGTTTCTAAAATCAGCTCATGGTCCTCGCCTTTCAGAAGGTCAGGCTCAGAGCATACTCAGCATCTCTTTGACTGTGCAACCTGTGGCTTGGCAGCCCGCAGCGGCCTCCATAAACGCTTCATCCTGACATAGGCAAGAAAAGTCGGTTGGAGAACATTTTGATGACAAGACGGTCTGCTCGAAACATTGCACCTAAAAGTTGAAGGTCAGTGGATTGGCCACTCCGGAACGTTGAACCATCATACCGCGCATGCTGGAAGTTGGTCCAAAAGGTTAATTTGGGCCACTGAGCTGCCAATAAGGAAGATACAAGTGCAGAAGATGGAGAGTAGCTTCATTGTACACTCCTGATCGGGTTGGACCTTGGAATGGAATGATGTACAAGTATTCGAACGGCGTTCGTCACCATACTATGAAAGACTTGATATTGGCTCGGAGAATTGTTCAAGTGTGCCAGCTTGGAACCTCAAGCTTATCTGGACGATTGGCTCGAGACACTTGTGGAGTAACAATTGGGGTCTTAGCATGATGAATTGGTGATCTCAAGCAATGTGAATTGTGCACTGGATAGTGGATACCTAGCCAATGTACGAGTTGCGAGTTTGCGACTCCTCAATTGTCCATTCCAGTGCGGGTTCTCATCACCTTTGCGCCAGCTTGGTTATCGCGGTGCCCCTACCCGTGGAGTCGGGCCCCGGTTTCCCCATAGAAGCCGCAGGACTAAGTCATGCCCGAGTGTTGATCCTTCCATGTTTCGAACTTCGAACCCGAGTACCAGTACCCTGGGCGGCCAACTCTTCTGCGTCTCTCCTGTTTGAGGCCGTCTCAACTTTCAACGTCTGCGCTGTCCGCTCCGCGTCCTATCCCAATTCAAAGTGCATAATAATCCGATGGAAGGATAGGCCCATTGGCTCCAAGTGGGTCCAGTACAGGCTAGAAACGCCATTCAGGTATTCTTCATGTTCCGCGGAGGGTATTCCCGGTTCCGATTTCGACCTGAACGCTGATCAACAAGCATTATTATTCAAGCAAGGTCCAGGCAACAAAGCAACATTGCGTGATGGAAAAAATAAAAAATGCAGCATACTAAGTACTAACTGATATGATTGTGCGGAATGCTCCGTACTTGATCCGGTTCCTAATCCTAACAACTCGGGGAAGAAGGCCCGTTCCATTGAGCTCGGGTTCTCTAATTAACGTGCGCAGATCGGCATGCCGTTGAAAAGCTATAAAACGGTTGATTGTGGATCATATCCTCTTTAGGTCTAGGACCCAGGGTTCACCCTTTTCCACCATATTCGGCTCCAACGTCCATCACATAGGAGGTCACTGTCGATCGTCCAAGTGCTGACGAGAGGTACCTCTAGGACTCTTTCAGATAAGGGACTGGGCCCTGGGGTTAGCGCTCCAAGCACTCAAATTCCGTGAATTCCCAGCGGACAGCATATCCATTGAACAAAAACTATGATACATGGACTCAAGGCGTAATCTCGACTTTGGTTATTAGGGAGAGAAATGCAAGCGCGAGCAACACCGCCATTTTTCAGTCCAGCTTTACTACGTATGTACGTAGTAAGCGAGAGGAAATGGTCCCACTTTCATGAAACGCGAAGGATAATTATGGTTTGGGCCAAGTCAACGAGAACACTTGACTTGATCGACAGCAAACTAGGAGAAAAGAAATTGAAAGCATGCAGGGGGAAATGTGAATATCTGATTCCAATTTTCAAGGTCAAATGTCTCAAATTTACCCAACTACGCTAAATCCCCAAAAAGGACGCCCCCCCTAGGAATCTAGGAGAAGGGTAGATATACCACGGTTCGACAAAATGAACATCAAATGCAAACAGTACCCAATAATAACAGCAATTTTAATGACAGCAGTAAAGGCCTCCTGACTTCTCTTCTATCTTCTAGGGACTGGGAGAGTGGGAGTACCCTGAGGAATAAGAGGATCAATCTCTGTCAAGGAGCAATAGGTACACGCCACCTGTATCTGTAATTGCAATGGTGATGTACCATGTAAGTTGCTTGATTGAGAGTCAAAGATTGGAGGGGATAATCTCCCCTGAATTTCATGATAACATGAGAAATCATGGACATGTAAAGCCAACAAGGCTCGGCTTAGTCAGGTGACAAAAACAACAAACACAATAAGGCGGTGGCTGGTCCTCATGCGACTTCCAATCGACTTCCCTTCTCCGTAAACCTCAACTCACAGCAGCACCAGATATCGGCAGACATATCCGTAACGGTACTCGCTTCATTTCGAACCCCCATCTCCGGCGTGCATAATCACAGGGACATCCAGAACACCCAAGGGGATGTGAATTCTGAGAATCTGTTCAGCTCAGATGTCGAGGACCTATCCGCCGAGTATCGCGCAGGAACACAATTTGGCGCTTCCACGGGTCTACATGGGCGGTATGTCTACTCAACCTTACCCAACCCTTTTCTCTGCCTGCAATGAACTGGAAGCGAGTTCCGCAACTCTGGATTTCCGGAGGCAGTAACGCAACATGTATGGTTTAAAAAGGGCCAACAGCACATGAAGCTTGCAACCAGGTGGATGGCGGGCGGATGCCGGACGGTGTCATGGATTCCCCGCACTGCATGGCCATCACGATCGAAGGTCGACTCTTTGCTACTCACCGTATAACTAGATCCTCGATAACATAATGTTCTGCTCTCCAGCACAGCATTTTGTGGTTTGACTTCTGAAGGTCATCATGAAGATTATTAGGGCATATTCCGCGCAAAGATTCGGCTTTCTCGATGTTTTCATGTGTTATCGCTTTTCGATCCTGTCCAAAGTCTATGGGTTGTCAACTAAAGTTGTTTATAGAAATGTCTTGTGATTACGCCTCGCGGCCCTCTGCATGTGCTAGCTGGAGTACGAATCTCCATGTGATAAATTTCATATTCCATTATCTTTATATGTCGGGCAGCAGCACAGTACTTGGAGGGGAGCTGGAAGTGTAGTACATTAATGCCAAAATGGCTGCCGATCCGGTACTTACTGTATACAAGATTCCACTTTCAGTGGTCCTGGAATAGCCGCCTCCCAATTCGAACAAAGATAGTTGGCGACGATGGCTAATCCCATATGCCATTGTTCTGATGGTCATAACTACTTGCAGCGTGGTTGCCCGACTGTGGGTGCGGTGGACTCGGATGGCTGGCCGACTGGGTATCGATGACGCACTTATAGTTGGATCTCTGGTATGGTCTGCGTACTTGAAGTTACAATACCTTCTAAGTATTCCTTAGGCTCTCGCCATTCCATTCCATGGGATAGAAATATATGGTAAACATCAGGGCCCTAGTGTCCGCCGACAATGACTGACTACGGTCAGCTGTGGTGTATGCTGGGTTTGATCGAAATGCGTGGGATATTTTTCCCGATCCCAAGCGACCAGTAAAAGCTGCATTAGTACTACTTCATTGATCCCATTCTACATTCCGAGCTCACTTTATTACCGCAGGTAGCCTGAATGGAGGAGATCGTCTTCATATTTGCAAGCTCTCTAGTAAAGCTCTCCATTCTGGTATTCTATTGCCGCCTCGTCTATTGGTCTCAACAGCGCCTACATTTCTGGCTCATCGCCAGTGGGGTTACACTCGTAGCGGTCTATGCCGTCTTTGGGTTCTTCTCTCGATCTTTCTCTGCCACCCTATCGACGCCTCCTGGAAATCCGTGGATTTCAGCTATACAACGAGATATAAGTGCCTGGCGCGCAACGTCAGCGACCCCATGTACGGCATCACTTCTATCCTGACTAATGTCTACGCTCTGCTCTTTCCCAAACTCATGCTCGGCTCACTCAAGATGAACTGGAAACAAAAAGATCATTCTGTCCCTGATAATGGGCTGCGACATTTTGTAAGTCCAGCATACTTTTGTAAATATGCATGCTTATCCGGTGAAGGACTATCAGAGCCGGAATAGCGAGAACCTTCTGGCTCACCCGTCTTTGGAGAGGTCAGCAGAATGTCACAGGTTCGCACAGCCAACTCAGACGGCTCAGGCCGCAATCGCTGAACTTTTTGCAGCCGTGGGCTATGATATCTTTGTTTGGACACTCTTGGAATTGGACCTTGCCATTATGTGCGCAAGCGCTCCTGCCTTGAAAGCGTTCTTCGATGTGTATTTAGTGCAGCCGATAACAAATTATACCATGAACCGGGCGAGTGTGAGGAGTACCAAATCAAAACGAACCGCTAGATCCACATTCGACGGCAAGATGAGCGGCGAGATAGGGATCCCACGGTTTTCATCGCCCAAGACGCCAATGTCGCCGCCAGTAGAGACATGATTAAAGTGTATACACGGTATACCGGTAATGTGGCATCTTGGATTCCGGAGACTCAAACGACACTCAACTGGTAAGGAATCTTTTTAGACCATTGCCATATGATGAAACGATATATACATGCATTAGCGAGGACAATGCCAGAACTTAGAATGAAACAAGAGTACGAGACAATTCAAAAGACACTACAATTCAACCAAATACCCTACTTAAAATCCGAGTAACATGCTATTCAGCTTCAGAACCCAGTGGCCAGTGGTGGTCTGGTGGACTGGTGGTCTGGTGGACCGGTGGTCTCGTGGGCGGTGGCTGATGTGGCTGACTAATCTCAAACTCGCCCCCAGATCCCAGTCAATCCATCCAAAGTTTTCTTCTGATATTGCGAATCCAACTTTTGATTCAACTTTCCCGAATGACAGCAACTGAAATGGATTCATGGATGACCTTCGACACCATGGCAAATGCAGGCTAACCATCCCGCCTGTAGCCTTCACGCCGGCCATATCGCGATCCCCAATGACCCTATTGTGCCTCATGGGATGCTAGTGCTGTATTAGGCCATGTTTACTCTCAGACGGACTGCACTTGCAGTATCCACGAAGAAGAAACTGTGAATTCTAAGCATTTGGGAACCTCAACCTCAAGCTTGATATTTCCATCGTCCTCCGTTCAATAAACACACGACCCAAGTGCGGAAACGCAAGTCATCCAGCTGATTTACGGTTATCGTTATCCTATTCCGAGTAATTGCATTACCAAGAGATATTGCCCTCATTTTCCCAGCATGCCTTCTTATCCTTACAATGAAGGTCCTCCCAGCACTGCTTTCATGATCACCTTCTTTGGTATGCCCTCGCTCACTATTCTCCTCGGGCTACTTTTACTCCTCCAACCTTGGCTCTCCTCAAGCAGAGCACCAAAAGGCGTTCCTCCAGGTAGTGAGAAGGTCACTGAGCACCACAAGTCATCGAATCAGTCGCCCGTCCAATTCCTCGTTTCTGGACCGGCGGCCGCTCTTCCATCCCAGGTCGATATACCGGCCATCAAGTTCCTCAACAAAGCCTTTGCCATCGCGCAACTGGTCAGCTCTCAGCCAACCCCAAGACCTGACGGAACCTACGCCGTTGACCATCGATGGCATGCACTGTCATCTTCAAACAACCGACGAATTGGCGATCTTCGCGTCGAGCTGTGGGATAGTCCCCTAGACGATGACGCTCCATCGTTAACGGGAAAGGGTCACCCCCCAATATTGACTCTCCAGATGGACGGATCCGCCAATGAGAAGCAACAGCCCACGGACCTGACAGGGCTCTGGCTCGTTATCGACTTTCCGTTCGCTTCTGAATTCCAATTCGATCGACATGGGTTCAACACGTTCATCAATATAATCAAAAGGAGGATTGGGGAACGAAACTGGACCCAGGAGCTGAGAGAATCCATTGCCATTCCACTTGAAACCTTAAACGAGGCGAGAGAAGAAGACTGGGTCCTCATCCAAGGGAAAGAATCGCGTGGAAGAGATCTGTCACAAGTCATTGGCATCGAAGCTTTGGAGAAGCTAAAATACGCCTTGGGAATCAGCAATCCGGTGTCCTTGTTCCATGTGATGGGGGAATAGAGTATGACATTGGGCGGCTGCGGTGCTGAACACGACTCTACCCCTATTCATTCCTCTTTCGCTTCCTAGATTTCTCAATTCAACCTTGGATCTGGTCAATACTTGGCTGCGTGACTCGATGTCTATAATGGCTACGGCCATGGGGAGTGATCTTATTAAAGTTTTAAAATCATCACGCCCACTATCGATTACTTAATCAAGTGCGTCTACGTACCGGTGACCAAAGAGGTATAGCATATCCAACAAGGACAAAGACAACTTTGTGAGACGTGACATGCTTGCGGCACCGAGGCGTTGAACTGATCTAATCCCATACTTGCGATTTTATGACTACGAGCGGCCCCCCAAACAAGTCCAATGTCCGTCTATTATTCTCTACGGTCTTGCCTTCTTTCAAGACCTTCTCAATCGCTTTTCTCTTCATGAACTTGCCCTTTTAAATCATGGCGTCAGAAATACCATCAGTCAATGACGTATATTTGCCTCCAGTTCATCCTCCGAAGTATAACTCTTCGCCGTCGCTTCATGCCAATTGTCCTCTAGCTTCGTTTACCAATCCCTAGTCGTCTTTCCGAATGAAATGTACCGGGTTATCGGTGTTGCAAGCACGTTTTGGCTTAATTATGTGGAAATTTCGTTCATATTCCGACAGATCAATCGGAACCTGAATGCGCAGGCTCCAGTAGAGATGGGATCTCAAGAACAGCTTAGATTGGAGGCACGATCTCTCTTGTACGGTTGACATATTTAAAGGCGTCGAAGGTTAATAATAAAGCACATATGTCGGGGGGGGATCCGAATATTGTGCGATCCCGTCCTCTCATAGAGAATGGCTCTCTTTGCCTTTGTTGACGTGGCACAATGATTTGCACCATCTGGACTTTGCGAGCGGAAATACTTCTACCAGACACCAATCGCGCAGCGGGAAGATACATTTCTTTGTGGGCTGAATCCTTATATGTATTCGGTTCGACTTGGCCCATTTCACCGAGCTCGACTCGTATGATCAGGCAAAGATCTCGTTGAAGGAGTGGGTTCCATCGAGCCTGTCGTGACACTGACACGGCATTTGAGGGCGGGACGACCCTGTGGGACGATAATGATATTGTAGGGTGTTCGCGGACCGTTATCGCATCCGTAGGCGGCGACGACATGAGTACAAGGCGACTGTTCTCTGCCGGCTATATTTCCGTTACAACATCACGAAGGCAACATTCATAATGTTCCTCTAATGACGCGTCTTATAGATCACGTCCAGTATACTCAGTATTTGCAGAGATTAGCGAGGTGTATATTACCGACTGGGTGCTGTCTTCCATAGTATTTCATAAGTAGTGTTCAGTGTCACCCAGACGATTCGATTCGATATCCCAAGGATATTAAGAGCGAGAAGCTTATCGGTATGCAGAATGGTACTGTTCCATAGTGCATCAGTAGCCAATATGAGAATGATCCGTATCCGCGGATGTTGTGGAAAGAGGCCTGTGAAAGGGAACTGAGCAGATGGTGGTATGTGACACTGGGTAAACCGTTCCGATATATCAGCGAATCCAATGTCATGGAGACGTATATCTCCTAGTACCACCACGCATGGATACAGGAATAAGCACGAATGACATCGTACTAAACAGGTCATATGCGATCCCTTAGTGTTCCCGCGAGCAAGGGCAAACATGAGGTTCTCCAAACCGAACGACTTCGCAGACCGGATCGATCGCAAGCTGAGCGACTGAACGGCTCGGGTGATCGATTGGTGAGTGTCCGTATCATTCGTGCTTCCGGTTTGACCAAGTTCTAGATGCGGGTATCCAAACGATAAAACACACCAGAGGCGCACTGTTGAGGCTCAGGGCAATCCCATCATGATAGGATTGGCTGAATATCGGTTAGTAGTAGTACCTATTTACCTCTGGAGTCAACTGCAGGCAGGAGATGCCCTCGTCAGCGTCCGGGTCCCGGAATGGGTGGGTGGGAGTCCTGTATTCCATCCTTGACCTATTACTTAGAACAATCCATTCTGACATGCACTGAACAGAGCCTTGCCTTCCACTGAAGCTACGGCCTCTCGATCTTGGTCCTTCCCCTTGAGAGCTCTCACTTTCCCTTACCAATTGACAATGGTGCAATTATTTCCCTGCTATACTCTGTGGGAGTCGTAAGAGGAGCCATCAGTTGCTGAAATTTTGAGCGAGCATCGCTTTGCCAGGCCTTGCTCACTTGTGCCTAAGAGCCTGTCCCATGTACCTGGTTAGGACTCCAATCCGCAATGGGTCATATGTTCTCGTATTGCCCACGGTCCATGGATGTATTTTGCAAATCATCGTTCATGCGTAGCATAAGTAAGTAGACTCTGATGGTCGACGTCGATCAGCTGCGGCATTGCACCCGGTCATCCTTGCAGAATTCAACGCCTCCGCCATCTGCTCACTTCACGTCATGGATCCCTTCTAGACATGACCTTCATGCTTCTTGAGGCTGCTCTCCACTAAGGGATCCATCAGCTTGTAGTACTGGCCTTCATCGATAATCTCTCATGCTCCTCGCATTTACTTCGATTGGCCCCTCGAGGAATGTACGAAACCTGTTTCAGCCCTCGGGGACCGTGGTGACGTTGAAAGCCACAAGAATCGACGCGATCTGTCATATTCTAGTCAATATTTTGAGATCATTAGAGGCTTGTCTTAATTCGGTGGCGTGCAACCCCATGTAAAGGCGAATATGTTGCAATCCGGCATGCATATATCCAAGATCACGGTTTAGCAAGGTGTCCATGCCAGTTTGCGAGAGAAGATTCTGGCAGAATCTTCCTGCATTTACACGTGTTACCATGACCCTGTTTGTAAATTTTGGTTGTTTTTATCGCTAGTCCAGCGGCATAGTTCCAAGAGCTATTATTTATTGGAAGATTGGATAGGAGAATGTGATCTTAGAGCGGCGCAGCGACTGGTCTAGGGGTATCACAACAGTCCTTTAGGTGCATGCAAAGGCATCGCAGTGAACCCAATGTGGCACGGTCCAGATGTCTGGAACAAGAAGCTTCAAAACAATTGAGAGTATCGTCATTCGTCCTTCGGGTACGAGGAAATGACAAGCAAAGACTTAAATCACATACGACAGAATTAGGATCGGACTCAGAACTGGGAAGAACGAAGACAATTGACAAAAGATCTGATAGGTACAACTACCTGTACTTGCAAATTGCAATATCGTACTGCTACACTACATTACCGTATCATGAAACAGAGCATCGTCTGCTCACTTCGAAACCGCTAGATACGATTATTCCAATGATCGACTCGCTTCTCAGTTCATGTACCCAAAGGCTGCAAGACCTTGCAGATTCGACCGTTTCACACGAGCTACTGCGACCACATGCAAGCTGATGCTGGAGTTTGACCAGTGACCAGCCTAGAAAGAAAAAAGAAAGAAAAGAGGCGGTCGTGGTCCCATCAGCGTTCAGCACAAGCATTGCCAGTTGTCATGTGGAGGGGCTGATACGCGAGAGATTGGGAGGGGGTCGTGCAGCGAAAGTCTCCGAAGCTTAACCTGCACTTCCTTAGTTCTCTCATTCTTCATTCCCTCTAATTACTCACTATTCCGCAAACCCCCAACCGTCTCTTCCAAGCTCCAAATTAGATGTCTCACGTCACCATTCGGGTTGGACGGCTGCGGTGCGTCTCCCGTGTCATGCGCTCGACTAATAGAACCAATGGATCTCTTAGATCGCTCACCACAAGGCACAAGCACTCCCGCCATTCTTTACCACGTTCTAGTTGCTTTCGCGTGCGTCAGAGTGCTACCTTCGCTTATCGCCCCGGGACGCCAGGCATGTTCGCCTTGTCGGCTATCAGGCTGTCACACGATATCTCGACTTCTCGAGACTGACTTTGCGGTGACCAACCTCCAAAGCTCGTTGAGAAAAATGATACCCCCGGGCGCCACCTTTTCACCTCACGACCCGGACCCCCAACTCTCTGATTTTCCCATACTGTACCCTCTGCCAACTCACCCTTTGCACGTCGTCGCAGGGGGGAATGCAGTCTCTCTGCAGCCTTGATCACAGATCCAGTCAAGTGAGATGCAGTATTCATGAACTGTGTTGATGATTGATCGCGAGGGACCAGGATTGTATATTTGCATCTAATGGCTGCTAGCTTCTATCTATTCCTTCTTTAGTTCTTCGCAATCCTCATGAGTCGTGGCCCCTTGGCCATTGGCGGAACCCCGAGAATCCAAGACCTTCTAGGCCAGTTAGGTGCGGCAGTTGACCTTCCAATTTGCTAATTCTTTTCCTATTTCTCTCTCTATTGTCTAATCCCTCCCGGTTTTGGTCTGTGTTACCCCACTGTCGCTATCTTCGTTTCTCGCTCGTGGGATCAGCGGATCCTCAACTCATTTAAATACCGCCAGTGGCGCCAAACTATGCATATATACATCCAACCATCTCCAGCGAGTCATCTACGATTTCAATTGTTGTCAACTCCCGCATGATACGATGCCACGTCGGGGACATGCAGCATTCAACGGCCAGTCGCAGGTGATGTGACTTGTTCGTCTCCCCATTAACTTCCGTCGATCCCTGGGTCAAGAGAATAGTCAGCAAACATGTCGGTCGTTCCCCTATAGGCAACCCAGCTGTCGTTTCTGCATGTGGAAAAATTTAACTTCTCAACCCATTTCCACTTGATCGACATACTCAACGTTCGTTATGCCCATCCCGACCAAGGATTATTGCAGGAACGGCACGGACCGACCAGCTCGATTCGCCGCCTTCAGGGTTATAGATACTTCATACAAGCAGATCGGTCGCCATTCAATCTGCGTCTCGATCCTAGTTCCCAAATTCATCAGGGCCGGGAAGCGTCCTCTCATCGTACGCTGGCACGGGGGCTACCTCGTTTCGGGGTCAAGGCTGCTGCCGGAATGGTTTCCAAAGTGGTATGCAATCCCCAATTTCACTGGTTCTGAAATCTACTTCCCTGTGATTGTCATTGAAGCATGCATCCTCACCGAACCAGAGTTCTAATCGGACCCAGGCTGCTGGAATACGCCGTTGCAAGAGGCGCCATCATCCTTTCACCGGACTATCGTCTCCTGCCCGAGGCTACTGGCCAGGACATCCTCAATGACATGCGAGATTTCTGGAAATGGGTTCAACGGACGCTCACCCATGTGCTACCCCGAACTTCCGGACCCCGAAGGATCGCGCCTGACCTCACTAATATCCTTTGCACAGGCGAAAGTGCAGGCGGCTATTTGGCCATACAATCGCTTCTTCATCTATGTCGGCAGGCGCTCTTTCCGTCGTTGGATCGCCTATATAAACCCATCGTTATGCGTGCTCTTATCCTTGGTTTCCCTTCTCTCGATCTTCGGTCCCCATGGTTCAGCAAGGCCGGCCCCAAATCCATCATGAATAGTGAACCTTGGGGGGACGTTAAGATTCTTCAAGAGCATATGCTCAACTTACCGCACGGTGAAGTGGTCACATCCGATCCAACGCGGAAGCGCATCGAGTTGGCGCGAATCATCATCCAACATGGGCAAATGACGCGGCTACTCGGCAACCGGACAGAGTTATTCCCGTTGGAGTGCCTAGGGATACTCCAAATGTTTCTGAATCAAGCCCCGAACGGGCGGCATCCATTCATCTGGATATATCATGGAGACAAGGATACTGCGGTGCCGTTTGATGGCACTAAGCGGTTTGTATCCCAAATCCACCACGAAGTACCGCAGGTACAAATCAAACTATCTATAGGACAGGGAATGGAACACGGCTATGACACAGCCTTGGGCATGGACGAAGGCTGGGTCCGACAAGGACTACAAATAATCGACCGATATTGGGGAGGTGATGGTTGATTGATACTCTAGTGGGAGATACATCCGGACGACACTGGTACGAACTGCTCCGACCCAAGTCCACTAATGCGTGACGACATAATGAGAGATGAAACAGCGAGGAAGAGCGTGGTCGTCATGTAGTCTATTGTTTTATCGGGAGGCTAAAGTCGTGCACGGCGCTTCGGGGCGCAAAGGAGTCTTTACATGAGCGGAGATATATGCAATGCCGCTGATAGCTCCTCAAAAGGGAGTTTTCAAAATGTTCAAAACACCGTTCCATGCACACAGGGGATTTTGTACAGTTATCTATCGTGAAACAAGCGTTAGGGCACCGGGAGGTTGCCTGCCATCGCGAAATGCGCGTCGACGAAGAAACATGCAGCTTCAATCGTCCTTTTCGGATCCGCGGTCCTCGTCGTCCCGCCGTTTCGGCTTTTCCAACTGTTTCTGCCAAAGCTTGCCAACCCGTTCTTGGTCGAGATTGGGGAATATGATATTGAAGACGTCGGAATACCAAGCGACTGGCTTGCCTTCGATATCCTCCTTGATATTCTATCCGACTGTTAGCGAGTAGTCAAAAAATCGCGATAAATATCACTCACCTCAGGGAGTTCCAGCCAATCACTCATGTTGTCAGCAGGGAAGAGAACCATCTTCGCACCCGCTCTCCTGGCTGCAACAGTCTTTTCTCTCAAGCCGCCAATTCTGAGCACCTTGCCAGTGACAGTCAACTCTCCTGTCATAGCGATGGTCGGATCCAGTGGTGTATCAAGCGCCAGACTGAGCAAACTTGAGGCCATGGTGATGCCTGCGGAAGGACCATCTTTAGGAACTGCGCCCTCGGGGAGATGAAGATGTACTCTGGCATGCTCAAAGAAGAGGTTATCGGGGAAGTCTTTCGCAAGAACGTGCTTCGCAAAAGTGTACGCCAGTGAGGTCGATTCTTTCATGACAGCCTTCATGTTTCCTGTGCGCTCGAGTCCCGGTCGGGAAGAATGCTTCAGTGCACTCTCTAGAATTGTCTCGACGTATAGTGCTGCTCCTCCCATTTGCGTCCAGGCCAGGCCCATAGCAACACCGGGGGGCAGCGTTTCGTAGAGTCGATCGGTGGTAAAGATCGGAGGACCGACATAATCTTTCACATTATCCTTCGAGATACGGACGTGGACTGTGTCTGGGACCTGCATTGCGAGCCTTGGCTTTTCCGTCGTTGTTTCCTCGATGTTCTCGGGTGTCTCTTTGACATCGGACTTGTCTTTCTCAGCAGCCTCTTGCGCAGCTTTCCCCTCATCTGTCAATGCTTCCTCCTCTGGGAGGGATTCTTCTCCAATATCCTGGATGATTTTCAATGCAGATTTGCGGTAGACTTTCTCGATCTGCTTTTTCAGATTCCGGACACCGCTTTCACGACAGTACCGGTTGATCAGCTCATGAATAGCGTCTTTGTCCAATTCGACGTCGACATCTTTGAGACCATTCATCTCCTTGGCTTGCGGCGCCAGGTAGCGTTCTGCAATGGCCATCTTTTCGTCGGCCACGTACCCTGAGAGCTCGATCATTTCCATGCGATCCAACAATGGCCTTGGAATAGTGTCGGTCATATTGGCAGTACAGACGAAGAGGACCTTGGATAGGTCGACGGGAACGTCCATATAGTGGTCTAGGAACGAGTTGTTCTGCTCGGGATCCAACAGTTCCAACAATGCTGAGGACGGATCTCCAAGATGGCCTCTGCCAATCTTGTCAACCTCATCAATCAGAATGAGAGGGTTTTCGGTCTGACATTTCTTCAACGCTTGGATGATACGTCCCGGAAGCGCCCCAACATAGGTTCGTCGATGACCCTTGATTTCAGCGACGTCAGTCAATCCGCCAACGCTAAACCTGTAATATTGCCGGTTCAGGGCGCGAGCGATGGACTTCCCGATACTCGTTTTACCGACACCAGGTGGCCCAACCATGCATAGAATCTTGCCTTCAACGGTCCCACGAAGCTTTCCAACCGCAATGAATTCCAAGATGCGATCTTTCACGTCCTTCAGGCCGTGATGATCTTCGTCTAGGATCTTCATGGCATGCTGAATTCCGAAATTCTCGGCGCTTCGCTGTCCCCACGGAATCTGAGTGAGCCAGTCAAGGTAGTTTCTCGTGACGTTGAATTCGGATGCGGCCGGTTCGAGATGTGCCAGTTTGTTAAGTTCTTCCTCGAAAACCTTCTTGACAGCTTCAGGCATAGCCAGTTTGCTTGCTTTCTCCCGAAACTTCTCGACCAGTTTGTCTTTGCCATCACTTTCCATTCCGAGTTCGCGTTTTATGCCTTTCATCTGCTCCATGAGGAAATACTCTCGTTGGCGTTTCTGAATCTTGTTGTCGACATCTTTGCTGATCTTTGACTGCAACTGTGCATTGGCAAGTTCTTGCTTAACAAGGACCAAAGCCTTGTGCAGTCGCTCGTCCATTTGCAGTGTTTCCAAAACATCCTGCAACTCATTCGCATCGCCAAAGGATGCCGCGGCAGCGAAGTCTGCTAACCGGCTCGGCTCGTCAGCGACGTTACCTGGGCCGTGGCTCACAGCAAAGTTGCCAATCTGCTCTCGGAAATTGCTATTCATGCCAGCAATCTCTCGGAACACCTGTAGAATCTCGCTGACTAGTGCTCTCGTGGTCGGGCTATTCAAATCGTACGGATCTTCCGCGAGGTTGTCCACGTTGACTAAGCTGACCTTGCGGTCTCGGAGGAAGCTAGTAGGCTCGTATCGTTGGGCCTGTTTTGGTTCCTCTTTCGCAGCACTTTCCTCGAAGCTAGCAACGACGTCACCTTTGCGGTCTGTTTCCTCCTCCTTCTCCGGCTTCTTCTCCAGCTGCTTCTCGGGCTGTTCCTCCTTCGGCTCAGGTTCTTCAGTAACAGCGGCTTTGGGGGCCGTCTCACCGCCATCGCGTGCCGGGGGTATTAGACTGGTCATCTTTATTCTTCGGTGGGGATACAGCACGGCAGTCAAGCTTGGTTCGTCGCCCTTGGAATCAAACGCGCTCGTAATTTGGCAGAAGCTGCCCACTTGATGCACATCGTCCATGCTCTCGATGACATCTTTGTCCGCTGAGTCGTCTTTGAGGAGGAATGCTCCAACATATGGCTGACCTCGGCTCATCATCTCGTAGATGGCCGCAATGACGTCTGGATTCTTGATTGTGATGGCCTTGTAGAACCCTGGAAAGAGTGGTCGCTTCGCTATCGGAATCGCCATGACTTGTGGGTACACGTCTGGAACGGAAGGCTTCGCGATTGCTCGGTCACTCGAGCCTTTGCGGCGCTTTCCACCCCCTTCGCTGGAGCCTCCCGATTGAGCACTCTCCCCAACTCCGCTACCGGCAGAAGTACCGCGTCCTTCTTTCGAAATATTTGCGGATTGCGGTATTGGTTCCGGGGTCTTGACTTTAGCCGCCTTTCCAACTTCACTGTCCGGATCAGCATCCAGCTCAATCTTTTCGGATCCTTCCTCGCTAGCCTTGTTATCTGCGAGCTCTTTCGGTGACCGAGGAGGCTTCTCTTTCCATCTTGCCGGTGCGGAGGAGAAACATTTCGACTGGTACGCGGTTTCGAGGTTAAGTATGCTTCGACGCGACGGTTGATATCGGGTTGTGGCTAAGAGAGAAAACAGGCGTCGATCGGGAATGGAACCGGACTGGTGTATTGTCCGGCATGATATTCTCGATGATAACCGACTGGCGGCTGTGAATGCGCGAGACTGGCTCTGGAGCATGGTGAAGCCCAGCGCAATATCACCGGATTGCGGAGCTTCTGGAGCTATCCGCGGGCAATACTGGGCTGTTGTCTCGGCTGTTTTGCGGGCGAGGAACCTTTTCCAGATAATCGATGCTGGAACAAGGCCGCGAATACTTGTCGAGCTCAGATGTGAGCAAACGAATACCTGTAAGGAATGATGGTAATCCGTAGAATGTTTGGCAGCTCCTTAGTCCTTACAAATCAGTAAACCGACTTGCGCATTGACGTTTCGGTGAAGTTCCATCGCCGTCACCGAATTTTTAGCCGAAGTTGGTCCGAATGGCCTCACCCGGCTCTTAAGGAAATCCAGACCGTCCTGATATCAACGACAGAGGAGAAAGCAAACCGGCTCTCGATGAGGCTTCATTACCCCTTCAATGTGTCACGTCTATCCTCAATCCTGTTTCTCATATACGAATCCAGCCTTGTAATGGACTTCGTTATACGAAACCATGAATGTACATAATACCACATCGGCGACCGTGAGGATTCGCTCTCGGCGACGGCAACGGATAAGTTGAAAAAATCCAATCTCATTGACGGAATGGATAGTTAAGCGTAGGAATGGCTCCAAAATATCGACATCTCATTTCGTTCATCTCCTCATTGCGGCCATTTATCATTCATGAGTATCTATTTCTAAACACCCGCTAATTTCCCGTGGTCTCTTGTTTTCAGTGAATCTTCTGCTTACGCGTACTTCATTGAACAATACTGCCACTAGGTATCGGTCAGACGACTGATATCTGGAGCTAAGAAGAGACGGTTGCAAACTTTTCCGAGTCTCTTGGGGGCATGGCAGGCAATCAACTGGTGAGGTTCCGATGTTGTTCCTCATTTAAAGGGGGCTTGATTCGCGAAGCACGTCAATGAGCGACTATTGGCTCGCCAGGAACATCTGCTTTCGTCCTGAACTCTGATACTCTGGACCCGGCGGTTGTTGGGCCCTATCAGAGCAAATTTACCTCGATCGGTGGTAAAACGTCATGGAAGAACCTACTTCTTCTAATGGAGCATCACCAAGTAGGGCGTCACGATACTAAAAGATATGCAAGTTGTTGACGTTATGTCTCGGCCGCCGGACGCCAGAAAGTACGGGGTTTGAGGCCATAAAAGCCACACAGTTACCTATTAAACCAACCTTCCGGGAGTCAAGGTCTATTCATATTGGAGGAAATAACAAACAGTCATGATGGACTGCATTCGTTGGAAGATGGCTGCTAAGCTACGGCTGAGTGTATTTTCCAGCATTGCGAGATTGTATCAAGAGGTTATCAACTACGCATAGATGGCTAGTCTTTGGGAATCTCTATGTTTATTGCTTGAATTGGTACGTCACCCATCTGAGTTGCGGTCCTCTTTCCAGCTCACTTGTTATGCCCTAGATTGTCGCCCTGTTCGTTGGTCCTAGTCTCTGGCTCTCTCAGCTAGATTGCGGACGATTCGGGGATTGATACCTTATCCTCCATGACAGGTCAGTAGTTCGTCTACAAAATCCTGTAAAGCACCCTGCAAAACCCTGGCTTCCATTGGCCCCGTTGAAAGTGGGATTCTCCTAACGACGGATCTCTTTTCTAAGCAAACTAAAACATCAAAATGAATCATGTAGTCTCATATGTATCCGTACCCCATGGCCGCCCCACAACCTCCGGTTGTTGGTGCTCCCACACCAAAAGTCAAACCCACGCCAAAAGTCAAATTTTACCATCATCTTCAAATCTATACCACCAAACATGTCTAAACGCGTCAAATATTCAGAGGAGACTATACAGAAAGCAGTCAAGGAGGCTACAGACCCCAAAAAAAGCAGGAAAACCTGTCAATATTTCAGCATTGGCGCGTGAGTTCCAAATCAGCCAGTTCGTCCTTCAAAGGCCGCCTTCAAGGAAAAACATCCTATACCAATCGTTCTCCGTTCGTACAAGCCACCAAACTCGATCAGCTACAAGAAAAGGCTCCCTTAACTTGGATCTACCAGCTTGATAAGTGGGAAGCGCCTCCTACACCTACAGAAATCGAAGCGTGCGCCAACTCTGTACATACTCCGAAGAAAACGCGCTCGATACAACCCAGCCACCACCCCACGTTAGCAAGAACTGGAAATACAA